TTAGTAGCTAGGGCTTAATTGTAATGAATAGGTAAGTTGAGGGTACGATAGCCGATTGACTCTGGATTTCAAAGTCTCTTGTCAGAGGTAAGCCTTGGTGGCCAGTGGTGAACCGGCAATGGTTTACTATCCGGACGGCAATGGTTTACTATCTGCACGGTAATGATTTACTATGCGGCACGGCCATAGTCTACTACCCGCACGGCTTCCGGACGGCAAATGGTTTACTATCCGCACGGCAATAGTCTACTATCCGCACGGCAATGGTTTACTATCCGGTGCCCTGGCTGTCGGTGAGCCTCTGTGCAAGGAGGGAGAATGAAGGAGGACTTTCGACTATCGTACCATTAACAATTTAATATAGATTAGCTAAGGTATTTGAATAGGTAGATAGGATTATTTTTATTAAGCAATTTGAGATGCAGGCACCGCTAAGCTTTCTGATGAGAATTTTCTCTTTCTCCATCAACACGGGCTGTGTTTCAACAACAATCTCGATGAGGACTGGCACCAGTTTTGGATGACAACGTAGGAACCGGACCGCATTCAACATTCTGCCTTTGTCGAATGGACGACGGTAAGTTTTTTTTACATTTTAATCACTTTATTATTTTAAAATATTATTTATTTGCCATTGTTTCCATTTTATAATTTTTTGCTCCTAAGATTCTAACATTCATTTACTACTACGCTAATAAAAAAAATTTGTCTACAGGATGATGAGAGGTGGGCAGTGGTGGGAGTCAGCACGTTTCAGATGGTTGTCTCATGATGATTTACGTATGATGATGGTGGTGTAGGAAGAATCAGCGCGTTGGCTGTTCGACTTACAATCAGAAGTTCGGATAAAATCATGTGTGCCGACCAGATGATGGTGGTCGGTGCAATGAAGTACTGTAACGACGATTTTTGAACTAAGGTTTAGTAGTTTCGTCTTTTAATTTTTCTCATTGATTGATTGATTGATTGATTGGTTGATTGATTGATTGATTGATTGATTGATTGATTGATTGATTGATTGATTGATTGATTGATTGATTGATTGATTGATTGATTGATTGATTGATTGATTGATTGATTGATTCATTCATTCATTCATTCATTCATTCATTCATTCATTCATTCATTTTATCACTCAATCTTTCAAATTATTTTTCCATTAAATTTTTTTAATCATTGAATCATTAATTAATTCATTGACTCTTGACTCACTCAGGCATTCAACATTCTGCCTTTGTCAAATGGACGAAAGTAAATTTTTTTTACATTTTACTCTTTATTATTTTAAAATATTATTTATTTGCCATTATTTTCATTTTATAATTTTTTTCTTCTAAGATTCTAACATTCATTCATTACTAGGCTAATAAAAAAATTTGTCTACAGAATGATGAGAGGTGGGTTGTGGTGGGCGTCAGCACGTTTCAGATGGTGGTTTCATGATGATCGTTCCGATGACAATTCGAAGATGACAATAAGAAGTTTCTGGAGAGTACACGCGCGCACATTTACGCACATACATCAATACAACACACACATACACAACATCCATTCAATCGGTGTCGTTGTTATGTTTCTCTTCAACTTTCTATTTTCTTTACCGGACTTAATTTTATTCATAGGTAAGTTAGGGATTGAGATGAGTTGAACAATCGTAGGTAGGCTAGGGCTTAACATTAGTTAAAAAGTTTCAAGTAAAATAAAAACGCTGAAATATGTAAAATAAAATACCTGAAACGTGTAAAATTCCTAAAACATAGAAATACAAATTTGTAGGTAAGTGAGTTGAGTTAATGATTATAAGTAAGCTAGGGCCCTGAGAGTAATTTAATTGTAGGTAGGTGACTGACTACTATTCTTGCGACTTTTTACTAGTTTTGTGTGATGTGTTTTCGCTTCACAAACAAACTACATTTCATTCTCGTCGTCGCCTTAAATTTTACTTTTTGAACAATCTTTTTAATAATGTCTATTTATTAAATGTTGACTGGTTTCTAGTTTCTTTTAATTTGGTTATATAATTTTTGGATATTTCTTAATTTACTTTGTATATAAAAGTATATATGCATGTATAAATAATTTCTGTTTGGTATGTTGATTTAGTCATTATGATATGCTGTGAACTGTTCTTACTAAATGTTATTGTTACGTGAATCATTCTCTGAGAACCACTAAGGAGTGTGTATAATAATAATAATGGATAATAATTAATTTTTATCGGTCGATATTTTGTTATATTTGCTTGTTTAAAATACAAATTTTTAAAAAATTGACGTTTTTGAAATTTCAATTAACCGTCACTTTTCATTTTTGAATGAATTCAAATAAAAGCAACTATTGTGTTTTTTTTCTTTACTAAAATCTCGAAATTGAAAAACAAAATTCTGATTAAGCCAGCCTACGGCTTTAGTAGCAATCAAACCACGATGATGATGATGGCAGACAGACAGACCAACCGAGACAACCAAACATACAGACAACCAAACAAACAAACCAACACACATGCCATACAAACCGATAGCAAGGCACAAACCTTATAGATGTTATTCTTGAGGCAGTCCATGTTAGAAACGTACATTGATCGAATAAATGGTTGGTTGATAAGTTGATTGATTGATTGATTGATTGATTGATTGATTGATTGATTGATTGATTGATTGATTGATTGATTGATTGATCTCATAGTATTGTATACATAAAAAAAACCCGATTAAGCCAACATACGGCTTCAGTAAACAACTGTTTTTCACCAGACAAAAGCAATTTCTATATTTATATTGACAAAAATAATTGTGATATGAATATATTGATTTATTTAAAGCATTATATGAACAAAAACCGAGTTCTATGAAACCCTGTAAGCCACTGCAATAAGCCAACGTATGATTTCAGCAACCAGTTTCTTGAATATGATGAAGATAGCTGTTGAAATAACAATTTTGATTTATTTAGACCGTTTATTTCATAAGCAAACAAATTTTTAACATGATCGAATAGTGTAAAAACAGGGTGATTATAGTTCAATCCAATTAAGCCAACCTTCGGCTTGTGTAAGCCACCGGATTTCATCGGACCAAAAGCTATTTTTATATTCAAAAGAACAGAAATAATTTAATAACACATAATATTATTAAATAAAATTAAATCGAATTATTACAATGTTTTAAGCATATTAAGTCAAGTAAATATTTCGTATAGTTTGCTCGTTAAAATTTATGCAATTTCGTAAGTCAACAATTTAATCATATCAAATAGCCCGACCGATTGATCGAATTTATTCTAGTTATGTGGTTAACTTATCAAATTATTTAACAATCTCTCGAACATAAACTCATCTCTAATAATTGTCCATCTTTTTTTACTCTTATGTGTTTACTTTTAAATAAAACTAAAAGTAAACTTGTTTTTAATAATTTTTAAATTTTAAAAAGCATTTTTTTTAGCAAAGAAAAATCCACAAATGCGACTTATTCTATCAAATTTATTAGCAATAATTTTTGTAAATTTATTATTTTATTTTTTAAATCTATGAATTTAGTGTTTAAAATTTAAAATTAGATATTTGGCATTTGGGTTGTTGTGGTGGGCTTTAAAAAAAATGTTGAAGTTTAATTAAATTAAATAAAGTTGCATGGTGATTAGTAGGTCAAGTTAAGTTGCACAGAGTCTGAGATTTGAGTTAATTCCAATGTTGAACAAAGTTTTCCATCTGCTGAATGGTTTCTTTAATAATTAATATATTTATTTAATTAATTAAATAAAGAAAAAAATTGTATAAACATTTTAAACTGTTTGATTTGCATGGTGGGTGTGAAAGTGAATAGAAGACTGAAGAAATAGTATACTATATATGTGTAAAGTATAAAATTCTTGAAACAGAACATTTGTCAAAAAGTTAATATTTGAAATTGCTGTATAGTGTATGTGTGTGTGTGTGTTAACAATTTTATTTTAATTTTTTTCAATGTTATTGGAATAGTAAGGTGATTAATTCAGTAAATTGGTCAATAAAAATTTTTTTTATGGCAATTGGCATGTTCATCATAATCTAAATGTCTTCTAACTAGTAGATCACAAATAACAAATCATTTTATGCTGGTACCTGTAACTTGTATGACACATACACACACCACGCATATGAACTTAGCACAACTCTGTCTACTCGGGTTGAAACTAATCATCATTAGTAGTGAAAAATAATAATATTGTTATTGTTATCATAATTATACTATAAATACAGCTTGTTATGGCTTGTGAAAGATGAATGTTTACCTAAATAACTGAACAAATTGTGATGTAACTTAGTAAAAGTAAGTTACTGTCACCATAAGCACTCTTTATTCTATTTGTGTTTTTCCACATCATCACCCACTTATTCGACGTTACCTTGATTCCTTAAAAACTTCGCAACCGTCCCATCAAAATGTCATCTTTAGAAGCAACTAATAAGATTCTTGCAGCTGATTACATTTACTTCAAGCTGAGGAAAAGTAGATTTGATTGGCCAGTGAGATGTCCTGTCGATTTGAAAAAAGATGGCGGATGTGCTGAAGCCAAGTTGGCTATGAGAAATTTGGGAGAAGAGTTTGAGGAGAGGTTTGTGTGTGGTAAATTTTTGTTTTTGGCTCATTTTTTAAATAATAATTATTTTTCTTTGCTCAACACGACTGCTTTGTTTTCATTTCTTCACCAAATTAATATAAATTTTTTATATTTGGTACATTAAAATTAACAGTTACATTTTGTTTTCGTCACCATCCCAGATACAGAGGTGTATTCAATGACATGTGTCAACAACTGCACATAACACCAAACAATGCATCAGCAACATTCAGAGCCATCATTGGAGAATTATTTTCTGATGGAATCAGGTGGGGACGGATTGTTGCCCTGTTCTCATTTTCAGGTGAACTCCTCTTCTTTCTTCTCTTTCACTAATTCTTAATCCGGTTTCTATTCTATTTAACTTTGCATTGTTCTCCTTTATGTTTTTTTTATTTGTTGTATTTCTCATCATTGTTATACAATAATAATATTATCCTCCTACAATGCTTAACCACATGATAATTTGGAAGATGGCTTGCATACTTGAACAGGTTGCCTGGCAGTTGAATGCATGGAGAGGAAGATGCCTCACCTGGTTGATGAAGTACTCACCTGGACGACTGCGTACCTCGATGAACATCTCTCCAAATGGATACAAGATAATAATGGATGGGTTAGTTTGGTACCTTTTTTTCATGAAACCTTTCTTATTTTACATCATGTTCGAGTTTTCTGTTTGTGTTTTGGGTGTATAAATAGCTAAAACTTGTCCAATATTAAACAATATTATTTGTAATTATTATGTTGATGACGTGAGTAGTGAAATAAAATGATGAAATCGTTAGAAAATGATGAAATCGTTGAAAATTGAATGGACCATGCAGGATGGCTTTGTTGAATTCTCGAAAGGAGGGCAAACGAAGGAGTCACCCTGGCCGTCATTCAAAACTTTATGTGGATATGCTGTCGGTGCACTGGGAGTTCTCACGCTGGGCGCCATCTTGTCTCAAAGATCCTGAGTAGCGGGAAAAGAAAGTTGATGTTGCTGAAGAAATATAGAGATGGGGAAGATGATGACGATGAAAATAATTATTCTGAATGTAATTTTGTCCAACATCAACTTCTCAAATGATACAAGCATGCACATGCACTTTGACTCTGATTGAAATCAATAACCAAATGACATTCGTAACCACCATGCCTGCACACATTTATCATACGAATTCACACACATCACACACATAAATACACATGCGCTTACATACATACATACACATACATACATATATAGACATACATACAATATTGTGTGCCAAACCGCGTATTTGTATAAATACAGGAATATCTGAATTGATAAGTATGGTAGATGGATATATTTCTGTCTGTATAAATTATATATATATATATATATATATATATATGTGTGTGTGTGTGTGTGTGGGTGTGCGTGTGTATGTGTGATTTTTGTACATGTTATGTAGAGAACTGGCAAAAAATTAACTTTTGGTGATTTGCTCCGGAGATGTTGTTCATTGTCTGAGTTCTATGTCTACCTCAAATTATTTTTAATTTAGTGATCATTTTTCAGTAGTCGATTTTAATAATTTTTGTGTAATTTGTGCGTGCGTGTGTATTGTCCGTTTTCTAATATTTTAACGACTCTTTATCAATTGTTATATGAAAGTTTTGATGGTTTTGATGGTTATTACGACGATGAACCTAATATTTTAAATGATGGTAACTGTGATGTCAACATTGGTAAAGAATGGAGTCATTTTTTTTTATAAAATAAATAGGCATAAATAGACGTCAATCAGCTTTTAACATTTCAACAACGTGAGCTTTATGCATTTAATAATTTTTCTCTTTTCAATTTTAATCTTAATTATGTTATTTATATTGTAGGGAAAGGTGAAACATTTTTATTTTTTGATTTTATTTTGAAACGTCATTTTTGAGTATTTGGACATTTTAATCAAAAAGTTTTTCCTACATAGCGTTTTTTATTTTACCTTCCACACGTTTCATCATGTTTTTTCATATTTCTACATTTTACTTTCGTTATTATTAATAATATAACTATCTTTGATAATTTTTATTTTTCTGTAACGCATCAAGGTAGGTTAGGATAGGAGTAATTTGAACTGTAAGTAGAATTAGGTGAAAACGTTCATGACTAATGTAGTTAAATAAGCTAGCAATGTAGATTTCTTTGAAAATACTTTCAAGCATCCTGCATATTACGTTTAAAAACACTCATGCATATATAAATATCAGTGATGGGCAACTAAATATTTTTAGTTAAACTATTATTCTCTTTCTCTCTCTCTCCATATATATATATATATATATATATATATATATATATATATATATATATATATATATATATATATGTATATAGAATAGTTATGATAGGTTAGCTAATAGTTATAAACTTTTTTGTAAACAGTTAACTAAACTGAAAAAGATAGTTTAACTTATCCAGACTTTTGCTAACTATTTTTGTATTTACTTTTTGACAAACATAATTTGAAGAACATTAATGCTGTGACATACAAGCCATTGAAGCATGTCTGCAATAGTTATTACTTTAAATTTAAAATAACTTTTAGAAATAAATTTAAATACCAAAAAGTAAAAAAAATTAAAACGCCTCTCTTCTTACAGCTAAATCTTATTGCTCTGTTCTCTGGAACTCAATACCTTCTTCTCTATCTACTTCTCAATCACTTACGAAGTTCAGAGCGTATCTCAAGACCCACCTGTTTGTGAAATTCATTGAAGAGCTCCGTTAAACACCGTGGAAATGGTGTTAATTTAAAATTTTATAATATTAAATTTTTTATAAAAGGCTGATTGATTATTGATTGATTGAATGATTGATAAGATCATGGAAGTCAATTTTTTTAATAGCAAGTAGCAGCAGTTTAGGACAGTTGAAGAAGATATTCGGCCAAAGCCGGCTACTAACGCTAGATAGATTTTAAATGGCTTTATAATCGCCGAACTGTTCACAAAACTTCTGAATAGCTGCTTTGCTTACGTTAACGTTGTTATAGAAACAACTTTTTGTGTTGTGTAAAAGTAAATTGGATTAATAAATAAACCATTGAGTTTAAGTCCACGAAATTTGGACTAAAACTACAAAAATTTTTAATGAAAAAAACAAAATTTACAAAAAAAAATAACATATAAACAATTTTCAATTAGAAAAAAATTTTAAAACAAAAAATACCATAATTTCCATACTTTCGAATAACATTTTCTTCGACATAAAATTTCAACGCATTCTACGGTAGAAAAAAAAGTCCTAAAATTTGCCGATTTTATTAATTTTTTGCTAAGTTGTCTATGCACTCAGAATATAAGGTGGTGAAAAGTTATTGATTGAAATTTTGAAATTTGTCAAATCTCATAATCTCTTTATAGAAATTCCCTGATTGTTTGGCCAAATATTTCTTATTTTTAACAACTTTTCAAGTTATTTATAACCTTTGTAACTTACTCAAAATTTTTTTTCATCTATCACTTCTTTGTGTTTTGTTTCCGTTTTTTGAATTTTATATTTTATTTAATTTAAATTTTTAAAATTATTTATAAAGTTTTAAAAAATTATTTATGTTTAAAAAAATCACCAAACTTAGGCATTTTCGTGTTTGAGTTCAATCACAAACAAACTGACTCAATTGTATGACTTTAAAAAAGTAAATCCAGGGATTAGTAGTTCAGAATTTTTGTTATTAATTCTATTATTAAATTTTTTTTGTATTTGTCAATTAATTAATTAATTTTATTATTGAACTATTTAAAGTTGTTATGAAGTGTTAATTAAATGTAAGTAAGTTGTTGCCAGGCACATCTTAATAGTATATTGTAGTAAGATGTGACTATACTCTCTCTCTCTAATCTCTATCTATTACTATTGTGTAATTTTTTTAATTAACAATTAAATTAACTAATATATTTGTAGCAAATTAACAGTATAACAGTATTTTTTTAGTCTTTTCTTATTTAGTTCTTACATTTGTACTAAATTGTTTTCACTTAATTAAATTTAATAGTTCATGATTAAATAATTAGGCAATAATTTATTCTCAGTTATATGTTGACATAGAATAATTAAAATCTGTAGATGAAAATTATTTACCAATAATGAGAATGAAGAAATTGACCATTCATCAATATGTAACCAAAAAGTTGACAAGCCATAACAACCAGAGAACTAACGACAAAATCTCACCTAACCCTAGTCTTGACATGACAAGATTACATACAGCCTAATTTAAGTAATTTGAATGTTTCACAGAGAACTTTGTCATGTATGGATTTGTAGAGTTTTATGAAAGTTCTTGTTATGTACATAGTTGTATATGTGATTAGTTGTTAATTGAATGTTGTCGCGTTTTTTAAATTCAGTTAATAATTATTCCTTCTTCAGTGTTATATACCCCTTTCTATGACTCAACAATTCATTCGATAAATAAATATTTAATAAATCAATCACTGAAGCAGAGGTCTAGTTGGGTGGTGCCTTTGTGTGAAGCAGCAAGTGATGTAACATATGAGACTGTACAATGTGCTACTACTGTTGCACAGTACATGCATACAGCCATGCATGGAGAAACAATCTAGTTGTGCAATTTGATAGAATTTTTTTCATGAAATTATTTAGTTGTGCAATTTGATAGAATTTTATTTATCATTGCTACTTGTTTTTTAAATCGTAATGAAATGGGTTTTTTAACAAATTATCGAAAAATACTTTAAAAATCAATTAAAAAGTTACAGCCATAGCATAACATCTTATGAAAACTCGCTATCATATTCTAATAAGAAATCTTAAACAAACTCAACTTATTTAGCTAATTTTTTTCGAATATTATAAAAAATCGTTTTTTCACCGAATACTTTTTTTTAAATACAAAAAACGAACGTACACATTGCAGATGTACATGTAGAGAGCACACACGCAATCGTGATGAGACCTCATCTTCGTCATCGTCACGACATCAACAAAGCAAGCAACTGCTGATTTTAAATGCGTGGAAAACTCCCAGACAATATCCGCACTACCATTAAGTACACACGCACACACATATATATATATATATACAGTATGTATATATATTATATATAATATATATATATAAATAAATATATATTTGTCCCTCTTATAATCACGCGTGTAATTTTATCATCATTGTATGTATGCAGGTTTATGTGAAAATGTGAGCCAAATGTTTATAGGTTATTGCAATTTGTGTTTCACATATAAGCGTCATATGCATGCATGGATGTCGCTAGATGTGTAGAGATGTACATATATGTACGTATTAATGCGCAATTATGGCATATGAGTAAGGGTTCCATACATTGTACAATCGCATTTGTATTGTATCAGACACAATTGACTATTTTGAATAGAAGTTGTATAATTTCTTATCAGTTATTGAAATATCTGATGATAACTATTTTAAAAATTGCATTTCTTAAAAATATGTGACAAAAAAGTAAATTTATGAATGGTTTGGTTTTTGTAAATTAACGAAAAGTTTTAAAAATTTAGGATGGGACCAAAGCTGAACTTGGAGTATTTGACAGCAGATGAATGTGAGAAAATTATTGAAGTTTTGCAGAAAGATTTGGTTTTGCAGCATCTTGAACAGCAGAGAATTTGGTTAGTTCTAGTTAGTCTTAACAACATTTTGAAAAATTTTATTGTTACAATAAAAAAAACGCTGTGCTTTCCAACCTTTTAACATGTTGGCATCCTTAAAAAAATTACCTTGTGGCCTCTACCTCCACCTTCTGATTAATATTAAACAAAATCAAGTCCCTTCTTTGAATTTATTTATTAGTACATTGTTCAAATTTATACATTTTTCGACACATATTATTACTAAAATTGTTCGAATCTAGTTTAGAAAATCGTAAATTACGTGAATAGATAGTGCAAAACAGAACCAATGGTCGTTTGAATGAATTTGAGTACATATTATTTTAAGCTATACAAAATCTCTGTTAGTTTTAAATTAAATCAAACTCAGCTTGTAGCTATCTGATGAGAAATCGTGGCACGCATATAAAATTTCTTTCGACCGAAAAACTTTTGATTATTGTTTTAATATTAAAACATATTCGTTAATGCAATATGATGTTTGAATTGAAGGCTTGAATGGCAACACCTGATATAACAAATTTAATTTTGCAGGAGAATCAATGAAGAAGTTAGTGACAATAACGAACTGTGTAAGATATTATCAAAACAAAACTCTTTCAATGAAAGTAACTGTTTGTTCTGCTTTTTAAAATTTCGTCTGCTGTTCAGAAGAAGAATCAAATGTAAGTTATGCACTTATAATTTCTGTGGCAGTTGTTGCGTATTTGATAACTATCATGGCGACTACCTCTGCAGATTTTGTGTAAAGAAGAGGTTTGAATTGAAATAAAATCATTTTTTTTTTGGTTTAAAAAAATAAATTTCACAAAGCATCATATTTATTTTGTCTTCAACAAACCAACAGAAAATGTGAGCGTCAGTCTATGGAATGGTTTTATTCAAAAGTTAGAACGAAATTTAGACGCACTGGAAGTTCCAAGATAATTAGATATTTGTGCCAGAGAAACTCACTGCCATGTATGTTGCGAAGCTGTGATCTTTTTTATGATTGTTTTCTCGCCATTACGAAATCTTTTTATATTTTCAACTTCAAATTGAAGATTACTTTTATAGATTTGGAAATTTTTCTTTAGTATTACATTACACCAATGCGAATATCCAACTAGTCATCAAACAACCATAAAAATCTTGATCCTTGGACAATATGTATGTGTAAATGTAAATCGTGTTTATCACTCTCTTATAGCTCCCCAGTCTAAATTGAATGAAAATATTGAAGAAAGCTCTAGTGCTGTTGGTGCCTGTACTCCAGAACCTTTATCTAGTGACACAAGGTTTTATTCTATACTAAAGTATACACGTACTGTCTGTGTTTTTTCTTATATGATGGCGAGTAACTTATATGCATGTATGTATCAAATCAAATAAAAATTTCTGAAGCACCCGGTAAACACGTTCTCACAAAAACTTTTCAAAATAAAAACTGATCGTAAATGCATCAATGTCATAAATAAAAAATCAAACAAAATCAAGACGAAAATAAGTTTAGTTTCCAATCTTTTTTTGAATTCTTGAATGTTTCATATAGATTACATAGCAATAGATATGATAATTTTATTTCCACATTAATTTATTTATAACAAGTTTGACGAGACTTCTGGATAAGTTTGCAAACGTTCAGAATGAATTTGTGAGCACAGCATCTGCCATCAGTGATAATGCCCAAGAAGTATGTTCGGTTTATTTATGTATAGCAAATCCAATTTTAATAATGTTATAAGGGCTTCTAATGAGTAAATAAACAATGCTAATTTTTTTTTCAAAGTTGTTGAGTATGGAGATGTCTATGAATGTTCTAGAGGATAAATTGAACTTTATGGACCTAGATAATCAGCAGAGAAACAAGAGTTTCAGCTACAACAACCTCTCTAACAATACTAGTGAGCATAGAATGGTTTGTAAATTTTGTTGATATATATTTTAAAGTATTTGTTACACGTAGATTATTAAACATTAGAGTTAAATGTTTCAATTTATGTTCGAAGATGGATTTAGCCGCTGATCAGATTTGTGACATCACATCATCGGCACTTCATCTAATTGAAAAAACTGTTAGCTCCCAATATAAAAATGATGATAACGATAATACTGATGATGATGAAGGAGGAACGGATCAAGAAGATGATGTTGTTGGTACAGATGAAACAACTCAAAATTATAATGATGATCTCAGTGATGTTATAAACTGGCTGGATGATATGAAGATGAATCACATGAATGATGATGAGAGTAGTATCAGCAAAACTAACAGCAGACGCTATGGTGATGGTTATAAATCTAACAATAGGACATATTCTGAAGTAAGAACAGACCTACAACACTCAAAGCATTTGAAGGTTATCGAAAAGGATGTAAGTTGTCTTGTTTATTGTGTATGTATACACGGACCCCTACACACACTTTGAAAAAAGATAAGATATTATTTTATACAGTAGTCTATGACTTCTACCGAATTGTTGGTATTAATCAATTTAAAGTTTGTCTTTTCAATTTTCCTTACTAGAATTTTCTGAAAATTGTTCACTGCATTCTGCCCAAAAAGAAGCCATAAAATCTTACTTAGAATCGATACATGCAACTCCAATAACCCGCCAAATTCTTGGCAACAATACGAATAATTTATCAAAAAACCAACACAATACATCTAAAAATTGCAGTGTCCTGTATATATATATATATATATATATGTTATATATATATATGCATATATATATATATATATATATATAGGAGATAGCACGCTTGTTTCTTATATCTTCTAATAATTATGTTGTTGTTAAATTGTTTGAACATTTAATTACTTAATTGGACAACTTTTCTTGATTACGTGTTCTATCGAGTCATTGTTTAACGAGTTTCCAAATTGTTTCGCCCATGTTTCAGTTACACCATCTGTCTTGCTTACAGCTTAAATTTTTGTAACATCATTTCAAGATTTACAAAGTCTACAGTAATGCCAACATGTTAGAGGATAAAGTGATGGAACTGAAAGGAGAAATTGAAAGTAATAACTATAACGATGACGTCATTGAGAACGACGTCAACATATATGAAAACAAAGTTGTTAATGTCATCGCTGATGTTATAATCAATGATGAAAAGGTCTTTTAATCATTTTTTAATAATTATTTTTAATATTCCCTTTGCGTTTCGTAATTTTGGTTAGTCTTTCTTCGTGTGTTAGTCGTCGTCATAAAAATATAAAATTTGATTTTGTCAGGTGAAAGATATAAGGCGGAACTTGAACAGAGTTATTGAAGATAATAACAACTGAGCCAAAATCATTTGAGATGATCTTACAGAGTTCATATGTTGGAATGTTTTCTAATGTTTTATAGCTAATTTTTCAAGCTTCTTTTTATTTGTTTCGTGATCTTCACAATTTTCCATGTGTATTTTATATCTAGTCACGTTTCATTTATAATTAATAGTTAGTTCTATTGTCTCTACTATTTTAACCATTGAAAACTTGATTTAAACTTGATTTATGATTCATTTTTAACAACAAAACATAAAACAAAAATTTAAAAATAGAAGTGGTATTAAAGCTTAGATATGTATGAACTAAGTGTAAAGAGCAATTTTACATGAGAACTGCCATCAAACATTGATACATATAGCAACTATGTTATGACGGTTTAAAATTAGCGAGAATGATGATTGCATCGTAATATAAAATTGATTGACATCATCATGATGGCCAAAATGGGGCTTGCATATGCTAGGTGACTCCACTTTGAAAGTGTATGCGCCATGCTGTAGCCCTGTAAATGATTAGAAATGATTTTCATGGAACAAAGTCCGCCGGTACGATTGAAACTAATTAAAAGCAAATGAGTGAGAACACACGTGCATGTAAAATTGTGATAATTTTAACTTATTTGTTGAACTTTGATCTAATCTGTTTTAAACGTTGAAAGGTGTGATGAATAAAATTGATAATATAAATTTCTGACTTGTGTCTGCGTGTCGTTGTTATCAAAGGTACAACCAAGATAGGCAAGGTGGAAGATGGTGATGACGAAGAAAATGGAGTTGGTGGCCAGAACTATCAGGTCGTGCTGTCATACATTATTTTAATACTAATTATTCTGTTTTGTATTATTTGTGTATTATATTATTCGTAAATGTTTGTATTGCGTGAATGCTTTGTCGATAAAATCACAAATAAATTCTTTTTGCTTGAACCATAATTGAGTAAATAACAAACTACCAGGCTTTTATGGTAATGATTTTGAAACGAACTTGATGTCTATGTTGACAGCCTGCCTTGCACGATCTAGTTTGCACACATGCATTCAACAGGTATGATAGCTTTCTTCTCAAATCTTCAAAGTTTAAATTTAATTATGATTCAAAAGTGATAAGGGTAATGAAGCAAAACAATTTATTTATTGACTTATGGGAAAATTTAGATACAAAATAATAAGACTTATGATAGGGTCAAAAGGCATAAAGTCCGTGTAATGTAATGATACTCTAAGCATGTACGCGCGACATTGTGTTGATTTTGTTACATTACGGTTCACGGATCGTATGATGCTAACTGTATTCAATGTAACTGTAAATTCCAAGCGACAACAGGACCGCCGACAGTTGAAAATTTAAACCCTGAATTTTGAGATGATGTCGGATTTATTTATTTTAAAAAATATCTGAATAAAAGATAATAAATATACAACTCGCGCAGTTCAACGAGTGATTGATTGATTGAAATAACGCGCGAAAATGAATGAATAAAATTAATAGTAAGAGATATTAACTGGTCAAAACGTCATCAGTTGAAACAAATGAGTGAGCGTAGAAACGTGTCAGACTCACGTGAAGAAAAGCACTTATGATGTAAGTTATCAATATGGATGCGAGGTCTCCAAGGTGCCTCGAAGTCTGAAAGATATCTTGAGAACAATTTAAAATTCACTGAACAGTTAGGTGGTTAGTCAGAACAAAAATACTGAATAGAAACACTAACAAGTCTTGAGCCATTTATGCATAGGGATGTTCCAACTGACTACAACGTCCACCAAACTCCTTGGTAGTTCTATATTCCGAATCTTTGTTATTGGTACATCACTGGAGTTATAAGTTTCAAGTTGAATTTTGATGAATTTGTTATATGATACAAGAATAAGATCTAACTAATTGAAGTTATTGCTAGATAGGAGGATGGTGGCCTCAGATAGCTTGCAAACAAAATAGTGACTGAATCTAAAACTTAGTGCTTCTTTGTAAGACTGCAGCCAACTGAGAAAAAAATCAACAATTATTTTAAATTGTTACTTTTCAAATTAAGCTTGAAATAATATTCATTAAAAGTAAAATCTAAAAAAATGTAAACATGAATGATGAAAAAGATCTAGAAGAGATGCATTTGAAAAAATGAACTAACATGTTTGATTGATGAGAAGCAAGTACCTCAGAAAAACAAGTTGAAATAATCAAACAGATCAGTGATGTTGTTAAACATATGGAACACTTCACTAACCACTTTCCACAATTCTGAAAGTTTAAGAAATAATTCACTTGTCTTAATCTTGAACTGAAAATAGAAACATTTCCAAAAGACAAAATAAAATTAAAAAGTATGTAGTATCACTTTACCAATGTTGTAAATGTGCAAATTGAACTGCAACAATTGAGATAATCCTTATAAGAAATCCAGGGACCAAAAATTAAAGACCCAACATGCAGTGAGTACCCAAACACATTAAAAAAATTAGGGATATGCTTGATGACTTTGTTGTCTATGTCAAATGCAAGAGATATTAATTTCATAGATAGTATCATCTGAGTTCCTATTCAAATAAAAACAAATAGAAATAAATAAAAACATAAATTTGCAACTATCATTCATAATTTATATGTATTTATAGGTATGATAAAGTAAAATGTTGATGATTTCATTACAAAGGAGATAACAAAATATGCAAATTTATGCAAAGGAAACCTCTTATCGTGTGCCATGTTGATTGGTCGAAACATATCAACTCACTATTTAGGATTAATAATAATTATTATATATATTTACAATCATTGCAAAGGCATAACCATTATGAATAATTTTAAAACTCACTGACAAAAATTTTTATTAAAAAGAAATGAATTAAGTTAAGAGAAAAAAAACCATATTAATAAGTGAGACAAGACAATGAAGGTAACGACTGGTCCCTTGATACTTTTCTTGGGAGATGTGTATTCACAGAAGAACAATGTGCCGTAAACAATGCAAATAAGACTGAGGAAGTTTATTATTTTACTGCCTTGAAATGAATGCAATGCTACCAAACCAATAACAAATGATACACAATGCAATAACTTGTTGTGCAACTCATTTGATAGTAAGTTAAAAGACAACACTGCAAAAATAATTAAATTTTCAAAATATTTATTCCATTCTTTAATATAAAATAAATTAAAACCTTTTTGAAAAAATACAGCAGATAAATTGAAAATCACACAGAGCAGTAACAGGAGCTTCAAATGATGAAAAATTTGCAACATTGAGGGCACAATGCAGTTTCTGTAGAGGTAGTAAAGAAAGATATATAATTTTCCATCGTCTTTATGCATGGACACTTCATCAAAATAATAATTTTGTTCATTTTCAACGTCATCGATGTCTTCATTATTATAGTTGGGAAAGGAATAGAACCCATCATCTACATCTCCTTCACTCCAGTCACTATCTCTGTAATTGTAACGATCAAAGTTGTCATCGTCGATAACAAGTCTGTTTGATTCCATGATTTTATTAAAAACTCAAAATAAAAAAACGAGAAAATGGTGAAGTAAAAAATTTTAAAAGCTTTTTTAAGCGAATATATATTTTAAATTTGAGACTTGGAGAATATGTTAAAAGTAAATTGAAATTAAACTTTTATGCTATCTAAAAGGCGGTTTGAACGAATGGATAACGTTGGCATTTTGCACAACTTACATAACGGGTAGAGCTATTTGTCTTCCTTCTTTCTCGTGCCTCATCTTTTTAGGAGATTGGCGACTCTAAAAAATTTGGTCTTTAACACTTTTCGGTCTTCATGGCAGTTGAAATGTTGTAATATTCTGCAAGTGATACAAGTACTTCACAAATGTTATTCGTTGTTGGAATTTTTATATTCAAATTTACAATAATAATTTAAAAAAATTATAATGTTTATATTATTTTTGCAGTCAAACAAATGGAAAATTGAAATGATCGTTTTGAGAAAATTAGAAATAAGCGTCATCCGTTCTTGAAAAAGTCGCTTTTTATGATAGCCCTCGTTCGTTTGATCTGGGTTTCACTTTAAAAGTTTTTTTTCGGAATTCTGAATTAAAAAAAAATAAAAAAACCCATAATAATGGGGTGGGCCAAACTTGTTGATTCTTTCAAATTTTTTTTTCATGATTTTTTTATCATATTTGTTTTTAATATTTCAACCTTTTCATAACAAAAATTATTATTAATTTACTAAAAATTACTTCCTAAACAAAAATTAGGGAAGTTCCCATTTCAACCGTGTCTGCTCATGTCTTTCAAATTGATTCTGAGACGAAGAAAAAATGGTTGCCGACCAGCGAGCAGGCTGTGGATGTTTCTTTCTATTTTGATAATGCTCACAACACTTACAGACTCATCAGTTTGGAGAATAATAAAGTGAGTAACTAAAATACTAAACTAAAAGTAAAACTAAATAGTAAATTAATTCAAAATTTCTTACTTTAATTTTTTTTTATTTTCTCACTTTTTAATTAAAAAATTTAATTTGGTTCATATCATTATTTATTCAAATTGAATAAAGTTCACATTTTTAATTTTATAAAATCAAATCAAAGGTTTTGATAAACTGCACACTATTGCCAAACATGAAATTTGTAAAAACGTCTCAAAAGTTTGGTCAGTGGATTGATAGTCAGGTTGCAACTGTTTATGGACTTGGGTTCAGCTCAGAAACTGAACTCAATAGGGTAGGTAGCAATTATTATTAGTTATATTATTTTTCATTAACAAATCCATCATTTTTATTTTAATGTATTTGGACAGATGTTCTTTATTTCACTACTAAAAAAATTGTTTGAATTAATTAATTAATCACCTATTCCTATAAGTCTAGTGTCTTGTATTTTTAATAGTTTAAAAAGTTATCAATTGTTAATTGAAAATTGTTAGTTTGCAGATAAATTTGAAGAAATCAGATTACTGTTGTCTGATAAAAAAAGAGGTTTAGATCCTCCACCTCCTGTGAAACCAAAATCATCATCTCTTGCTTCAGTTGGTTCTTTCACTCTTTATATACAAATTTATGTCTGTGTGTGGATAATTGATATGATTAGGTTATATCAGATAAGGTTTGTGAATTATTGTAAGTAATTCTTTGGATGTACATATAATAAGTTTTAAATTTGTGTATCTTGTTTAAAGGATAGAATGTAATTCTGTGTATAGTTTTTAGGTTTTTCAATTTGCTAAGTATAATTTCTTGCTTATTCTGAAAATTAAGGACAAATTGAATGAAGTAGAGAAGACAGAGATAAGCAAAATTGCATCAAACCTTCGGCACGTGCATGTTAGTAACAGTAGTAACAACAGCGGAAGTAACAAAAATGAAGTTGCTACAACCAAGATTTCAAATGGCTTTTCATCCAACTCACCATCATCACCATCAACTACAACAACAGCCACAAATTCTTATTTCCACTCTGATTCCAATTGCAACAACATCAAATGCACCCACACTATTGCGCAGTTGAAAGTTGAAAATGACAAACTCAAATTAGAATTGGCTCAAAGGTTTTGTAGTATTTGTTTGTTATTTGCAATGTACAGAATTGTATAATATATTGATATCAAGTATGATGTGATGATGATGTTGTTGATATCACTGACGATTTGTTGATCATTGATGATGTTGCACTTGTAGTTCAGCTCGAGCAAAGGAGTGGGAGGTTGAGATGCAGTCTCTAAGAAACAAGAATGCACTGCTGACGACGACGCTGGAGGAATCCCATGAAAATGTGGAGCAGTGGAGGAAGCAGCTGGCTTCCTATACAGATGAAATTGCTCTCAACAGGGAGAAGGTCTGGTCTGCTAGACCCTTCTTACATTTTCTCTTATGTTCTTCCTACATTTTACCATGAGAGTACCACACCACAAATGTGTTCGAATGAATTTTCAAATTAGTAGTTGATAACGAACAAACGAATGAATAAATGAATGAATTATTTAATGAATGACTGAATGAATGACAGATTGCAGAGGTTGAAAGGTTACAAGAATCACTCCTTGAAACACAAAGTAGGCTGGCTGAGGTTGAAAGGAACAGCAACATCAAACAGACCGTTAGTGAGGGCGATGATGGTGATGACCGCAGTGAATGATGATGATGATGATGATAGTAGTGAATGAGGATTATGATAATGATAATGATTAAAAGGAATTGGACCAATTGAGATCAACATACAATGATTTAAAGAGACAAGACCTGAGAAACCAGCAATCATCCAGCATGCTACAGGTTGGTTCTCATGATAAAGGGGACGAAGGCGATGATGATGATGATAATAATAATAATGATGATGATGATAATTATGATTATAATTATGATGAAAATAATTTGAATGACCCATGGACACAGTCCTTGGAGAAGGAAAACAGTAGATTGAAGTTGGACTTGAGGGATCTGAAGAGGGAACTTGAAGGGCAGCAACAGCAGCTGTCCTCTTCCACAAACTCCTTTGCAAGCAACCGTGCTAAAGTTCAAACTCTGCAAGAGCAGATTAGCCACAAAATTAATGAGCTCTACGAAATGAACGACCAGCTGGCAGAACAACTACAAATGTTTTCCTAACTTACATCCATACACTAATCCCTACTTAACGTTCATGCATTGATCTATCTGATGTTTTTTTGTCATTGGGAATAGTTGAGCACAATGTAACAAAAAATATTTAAATGATTTTGTTAAGTTATTGTTTCTAGATGTTTTATTCTATCTCCATTTTTCGTACGAAAAGTACATGCATATCATTAACATCCTATTTAAATATTTCGTTTATTGTACGTTGCATTATTCATATGCTCTTTTCGAGTTGTTTTTTTTTTCAAATTTTTTATTAAGTATTCTTTTATTAAGTTTTTCTATCGTTAATGTTTCTCATCATCATTCATGTTACTCATTTATTTTTGTCTTATCTTGTTTCTTCTTCACAAGTTATTGCATTGATGCTGTTTTCATGCTATATAACTTTCGTCGAAGGCTAGTGATATTACGAATGTTTATTTATTCATTGATTGAGTGGTTATTGAATAACGTTTTTCCGTCGTTTATTCATTTTTTTTAAATAATTTTTCAATTATTCACTCATTCCATGTATGTCGTTGGTGATTTGTTCAACTTTATGATTTGATAAGCTTTCCCACTGGCATTCATTCATTCTATCATTCATTCATTCATTAGAGGAATCTATTTTTTGTTTCATCACCTGATTATTATTTATATTCTAGATTTCCTTTTATTGATATCAAGAATTGTATCTGAAACTCTATTGATTGTTCCTTAAAATATTCGAAAAGCTCGTCTGTTGTTAACTTTCCCATCTTATACTACCCCATTCAATTAAATCGATCTACTAATAACATTTATATTGATTACTGATCATAGTTAGCAGCCAATGGTATTTATTTTTTTAAAGGATAGACTTAAATTTGTGCAATGCTTCTAAGAAATGACATGACCAATTATTTTCGAAACTGTTAGCTTTATATTTGTATGATCATTACATTGTACTGCTTTCTGAAGATTTATTTTTCTACTAATTTTACCGTTAAATTGAAATTTTTTGATTTAATTCTGTTCAGCAATGACATGATTGCTACAACAAACAATGATCGCCTTATATTAGTTTACTGTTTGCTGTTATAATGTATTTAAAATGTGAACAATTCATTAATTATTTTCAATCTAATATTATGATTGTGATTATATATGACATATCATATGATTTTTTTGATTAAACTTTACAATATGTACGAATCGTTGGTTATCTTTATACTTGGGATTTTGTTTTTTTTTGGGTAAAGCTACATATATATATATATATATATATATATATATATATATATATATATATATATATATATATATATTTTATTCTATAAATTCTACCGAATGTTCGGCGTTAATATGTTTGTATGATCATTACATTATATAAATATAATCATAATATTAGCAAAAAAATAAACATATTAACGCCAAACATTCGGTAGAATTTATAGAATATTGTAAAAATTATGGTCTATTACCAACATATATATATTTTATACATATATTATATATGTATAATTATAATATAATAAAATAATAAAAATACTCAATTGAGTACCAATGTTTAAAGCTCTATGATCTATGGATTCAACATTAAAAAAATTTAATTAGATACATCTCTACTTTTAAACATAGATTCGTTTTTAAGCATTCACTATTATCGTAAATAAAAATTTACAGTGTACTCTTATAGACGTATACTGTATGACTGTAGTTTGCTCAATGCACCTTCTAACTTTAAATTTAAACAATAACAACACTAATTAATTATTAATGATGAGAATGTCATCAAATTCAATTAAAAAAAAAGCTAAAAAACATCTGCATCCAGGACAGTCTTCTGCCAATATTACTGTTGATGATGATAATGGTCTTGTTGAGACAGAAGCAACCAGTTCAAATGATTCTCAAAAGAAATCATTGAGAGTTCTGAATTTGAAGCAGTTTGAAAACTGTAAGAAAGAACAGTTTAAACTTGATGACAGTGGAGATAGCAGGGCAGGATCTGATGGTAAAAAAATTAAACACTTCAATTGTTCTAACTTAACCAATTCAAACCCCATCAAAAGACAGTTACAGCAAAACATCAACAAATCTAATAAAGAGAAAACTAAAAAGAGAAAACTAACTAAGAAATCAAGAAAACTTAATAATGATAATGATGATAATGAAGAAGAAGAAGAGGAAGATGATGAAGATGAATGGGAGGCTGTTGAGGAAGAAGAAATAAATGAGGTGGAATTTTTATTGAACAAATCTTCTTCTTCCTCGCGCACAATTTCACTGTCAGAATCAAACAGTCAATCCAGTGCACATGCCGTGGAGGTCTTTGTGGAGTCGAGACAGAGAAAAAAATTGTGAGTATTTTTTATCTTTCTTCTAACTTCAGCACAAACTATGTAATATTGTTCAATGTTTTTTTAATAAGTTGAATTACATATTGATTTGTGTGCTGATTATAATGTTTATCATTGGTTTGGGCTGCTGTTTAATTGAAATTCATGATTCAAGGTCTACAGAGGAGCAGTATGCAAATGAGGTGAGATGCGCTATTAATAGATCAAAGACAATCACTCAGCTTAAATGTCATCAGGTTGTTATTCTGAGATGATGTTTAAAATAACAACATGCTTATCATTAAATTTGTTGGTCATGGAATATTTTTCAAAGAGATGATGAATATCAATGGATGATTATACATGTACATACATTTATCAAATCAGGTTCACATTCTGTGTTTGTTGGCTCATGGTAGGTACATGAACAGTATTTGTAACGATTATGAACTGATGTGTTTTGCATTATCAATGGCTCCCATTGCATACATCAACAAAGAACTTGATGGCCTCTGGATTGGCGAAACATTGCACCAGTTCACTAAATGGTTCAACATGAAATTTCACATCAGTGAGGATGGCTGGAGAGGTGAAGGAAGAAAAAGAAAACGCTGCAGTAGGGCTGACGACGACGGGGCCTTTGATCCATGTGACAATTCTCACAATCTGGTACTTTTTACTACAATTTTTCATTTTAAAATTTGTAATTTTCTCATATTTTGTACTCAACTTTAAATTAAATGTTGATAATTCTTAAAAATATCAAGTTTGACAAACTGAAAAATAACATTATTCAGAAGAAGATGTTGAAAAGACAGTTGGTCAGCTGCAGAGTCATCAACTATTTTTATCATAACATGGTTTGTTTCTCAGTAATTAGCTTTTATTATTTTCAATGTTTCATCATTTTACTCTCTGACATTTATATTTTATTTTTTCTTATTTCCATATATAACAGTTGTTTGTGATCATGATGAGGTCGTTGGGTCTGAGAGTTCGATTGGTTCATTCATTTCATCCAATCTCGAGCCAGCCTACTGATCTCGTCAGTAAATTAGTGAATTAGTTTATTGCATATAATTGGTTATTCATTTTATTTAATACTTGTTTGGGAATTATTTCTTGTTATCATTTGAGTAACAAATCAATCAAACTGTCTTAATTATGTTTCAGATTAAGAAACCATCCTCAACTAGTCCTCAAAAAATGAAATTGACTCCTAAAAATAAAGATATTGAGAAGAGAATAGATGATGCTGTCATCCTTAATTCTGATGATGTTGATGACGGTGCTAATGTTGGTGCTGATTGTGCTGATGATGGGAGCGTAGAATTTGATTGGTGGTCTGAAGTTTACTTGGAGAGGGAACAGAAATGGATTTGTTAGTTATCTCTTTTTCTCTCTCTCTCTCCTCTTTTTCTCTCTTTCTCTCTCTCTAGATGGCGATGTCGATGGCTACCATGTTGTTCTTGTTGTAGTGAATGATGATGTTGTTGTTGTTGTGGTTGTTGTTAACGATTTTAATCATGTTGTTGTCGTTGTTGTTGTTGATGATGATGATGGTGATGACGAAGATAATGTTTGTAGATGCGAGCAGTTATAGATGCAAGGTGGGTGGTCTCAGTGATGTGAAGATGCATGCCAGGAAGCCATTGCAGTTCATCATCGCCCATGATTGCAGTTTAGTGCTGTTTTTATTGTGGCGATGAAGATGATGATGATGAATAATAAATTATCAAGATGACGGTGCTGTTGCTTGTTACGGAGGATCAATGTGTTGATGATGGTTTAAATGATTATGGTAAAAATAGATTAAAGTAATGGCATTGCATGCAACTGTAACTATGTCTTTAAATAACTTCAAATGTCAATATTAAAACATAAGGTTTCATGAAAGATTTGACAAGCAAGTACGATTCGGATTGGTTGAAGGTGACCTGCAAAAAAAGGAAACTCATTTCTGATTGGTGGTTGGTTCTCATGAATGCTTACAAAGATACTTCATCCGTTGACCAGTCCAATGAAGATTTGAGTATTGAAGGCTGGCTAGTTTTCCTGTTTTTCGATCATTGTTTTAAAACTTTTCAGCAAGTTTCTTTCATTATTTATTGCTGGCATCAACTCGTGATTCTATTAATCTATTCACTGACAGAATCATTGTCAAAACAAGCACTTCCACAGAGCTGGTCGGCTTACAAGAACCATCCTCTGTATGTCTCTCTGCCTGCTTGTCTGTCTGACTGTCTGTCTGTCTGACCGTCTGTGTGTGCATGTGTGCTTGTATTTCAAATTTTTTTTTGTTCATGTATGATTGCTGGTATTAACGTTTCCATTTGTGCTGATAAATTTGAGTTAGTATGCAGAGGCTATTGATGACTTTTTTTTTAATTGTAGAAGTCTCCAACAGCAAGCACTTACTCAACTACTTACTTGCCGAATAATGATAAATTCATCGATAATTCAGATACGCTATGAAGCGACACCTGTTGAAATACGAATGCATCTATCCGGAATCGTCGGTGACGTTGGGATTTGTTCGCGGGGAGGCCGTCTATTCGCGCGATTGCGTTCATACCGTTGGTATTTCAACATTCTCTCCTCTTTTATCAATGCGTTCAACAATAAATTGAGATTTGTATTTGGAATTTTGAGAAACTTTTTTCCTTCAGTTAAGATCTCGTAAGAAATGGTTGATAGAAGGAAGAGTTGTGAAGGATAATGTGTCACCGTGTAAAATTATCAAACATAAGAAGAGATTAAAAAACAAGGTCTTCCATTTATTTTTATCTTTATTATGTTTCACCTTTTGAACATTTAAATTTTGATAATTTCCAGATAGTTATGGAAGAAGATTTAGAATTATTTGGTAGATGGCAAACTGAACAGTTCATTCCAATGCCGGCGATCGATGTGAGTTGCTGTACCAAGTGTAACAGAATATAATATGTACATTTACTCAGATTAGTGCATGTCAAATTTATATATTTATAGGGGAAGGTGCCAAAGAATGAATTTGGAAATGTAGAGCTATTCCAACCCTGGATGCTACCAGGTGGTACCGTCTACATTGAAGGTTATCAAAAAAGTACTAATATGATATTTTAAGATACACTTATATAATCAGCACTTTAATTTATTATATTTTTGTTCATCGTTTAATATTTGATTTTGTGCAGTTACGTCAGAAATATTAATTGAACCTAAACGCGCCGGTTTACAATCGTCTTCTCGTTCTCACTTCTTAACTACAGTAATAGACACTGTTACGTTAAATCTGTGTTTGCTTTTTCTGGCCCTTCTCTCTGGAATCCTAACCTCCTTCTCTGACTACTTCTCCGTCACTGCATCACATCACCTTACATCGCAGAGCGCATGGATGGATTAAACAGACTAGCAAACAAGTTGCAGATAGACATTGCACCAGCCATGATGGGTTGGAATTTCATTGGCAACGTCAGTGCGCCTATGTAAATATTTTTTTTTCTCTGTTCTTTTGTAAAATGATTTCTCTTCTATTGGAAAGTTCGCTCTTATTAATTAGCTCAACTGCTACATATTTTATGTATGTATTATGTATCTTAGTATAATTCAGTTGCTTGCTGGCTGAGTAGATGTAAGTAACGAGTGGATGAATGGATAAATAAACTGACAAACGAATGAAGGAATAGATGAACGAACAAATTAATGAATAAATGAATGGCAGATTAAAAGGCTGGGTTGTTTGTGAAGAACATAAAGATATTTTATTGTCCGCATGGCAAGACGAGCAAAAGAGGATCAGACTTGAAGAAAAAAAGGTAGAATGACTTTTTTATCAGTTTCAAGTTGATTTTTGTATGTTTTTTAATGAAAATTTTTTTAATTTATTAGAAAAATGAAGAAAGAATTATGAACAACTGGAAGATTTTAATAAAAGGTGTCCTAATCAGAGAGAGATTGAGAAAAGATTTCAACATAACAGTATGTATTGTCTTACTCATTTCTTGAATTTGTTGGTTAACGATTCGGCATTTTTATTAATTTATTTTAATCAAGTGTAAAGTGTCGTACACGAAATAATCTTACTTTTTTGTAACTATATTGGGCAAGTAATTATTCACTGTTTTTTAATCAGGTGTAGTCCTAATGGAGGTGCCTCTGCTTCCCTCCAAGAATTTATTGCAGTCGATAAAAATCCCAGGAAGCGCCTCACGTCGAAATATTTTTTGGTTCGCACGTCGTGAAAATTGTGCAGTGCAAAATGCGTTGTCAAACATTAAAAATATAGTGTCTTTTTTATTTTTATCTATACTACTTTTAAATTACAAAAGTGAACCTTATGAGATGTAAATTTTTAAAATAAAATTTGTGTCAAAATGCGTGTTATTCTCCATTAATTGAACTAAAGAATAAATATTAATTGAATAAAATGAGTGAACATGAATTCAAAAATGAAGAAAAGATTCTGGTAATTTTCATATTTTAAATTAAAAACAATTTAAAAAATCCAAACAAACAAGACTTGAACAACTGTTGACTTGAACTTGAAGTTATTTTTATCTTCATGATCTCAATTTTGTTCCTAATCTGATTTTTATAAGTTTTAAACCTTTCCGTTTTTCTGGCATTGTAGTCGAAAGAGCATTATTGGTTGTTGAACTCAACTGCAGACAAAACATTCCAGGAAGTCTTCTGCTTACTTAACGTAAGAAGTGAAGTTGTTTGTATGCTTTCCATTTTTTAATTTATTCTTAACTTATTTATATGAAACGAATGTTTTAGTGGGGCGGTTTTTAAAATATTTGTTTAATTATTCTCAATTTAATAAATAATATTTAAAAGGCTGGTCGTGAATTAACATCCCCATCTGGATTACCAGGTCTTGGTGAAAGTTTTTTTCAGTGTTTCTGCTTTTATCTAATTTTTAAACATTAATTTATTTTTGTGTTTTTTAAATTTTATTAGACAATGTTTTTTTTTCAAATTTTTAGAATCCAGTCACAGTTATGAAAGGTTTATATTGAATGGAGCAAAGTAATTATTGATGTTTCTGCTTTCATAATAATATTTATATCACATTGCTAAAATAGAGAAATTATTTTCTCGTTATTTTATAATAACAACACTCCATATTTTGATCAAATGTTTTTAATAATTTCCATCACAGTGGCACAAAATGCATAATGACTCTGGACTCCTGCTGCATAATTGAAGCTGTTAGTTAGATATAGCTTTCTAATTATATTTAACATTAATCTTTTTTTACTTATTTATTATATTCAATGATCTACCAAGTAGCAAATTTAACTATTTACTAGCTTGCTTTGATAATCAGCAATTTGTTAGTTAGTTAATGTAATTTTTCAATTCAGGATTTATTGTTGAAAGTTTTGAAGCCTTCCACCAATCAAATAATTGTGTACAGATTCAAACTGGACTGCCAATATCCCTGGATCATTTCACAGGTTCTCCCATTTTTATTAGTTATGCTTTTCTTTGCTGTATTATCCTTGATATGTTAATCCTATTTTCATTTTGGTTTTTTAAAGGTTAATATTTTTTTCATATTCTTAACATTTTACAATTTTATTATTATATGTTTTATGATCAGTTTTTCTGGTAATAATGTTTCTGCTTTGTTTTTAAATAATTTTAAAATTTATATTTTTGGATTAGTTACAAGAGTCATCAAATTATTTGAATAAAGGCCTGCAATTGCTTGAATCCATTTTGGAATCCACCAATCACAGTTCAGGCTATGAGATCATTAATGTTCGTTTTTTTTATTTGGCTATTGTAGCATGTTACTAATATACAAACAGATTATTCATTGATTTGTGTGATTACAAATGGATTATTTCTATTTGTGATTTGATGTCAATGTACATTCCTGCAGATGTTAGACAACTTGGTGACATTCTTGAGAAAGAGTAAAGACTTACTGGCAAATCCGTCATCTTCAGTAAGCACTGCCACAAGCAGTAGAGCCTCACAAACAAATGTATTTATCTCTTTTTCTTTCTCTCTTTTTTTCTTTTAATTTTGCATTTATTCACTTTTCTTATACTCAAATTTGTTTTCTAAGTTTTTTGTCATTCTGATTAGAAATGTTTTAAAAGAATGATCAGATGTATTCAAAATTTTTGAGTTGCAACTCGTTCATTCAGGTAAAATTGTCTCCGGAGTTGCCGAAAGATTTGGACCTTACAATCGTCCTCCAATCACCTAAGCTCATATGTACAGTATATCAACTTTCAACCAATCAAAAAGCTCAAACCGTTGTGAATGGCAAATTTTCTGTATGTGCATGTGCATCAGTTTATTATTTAAACGTTGTTAATACTTGTGTGAACTCGTAAATTGTAATGTATGCCGACGCAAATAATATTGATATTTGATAGTGATATAATGTTGATGTAATGTTTTTCAAACTGACTCACACAGATGGAATGCTTGATCCCCAGACTGAATGATATTATCCTTATCATCAGCAGAGCAATCAACCTATCTCAAATGCTGAAAGATAAGGTGAATGTTTATCATCTTTTTATATCTTTCTTTGATTATTTATTTGTCCACTCATTCTCGTCTCATCTGTTAGCTAATTTATTTTGTTTTAAAGGTTTGTTAAATACAAGGTTGAATTAATATTAATTTCTATACCATATTGTTGAAATGGTTCTGAAAATGAGAATGGCGACGATGGAGATAGCATTGATGATAATGATTGGAATGAGGATGATAATGATAATGGTTATTGATTAGAGTGAGTGTCTTGATTGACGACGAACAAATGAATATTTGTTTTAGTTTGTTTGCACCTGTCACCATGAGCCATCATCGTGGGCTGATGATGATGATGATGAGAATGATAATGATGGCAGCAACGCCATCCACCTCGCCAATGATAAACGACCAATGATGAAAACATCAAATTACGTCCGTGGGAAGCCACAAACGCTTCGAAATCAGATCTGTTCTTTCAAAAATTAACTGATTCTGTAAGATTAGCTGCATAATTATCGTATAACGATGATGTAAGCACTATCATCATTTTCGTCATTGCCACAATCGCAGACATCTAACAATTTATAATATTGTGATCAATGATATCTTCTCATGCCTTGCACTGCTACAAATATGTTTTTGCCATTCGTATATTAATTTTTCATTATTAAGACATTGAATTTACCTTGATCATGGTTTTTTGCGTCTTCATAATATTCCATTTCTAATGGTTTCATATATTTTTTGCACTATTTTAATCATGTATCTTAACTATAAATTTATGGTTATAATAAGAATTGATCTCAGTTTCTGTCCGTAGTTCGAACTTCTCTGTGATTTTAAAGTTTCGATGCGCTGCAGAAATTTTGTTAATCTTTTTATTCTAATCTCTTAAGTACGTGGTTCAAGTAATTGTTAACATCAGTTTACTTTTAAATTTTACTTTTAAATATGATCAAAAAAGATGTCAGGTGATTGTTAAGTTCCGAATCTTCACTAATGTACGTACACTCAGATGCGCAATGTCAGATTTTTCAAAAGAATACGTTAGTTTCAGGGGTAATGTTCCCATGAAAAAAGTTAGTTTTTTAAATTTGGATTGTTTTTTTTACATCTGAATAAAATTTTATAAAAATTTTGAAAATTGTTTTCTTTGATTTGAGATGATTAATTTTAATTAATTAATGTTAATTGTAATGTTTTTTTTTGTCTTTTAATTATTTTTATTTTTTACAATTCTAATTGACTTAATATTAATTAGAATAATGAATAAAATGGTCCAATTGCAATCAGTATAGTTATGATGTAACAAAACACATAACAGTAACACTGACCTGACTGACCAGCAAATGACGAACACCAGTCAGTGCTCACTAATAAAATAAAATTTAATTTATATTTGATTTATTGCTAAAGATTTGCGTTCAAGGCTCAGAAACATGGACAATATATGATGCAGGGTCAAAGTCAATAAAATCTCCAATTATATTTCTTCCCCCTGTAGTTGGGCAGGCTGATGTTTACTTTAAACAAATCCTTGCTCTGTCTGCTCTTGGATACAGAACAATATCTGTTGGTTGTTTTATTATTATTTTTTTTATTATGTTTTTTAATTATTTAATTAATTTGAAATTTTATCAATCATAATTATTAATATTATTAAACTTTTGTCAATTGTTTTTTGTTCAGGTAGAATATCCAGTTTTGTGGACTGTCAGACAGTTTTGCATAAGCTTCAACAAATTGTTAGATTCACTTAGGCTAGGAAAAGTAGGATTAAAATTTTAACAAACTATGAAATTAAAAGTTGTGACATATGATTAGAAGACCAATGAATTGTACTTCTTCATTACTTAGGTTCACTTGTTTGGTTCATCGGTTGGAGGGTTCCTGGCTTTGAAATATGCTGAATATACAAAATCATCACGCAGGGTTCATTCTGTCATCCTGTGCAATTCATTCACTGATGCCTCATTTTTTTCCTCCAAATCTTTTTCTATTCCTTCTGACATGTGTGTCATTTAAATGTTCTTATTCTCTTTCCGTTTAATTGTGCTGTTTTAAGGATACAATTTATCATATACTACATTGTTCATTTATATCATATATTTATGTATATAATTTATAGATATATATTATATATATATTTATTATATTATATTTATTTCTTCATAATATTGTTAATAATTTAAATTTGATGTTGCATTCAGATATTGGTTACTTCCAAACTTAGTTTTGAAAAAGTTGGTGTTGTCTGATTTGAAGAGAACGAAAATAAGTAGAAGTATAGATGAATCAATAGAGTTTATGAAGGCATCTGTGAGTAACACATTCAATGTTTCAGTCATTCATCTATTTCAATGAATTTGTTACATTTTTTGTGTTTTTTAAATGAAATAAAGTATTACTCAATCTAGTTGAGTAATCATCTTAAAGATATTGAAATAAATCAATGAATGATTTATTTTCCAACACCAGCTAGATAACTTGACACAAGAAGAATTATCATCTCGTTTGACCTTGAATTGTGTCAATGATTATGTACAGCCCCAGTTTCTAAGGCATGTTAAGATTATGGTCATCGAGGTCAGCGTTTTCACTATTTAAACCTGAAGTTCTAAATATTGAAAAGATAATTTTTTCGATTTTGCTTTAAACTGTTTTGTGTTAGCAAGTTTTTAGTTTTGTTTATTCATAATTCAAGCTTTTTTTTTGTTTTGTAAGGTTAATGATTGTGAAGCAGTTGATAGTGAAGTTATGAACGAAACATTTAAATGTTTCCCTGAAGCCAAAAAGGCCGAATTGAAGAATGGAGGCTGCTTTCCTTTCCTCTGTAGATCGGATGAAGTCAATATTTTCATTCAAGTTGGTCTTAACTCATGCATCTCTTACTTGCAATTAATATGTAACTTATGATGAATTGAGCTAATTTTGAAATGCCTCCAGATCCACATGAAAGATTTTTTGGACTGCCCTGATTGTCGCCCAATTGAACCGAACAATCCAATCATGACTTTATACGTGGAGGCCAATCAATCAACTTCAACTGAAACGACCTCATGAACGAATCTTGTTTTGAACATCATTTATATTTTGTACTTATTGAACTTATTATTTTTGATGTGACTGTTTATAACATTGTTTTTTAATAATGATTTCTCATTGAAAAGATTTTTATTTTTTTGCCCTTTGGTCGTCATCTTTGTGGTTGTTCTGTGATTGTTCACCGACTTCCATTGGTTGTAACATCTATTCATGCTTGTGATATGCAACGCTATACTATTACTTTGCAAGTTTTGTTATTAGTGTTCGCTTTTAGTCTTAGTGTTTATTTTGTGTAATAAAATGTCCAACCAATTTTGAGTCAATTTTCCTAAAAAATGACGGCTCCATTCAGTAAGATGGACTTCATCCTAATTCTAAATTTTATGGAAGATGAACTGAAATTTAAGGAAGACACCATTGAAGAGCTGAAAGTAGTTTTTTATTTAAGTTCTTTTCAAACAGATTTTTTTAAGAACTTATCTATTTAAACTTTAATTAAGTCATAAAACTAAATTTAGATAGTTGACCTAATTGTGTAATCGAGCATAAAATGAAGATATATTATTTCTTAGAAATGGCAACTCATGTCTCAAGCTAATGAAACGAAGTATGGAAAGATTAGTCCCCACACTCATCACCATCTGCCAGCAACAACTGACTCTCCATCAAGTAAAAGCAACACAAAAAAAAGAGAAGTTGTCAACCATGACTGCATGGACCCGATGTTGAAGTTGGACAAGTTGATTGAATCTCATCAGAGATGTGTGCAAGATGATCTGCGTAGGAAGTTAATGACTCTCAATGATGTCTTCTATATGGTTCGTTATTTTTATTTTATTGTTATTCCTCATTATTTATTTTATTAATTGTTGGAATTTTTTTTGTCATTAATCCACTTATCTATTCTTTCTTTTTTTTTTCTCTCTTTCTCTCTCTCTTTATGTTTTTTTACAAGCATAAATTGTTATGATGGCATGGCTGGTGATTTATTTTTTTAAACAGGAAACAGAGAAGCAGTTGACGAAAGAGCAGAAGCAAGAGGATGATGATGATGAAGGTGGAGATGGTGGAAGGGTGGCTGGCAGGATTGATGAGTTGATTGATGAAGTTAGATGCCTGTCCAAAAATGTTAGTTGGTTCTTTTTACCTCTTTTGTGGGTTCATGTTTTTTATTTGCCTCTAGTTTTATTTCATCTGCATGTTGATTGTGTTAGTTTTTATTATAATATGTGCACAAATTTCAATAGCTTTATTTGACATTGCTGTATTTTAGTTTAAAGAATAAAAAATGTGTGTGCAAATGAACTAATTTTTTCATTAACGGTTTCCTAATTTTGCAGCTGGATTCATTGAGAGGAAGTTGCCAGTCGAGAAAAGATGAGATGAGCAGAATAATCGAAGAGCAGCTTCTCCTGGACCCGAACAAAAATGTCGCCCTTGTCATCATGCCTAAATTAATTTCAGTGAGGAAGCAACACTATGAGGATCTGAAAGTCGTCTGCAACAACATCCACCAACACGAAACAAGACTAGCAAAAGTGAAAATGAAAGTGAAAGTCTTGGAAGAAAGTTTGTTTGGGATTTCTGATGTCTTTCAAATGAAAAACAGAAAAAAACGTGAAGAGCAAATGAAATTGGATGATTTGAATGATAAAATAACAGCTGTCCAACAAAGAAATAGCTTGCTACAATCTAAAATTTTTCAGAAAAACACAAAATCAGAGCAGCAACAATTACGACAACAACAGTTGCAGCAGCAACAACAACAGTTGCTGCAACACTGCAGACAGTCACATATACAGCAAAAATTCACGCATCAACCACAGCAACTGCAAAACAAACCACCTCACACATGTCATCATCATCACCATCATCATCATCATCAACAACATCATCATCAACATCAGCAACAACTTCAACAACAACAGTACATAAGTTCAACAGCTCATCAAATGCTTAAGATGAAAGATATAAACAACACAACTAGCCCTCAATTCAAACTACAACATCAGCAGCAGCAACAACATCAGCAGCAGCGGCAACAGCAGCCTCAGCAACAACAAAATTTTCACAAACATCATCACATCCAACAAATGCAGCTAGCACAAAATAGTTGTCCACTCAATGATGTCATCACTTTAGGACTTGCAAGCATCTCCACATCAACGACAACAACAACAAGTTTAACATCAGCAACAACTTCAACCTTTTCAAAACCTCTATTTAAACCGTTGAGAAGTTCAACAACACAGCTCTCAACAGCAGCAGCAACATCAATCACAACATCTCTGACGTCAAAAACAACCACAACTGCAACACCACACATGACAACAAACGATGCTCTGCCTACACCGTCAGCTGCATCAGCGTCATCATTGTCATCACTGACACCATCATCATCGTCAACATCAACCACGTTCTCAACATTCAGAGCAGGCACGAGATTCATGTAACACTTATACTTTCGTACCATTAGACATGATGATGGCAGTGTTGCTGATTGCGATGAAGACTAAGGAGATTGTGATGATGTTGATGATGACGCCATGTGCCTTCCTAGCACAATAATTATTCCTCTTTTTAGCTAAAACATTACTTTTTTTTAATACTGTATTCATAGAAAATTAATAATATTTTTGTTGTTGTTGTTTCGTACGTTTTTGATCTGTTTCCTTGATAATCTCTTTGGGCTTCTGTTGCAATTTTCGCCCACTTAGTCAAATCCTAATCTGAATGACAATGGAACTCTTATGCTAATTATTTATTTCTATGTAACGTATGTACATTTCTTACAATTGTTAATATTCATTGGGTGCCGACTAATTGTTACTAATATATTTATTTATTTATTTATTTTGTTTGTTAGTTATTCAAATTAACTCTTACAATTTTACATTTCTTTCATTTTCTTTTTAAACTTCTTAAGGGAGAAATAAACCTTGGGGGATAACAATTTTTGCTTACACCAGAGTTCGTTTTTCCGTCAGAATAATAAGATAACTGAGTTAATTGTGTTTTTTATTTATGTAGATATATGTATGCATGTGTGTTGGCTCCTATGCACATGTGTGGTTGTTTTTTACCACGGTGATGAAGATACTTCATCAAGATACATGGAGGAAGAACAGGGAGAGAACATATGTTGGGCAGTAGAAGTTGTTTTGCTGTTTGTCAGTCTATGCAATCTTCTGTCATGTGCCTTGTTTATGCGTGCGTACGTGCGTGCCTTTCATCATGAAAATTCTAGTAAGGAAAATTGAAAAGACAAACTTTAAGTTGATTGATGTCAACAATTCGGTAGAATACATGTTTGTGTATGTATATATATATACAAACATATATATATATATATATATATATATATATATATGTGTATATATACATATAGAAACAAACACTGGCGATGAAAGACGCATGTATAGTAGTATGTATACTTACTATACATGCGTGGAGCGTGCGACAGCAAGGTTTGAAGATGACCTGAAAGAAAGCTGCCGAGCTCAATAAGCTGCTGTGCAGACCGACAGTAAAACACACACGAAACAAACACACGTACATACACAAATACAAAAACGTTGTGTATATAAATATGTGCACACTGTACTCAAGTACGTACACACACACACACACACACACACACACTGTAGTAATAGACATGTATACAAATGCGTTTTAAACGATCAGTGCTGTTTTGTATGTTGACCATATAAGAAGGCGAGCATCTCGTTTATCATCGTCACAACAAACATCATCATCATCACAACAACCACCATCATCATCATCACAATAACAAACATCATCATCACAACCATCATCATCATCGTCGTCATCACAATTGTCAATCTACAATTTTTCAATAATTGAAATCAAATACCACAAAGGTAGGAAAAAGAGTGTGAACGAACAAGATAGCACACATACGTACATACATTTTGGGTTCATACATACACACATACATACATACATTTTGGGTTCATACATACACACATACATACATACATTTTGGGTTCATACATACACACATACATACATACATTTTGGGTTCATACATACACACATACATACATACATTTTGGGTTCATACATACACACATACATACATACATACACACCAACCACATTCATACTTTCATTCGCACGCACGCATAAATACTCAAATACGGAACAACAGGCATACATATGTTGTGAGAATTGGCTGTTGCAGTTGATGTGATGGTGCGTCCAGAAGAGGAGTGCGTGCGTATGAAGAGGAATGCGTGCGTATGAAGAGGAGTGCGTGCGTATGAAGAGGAGTGCGTGCGTATGAAGAGGAGTGCGTGCGTATGAAGAGGAGTGCGTGCGTATGAAGAGGAGTGCGTGCGTATGAAGAGGAGTGCTGTTTTCTCAGCTCCATACATCGCAGCCTGTTGGACAACATTGCGAATACACTCTATACATATATTATATACATTATATGTCCATGTGTATTCGTTATATTTTCCATACTGTATAAACGTACACACACTTCCATACAAACATACATTATGAAATGTATACACATATGCGTGATGTAAACATACATACACACGTGTATATAAATTATTTATATATATATATAAACATATGTATATTTATTTATATATTCATATAACACATCTAAACGAATATGCCTGCCACCATTCACGTAAATGATGAAGGCATGTTGTGTGCAGGCAGACTGAGCAGAACTCAGCGTACTCACCTAGATCGCGCATAATGTATTGATGTAATTTATTATTCATGCTCTCTAGGCCAGAAAATTTATTTATATTTTAATATTCTTCTCGTCATTATAATCGTCTTCGTCGTCGTCACCATCACCATCATCATCATCTTCCTTCATCGCCATCTTGTAACTGTAATGGGTTAGTAGAATATTTAACTAATAATGTATTAATAGCGAAATGGGACAGACGCGCGGATAGACTGCAGGCCATTGGAGGACGATCATTATGACGTCAGCAGCTGCGACGATGATGGTTGGTTGATATTTTGAATGGCTTCTCAAACATACGTCAGCTTATTTATGGTTTCTCTCCACATTAATATTTTTAATTTAAAAATCACCGCTTTCGTTATGATTGAAGATGATTCGTTGAACGCCAACAAGTTGTAGGACCGCTGGAAATAAAAAAAAAAAAAAAACAAAGCGCATACGTTTCTACATCAACAACAACGACTTTATTAATCACGACACACCAACAACATCAACAACAACATCAACAACTACAACATCGACAACAACTACAGCTACAGCAACGTCAACAACTTCTACTACATCTTAGTGTAAATACACCTCAGCAGCAGCATCAGCAAGAACAACACAGCAACAGTCACAACCGCAGCAACATATCATGTAGGGATTTGGAATTTAGTTTGAGCATGGACAGCAAGGCAGGCCCACCGGTCACCTTCACCTTTCTTGCAGCCAGTCTGCAAGAGAAAAATGCTTGGTGCAGTGACATTTCGCAGGTGATAGAAATGATGGTGGAAAGGAATACGATGATGATGAAAAATTAAAACATTGAAAGTTTCTTTGATGAACCAACAAGCAAACACAAACTCGCATTCAAACTTGCAAACACTCACAGTGCATAGAAAACCTTCATTATGGTGGGATGATGGTTAACATTTATGAAAATTCCAGCACTACCTCCTCATCCTCCTTGTCATCATCAGCATCAGCAGCAACAACAACATCTCAAACATTTAAGTACTTGTAAGCCAATTTGGCATTTCCTCTTTTTTGTAATGTTGTCGTTGATATGTGTGTTGATGTGGCTTAACGCGCTGGTTGCAGTGGAGGTAGCAGTAGTAGTAGTAGTGGTGGTAGTAGTAGTATTAGTAGTAGTAGCAATAGTAGTAGTAGCAGTAGTAATTGTTGTTGTTGTTGTTGAAATAATTATTCATTTGCCCTCAAACACACGCCAGACCTGACCCGCGCCTCTTCAAGGATGACGTAGACATCAAATTCAGCAGGTCACTCAACACCTGTAAAGAGCCGCAGGTAGTAGGTCATAGGTCACCATCATCCCCACCACCATTATCACCGTCGTCATCATAATCGTCACCTTCATCATCACCATCTTCGTCAATTCCATCATCATCATCATATTACACGTCGTCGTAGATTCGCCAGGCCACTGTGAACCGACTGCTGGATCGACTAACCGACTTACGGTTCTTCAGTTCGGACTTCTTGAATACTTTCCTAACTACTTACAGGGTCTTCACCACTTCAGCAATCATCATCGACGCGCTCAGGAAAATTTACAGAAATCCCGAAATTGGAAACCTGCAAGTTACTGCCTGTCCGACCAATCAACACAGAGATAGGTTGCTCAATTAGTTGTAATAATATTAAGAACTATTATTATTATTATAATAACAACCGTAATTATAACGATGATAATTATTTGGGATGTTGTTAAATTCAACTTGCAGATGTTCGCTGGACTGGCGGCTTGGTGACGAGCAGAGCGAATTGAAGCAACAACATCAGCAGCATCAACGAACTTGCTTCAGTGTTGACGCAACTACACAACCGAACAAAAAACAGTTGCTGGTTATGCAACAACAACATTATCGTCAACAACAACATCAGCATCAACAACAACAACAACAGATCATTCAACATCATCATATCGCCATGCAGCAGCAACAACGTCAAACTGTTCAACAACAATTTCAACATCCGAACACGCTCGATAAACCACAGTTTGACAAATTAAGGAGAGTAAGCACGGGCAGCATGAAAGCATCAACATCAGCAGAGGAAGGAACGAATCCTTACAAAGACAGCAACTGCAACAAAGGCAGCAGCAAAAAAATGTTGACGGCGAAATTAAGTAATGGAGGTAATTTATAATTTTGTGATCGCCCATTCTATTACTTTTTCAATTTTAATAATAATAATTCTTTCCTTCCTCTCCATATTCATTATCTTCATAATTATAATTATTAGCTGAAACTTAATTTTTTACAGATCGAATTATATCTGAGAAAACGTCTGGTGCTTCAAAACAATTTCATTCGCAACAACCACAACTACAACAGCCACAACTACAACAGCCACAACTACAACAGCCGCTACTACCAATGCTACAATCACAGCAACAGCAAGAGCGCATTGTATTGCAAGAAAAACCAACATTGCTTCTAGAAAAAAACATTTCAATTTCTGAAGACACGACAAAGCAATCGAAGATACCGTGGAAAGATTCAAAAATGCATCTGGAACAACAACAACAGCAGCAATGCAAAGTTACTTTAGCGCTACCTCGGTCCAAAAAGTTGGCTCCCATAGCCTCGTGTGAGACTTTGTCTGGTAGTTTGGATTTTGCAGACAGCAGCAACTATTACAGCAGCAGCAACAATAATAGCAACCAAGACAGCATCAGTAGCAGCATTGCCAGAAGAAGCGACGAAGACGGCAAACTTTTATTAGACGAGAGAGTTGGAGCAAGAAGTTGGAGCAAAGAAAGAATGCGATCAATTGAAACGCCATCATCAGCTGAAGAACCACCAGCTGATGACGTACCTGCCTTTCCCAACCAATCACAGAACAACACGACAATAACATCAGCCAATGACATTAGCGCATTTTCATCTAAGACATTTTCTCCTTGTTTGCAAAGAAACAGTGCAGACGGAAATGAATCAGTTCTTGCTGCTGCTGCTACTAATACTACAAATGGCGATCTTAAGAGAGATTTCATTAACTTAACCAACCTTGAAGATGTTGAAACTCAAGCAAAAAGACAGCGTCAGTTTCGACAACAACATCAACAACATCAACATCAACAACATCAACAACATCAACAGTTATTAAATAACGACAATTTTCAATTTGAACATCAGCTTATAAAACAACAAAAGCAACTTCAGCGTCAGCAACAACAACAACATCATCATCATCATCATCATTTCTTACAACGACAAGATGTTACTTTCCACGAGTTCATTGAATCGTCTTCTTCATCGTCAGCAGCAGCAGCAGCAACAAGCTCGAGTACTTCACAACGACAGCAACAATATTTAAGAGAACTTGCACAAGAACTACAGCCTTCCTTCTCTTACGACACATGTTTCGAAGACAAACAACAACCGCAAACAGACGTACATTCAACATTTGAATGCTCAAACTACAGAACAATTCAACTAACGACAACATTCGACAACAACAACATCTTTCTGGTCCCACATTCTCCAAACTGTTTATCAGTGTCGCCCACCCCATCTTTTACTTCCTCGTCAGAAACACTAACAGGGTCTCGCCAGCAACTTTCAGCATTCGACAGCAGCAACAACAACAACAACAACGCAGTTATGGAATGCCAACCACAACCACATAAACCGAACAACGACAACAACGACAAAACTGAATCCGATTGCCAAATATCGTTATCTACCTTTCCGACATCAATTGCTCTCTCTCCTTCCTTTCACAAAAAGTCCATCGTCTCAAACATCTGGGATGGGTTGAAGGGAAAGATCAGCAACAACTTCTTGCAACATCAACAACAACATCAACAACCTCAACAACAACCTCAACAACAATCTCAACAACAACAACATCTGTTGCCAATGTCTATCTTACAGCAGTCGAACAGCTCCTCATCCTCACCAATCTTCTGCCGCCGTCCCCAACGTCAACATCAACACCGGGACTGCAACTTCTCGACCATCTCTCTCAACAGTGACAACATCATGACGTCATTATCATCAACCATGTCCTCTTCTTCCTCTCCCCATTCATCATCATCTCCAATCTTCTTCCACTCGCCTACATCATCTTTCTCTCAAGTCAAAAGGTCGAAAGCGTTTGGTTGTAGTAAAAGTTGTGAAATGCAGTTGGAAGCACTTGCTCTTTCTCCAATAAGTAGGTCAAAGTTCACTGCTGAATCTAGGTCAAATAAAAAACAACACAAACGACGAAACAAACAACAACAACAATGTTTGTCACAAGATTCGCAACACCAAAACTCAGCACCACTACAACAACAACAGCAACAGCAGCAGCAGCTACAACAGCAACAGCAACAACAACTGAAAATGTCCTTACCTTCGACGTTTACTTTAGAAAATAGTAATAAGTTAATCAGTTTACCAGCAACAACAACAACAACTTTCCAAAAGTGCATGATATCTTGCAGGCGAGCGACATCACCGCTGCCAACACCTTCGGCAACTTTTTCATCATCCACGACAAACTTTTTCAACAATTTCAGGAGAGCTACCTCGCCAGGGTCATTTCAGTTTCTCGATCAACCACAGCAACAACATCAACATCAACAAATACAACATCAACATCAACAAATACAACATCAACATCAGCAACAACATCAACAACCACATCGATTGCAAATGAACAAAAACCAACATGTCGACGATTTTTCAATTGATGAAAATTTTCAAACTTTCAAAAACAACAACACTATCAATAACAGTTATAATAGTAATAATAATAATATATATAATAATAATAATAACAACAACAACGCGCAAAAAAATTTTTTATCATTATCATCGTCTTCGTCAACTAATTCTTTATCATCATCATCACATTCTTATACAACATCAATGTTCACGTCTTCGTCATCATCATCAACAACAACAACAACAACATCATCATCAACCACAACAACAACATCATCGTCATCATCATCATCATCATCAACAACAACAACAACATCATCATCATCATTATCAGCGGTCGCCCAGCCACCAGGAAGCGTATTTACCTCTCCGAGATCTTCTAAGAGAAGGTTCTACCAATAAATATTATCAATAATATCACTATTATCATCATCATCTTCGTCATCATCATCATCGTCATCATTACCATCATCTTCGTCATCATCATCGTCATCATTACCATCATCTTCGCCGTTATCTTCCTCGTCAGATCAAGTTCGTTGGCAGCAGCAGCAACGGCATTCACTGCAGCAACAGCTGGCTCGAAGCTGACCAGTTCGTCAAAAGAACACAACAACAACGACAACAACAATGACCACAATAATAATAATAATAAATGTCCCCACAACAAGAGCAACAACCCTAACAGGCATCAAGTGATTAATGGTCGTTAGTTTTAGTATCTTTTCATTTTAAACCACTCTTCCATTCATCAGCATAATAATTATTATTATTAATAATTTATTAATTTATTTATTATTATTAAAATCATCATTATCATCACCAAATTTAAGAAGTGGCTGATGTGAATCGACGTTGTAGGAAGTCATCAGTCCTCAACAGGATCGCCACCTTCAGAGTCCTGGCCATCTTGAGACAGTGGATCAGTAGGCAATCGCAGGTTGGTTGGTCGGTCGGTTGGTTGGTCGGTTGGTTGGTCGGTTGAGGGGTTGGTTGGTTAATTGATCCGCCCATTCGTCTATCAATTAATATGAAAAGGACTTCGTATCCGATCGGGAACTACGTTGGAACGTGAGGGACTTACTGGAGGAGATCTTGCAGAACAACACCCTCCCGTCTAACGAACGAAAACTCGCGCAATCCATCATGGCCGTCGTTGTTGGAGAGGAGCCCGAATGGTCACGGGATCACTCCATGCACCTGGAAGCCATCTTGCGTCTTCCGGAAAGTCCGTCAGAAGAAAATTTTGATTCTTTGAGAGCCGTGGACATTGCGGAACAAATGACGTACCTAGATCACCAACTCTTCCTTGCTATCAGGAGCGAGTTCGTTTTGTAGATCGATTGTGATCGGATGAAATATTCGTTTATTTAATGAATGGAGGGTTTGGATTGGATGATGATGACTGACTTGCTGCACTCCTACTAACCGTAGAGAACTCCTAGGACAGGCTTGGATGAAAGCTGACAAGGCAGCTAGGTCACCTCACGTCCTACTGGTCAGCAAGAGATTCAATGAGGTCAATCGTTATAATCTTGCAATAGTATTTGTATCAATAAAGCTCAATTTATACGCATTATATGCACCTTTTAATTCATTAAAAAAAACTTTCAAAAGAAACAAATGAAGATATTATGTAATAAGAAAGAGCAAACAACAGGCATCCAGATTGGTGGTGTGTGAGATCGTCAGCAGGACATCAGTACAAGATCGCATCTCGTGCATTGAAAAGTGGGCTGCCATTGCTGACATATGCAGGCTAGTTCAACAATGCCGCTATCAGTGAGGGAGTGAATGACGGAATGGATAGATGAATAAACGAATGAATGAATGAATGAAACGTCAGGTGTTTGAACAATTTCAACGGGGTCCTTCAAATTTGCGCCGCGTTTGTCACCAGTTCAGTGTACAGATTGAGGAAAACGTGGGAGAAATTACCGAAACAGGTTTGTGTTTGTTATATTCATCCAACAGGGACGGCTAACCAACCATCCAACAAGCAAACAAACAAACAAACAAGCAAACAAACAAACAAACAGACCAATAGAATTTAAGTAGGAAGCATTTGATTTGAATGACTGCTTTTAAAACAACTTCAAAGTTAGAGCACGTTGAATTTTAACAAAGTAGAAATCTAACACTTTCAAAATCATAAAAAATAAAGATAGAAATGCGAAAGAAAGAAAAGAGCCCGATTCGCTGAAGGCTAGATCGGCTCTGTACCACTTCTATCTAATCATTCACTTCTGTCTATTCATCATCCATTCATTCATTTCTATCTATTCATCATCATCATCTATTCATTCATCCACCTATCTATTCATTCACTCATTCATTTGTCTGGTTATTGATGCACGTTTGCAGACGAGGCAGACGATTGAGCGGTTGCAGTTCCTGGTCTCTTCCGATCAGAAGTTCAAAAACATGAGGGAGGCCCTGCACACGTTAGTCTCAACTTTCATTGCATTTCAATTCCTTACTCGATCATTCAACGTTGAATAATCTCTTCTTGGTTATTTCAAAGAAGTTTAGAATTGAATATTTTAACAAGAAAATAAATGAATGAACGAACGAAAATATAAATAAAAAAATAAACGAATGACCCGACCCAGAAGCGTACCGCCCTGCATACCCTTCCTCGGCATGTACCTGACCGATCTGACCTTCATCGAAGAGAGCACGGCCAACTTTACTGACACTGGCCTCATCAACTTCTCCAAGATGAGGATGGTGAGTTGCATGAATACTGCCTCTGGCTGTCTCAAACAGCATTCCTACCAACAATGATGATGATTAATTTATGCTGATACAGTTGGAATGATGTTAGCGAGTGATTGGATAATTTAAAATAATGAAATTTCAGATTGCTCGCGTGATAGAAGAGGTGCAATATTTCCAAGGAACACATTACAAAATCGAGCACCGACCAAGAGTGAGCTTGTTATTCAAATCAGTCATTAATGATTCATCATCGTCACCTCCAAAAAAACCACCTCATCATCATCATCTTCATCTTTACCACCATCACCACCAACAACAGACAGCCAGATACTTACTGGACCCATCTCGGCTAATGGAAGACGATCAGACATTCAACTGTTCACTTGAAATCGAACCCAGGACCACGAGGTCATCCGTTACGTCACAAGTCACGTGATAAAATTAACGGATCCTGTAAAACATAGTACATATATTAAAAAAACTTACAGAGAGAGAAAGAGAGAGAGATGCAGACGCACATGCATAGATGCGCGTGGAGCGAAAGATAAATATAAATAACCAAGTTGAACTTACTGGATATAGTTCAATTTCAAAGTTTTTGTGTGTTGTTGTCTATGATGATATCGTCTTCAATAGCAAATTTATCAGACAAAACTTCATCATCACTATCTCCATCATCATCTCTTGCATCTCATTATTTTTTAACCAAACTTTCGTTCATTCATTCATTTTCTCAATTTGTTTCGTGAATTAATCGTAATTATTGAATAAATCTGTTTAAAAAATTATTAATTAATTCATTCATTCATAATTCATTCATTCATTTAATTTCTATTTTCAAATAGATCGATACTTGAAAAATTTTTGTATAATGATATCATTACACTATATGATATATATATACACACATACATATATATCATATATATATGTATATCCAAAGATTATATGAATATGTTTTACATATATACTATATATACAGACATAAATTAATGCATTAGTACGAAATTTACATAATAATTTAAGTTCATTGATATATATTTATACCAATGAATTATATATATATATACACCAATGATTTATATGATATATATATATATATACATATATATAAGTGTGTGTGTTGGTGCTTGTGTGTAGTGATAGTGAAGTTATATATTTATAATAAATGAAAACAATATGACACCAATGATGTTGGCGATGATAACAAGAAATTATTTACAGAGAATGGCGAAATAAAATTGTATTTAAATAGCAAAATACACTTAAAATAATAATAATTATTATTATTATTACTATAATTATTTCAGAGAGAATAATGGTAGATACAAAAATGTCTTTGAACGACGAATCATTCGTACGAAATCAACAAACATGCAAATATGTGTAGATATATATATAAATATACATCCTTTAATATATATATATATATATATATACACCACACGTATACATATACATAAATATAATGCATCCCATTAACTAGCTTTAACTTACACATATGCATAATTTTATATACAAAGTCATTACACTTAAACTCATTTTTTCAGACATGAAAATAAATAAATTGATGAAACTTATTTAGAAAACAGACACGCACACGCACGCACACAAGCACGCACACACGTATAATCGATGGATTGAAATGATTGGTTGATAATAAAATTTATTGAAACATAAATTGGAAGACAAGGTTAAATATATTGTAATAATATGGCCATACAACAAACATCATATCACATATATTTATCATTACAAACATCATATCACATATATCTATTCTTACAATATTCACAGATATATATCTATCTATGTATCTATCTATCTATCTATGTATGTATCTATCATCATTCAGGTCGTGATCACTCAACTACCAATCTGTTTTGTAACAATGCAAAATGTCGACAGGTTGTCATTCAAAGACATCAGCCGAGCAAACATAACCATCCCCTCACTAAATAGACAATGTTATATTTATTCATAATGGTGACGAGCGTTAGATTATCTTACACACGTAAGATTGCAATTTAATGTTGCAACAATTAATATCAATAGGTAATTAAACAACTGAACAATCAGATAAGATGCATACATACAAACATGTGCAACCAACATTAAAATGCTATCAAACAAAATTCATTGCATTGCATTGTATTGTATACAGACAGATACTTACATGCATACATAAAAATAAGAGATGCACCGACCGAATAGTGAATTTGACCGAAGACTGATCATACGAATAGTTAAACCGCTATTCGATCGAAGCTGGATACCGAGAAATCAAAATTTTGAAAAAAATTTCATTTTTAAGAATGAAAAATAAGCTATTGAGAAAAAATAGAAAGCAGAAATTAATGTCAATTGTATAATTCTTCATTTGGATAACATTGAACCCCATCCAACTCCTGCAGTCCAAAGGAAGATGTGCCGAGAGCTACGGAGGTCAAAATAATATTTACGCTGGCCGATAACATTCAACAGTTATTGTTCTGAAATCGAAGAAAGGTGATGGCTCGAAGGAAAACTGCACACGGCCTTCCAAAGTCTGTCGAGCAATACAAACAGAAATACAGAGAAGAACACAGGCACATGCACACGTACAAACAAATATGAAACTGCTGACACACACACATGCACAAATACACACAGACAGAGGAATATAATTATAGAGAGAAGTCTCGTTTGTAGTTAACAATGATAACAACGCAGCACATCTTCGCCATCCTCTGGTGAATAGATCACATGCATTTAATACGATATAATGCAATAGTATGTTAATGAATGAATGAATGAATGAACGAACGAATAAATGAATGATAAACGGATGAATAAACATTTGACATTTAATAAACGTAATGTATCTATCATTAAATGAGTATTACAACTTGCGAATGAATGAATGAATGAATTAATTAATTAAAAATGAAAGATTAATTGAAGGAATAAATTACATACTCACAAACAAACAAAAAGGTGCGGGAAAAAGAGTGAATGAAAAAGTAAAATTGAAGTAAAGGAGAAAAAATATGAACGAATGACCAAAAAAAGAATGAATGAATGAATGAGCATGTGCATGCATCCATGAATGAAATAAACAGATGAGTGAACGAATGAGTGAGTGAATGAATGGACCGAATATGATATAAGCAGTTGGGTAGGATGTGAATCATCAATGCTGTTATAATACTTTCGTTTTTATTAATTGTCCACTGAATAATAATTAATCAATATATATATATATATATATATATATATATATATATATACTCGAACTAATTAACATAATATATTAAAACTAATTAACATAATATATTCAAAATAGTTGACACAATATATGCACATAATAACACAGATTTCATAGATTCGTTAATTTTTACAAAGTATCAAAACGATAAATGATCTTCATTATCGCCATCATCATCATCACCACCATCCAATCATTATCATCATCATCATCATCGTCGTCGTCACTACCAGCTTAACCAACGTCACCATCATCAATTCTCTTAAATTGTAGATAGCATGGGAACATTTGAATTTACAGAAGTCTGCAGTATCATACGAGTGAGTGAGTGAGTGAGTGAGTGAGTGAGTGAGTGAGTGAGTGAGTGAGTGAACGAATGGATGAGTAAAGATGAATAACTGAATAATCAAAGGGTTGAATGAACAAATAAATAAATAAAGAAACGAATGAATGAATGAGTGAGTGAACAGATGATGAAATGGTAGAGAATACAATCATCATCAAAATTATGAATGCCATTATTATTATTATTATCATTATTATTATTATTATTATTGATATTATCTTCCTATTGGTGTCAAGTGGTAGAAGCAATCCTGCTTGCTTGTTAGTTTTTGATCGCTAGATGGCTGGCTGTATGTTCTTGCTGCTGATTGGTTGGCATGTGATGACTGGTCAGACGATAATTTGTATGGATGTGTCATCAGTTGATTTCCTGTTGAGTTGAAAATTAAAATTAAACTTCAAATGATGCAGCTGATGACGAATAGAAGGATGGCGATGATGAATAGGACGATAGCAATGTGTTGAACAAAGTGATGACAAGCAACAACCTTGACTTAAGAACAGCTGGCTTGAGATAATCATCTTGTGCTAATGTTAAAACATCAGGTCTCAATTCTTTGTGGTACGTCAGACAGCGCCGTATGAAATTCTGTCAAATTTTCATCATCATCGTCGTTATTGAAACTCCTATCAACACTAAATTCATCATCGTCATCGTCATCTACATCGTCATCATCGTCACGTGACACACCTTAGCTTCACTGCTGACGAATGGCTTAGCAGGAAATTGTACTTCAGTGGCCTTCAGGATGGTGTTCTCTTCCAGGATGGCAGCTTGCGAGAGGTTGTGTCCAAATGGCTGGCAGTTTATTAATTTGTATTAGTTAATTAATTAGTCAGACAGGCAGTAAATAAATTGGGCAATTAATGAAAGAAATAATGGGTCAATAAATAATTTGGACCTTCTTGCCATAGAGGCACTGATAGAATATGATGCCAACTGACCAGACGTCCACCTTTGACGAAATCTTCGGTGGATCCTTACCGACCACGAAACATTCCGGAGGCAGGTACCTGAATAGATCAAGTCAGCAATCGATCAATCAATCAATCAATCAACCAATCAATCAATCGATTGAGAAATCAGTCAAACAAATTTCGAGAAAACATTTTACCAAACCAGCAATGGAAAAAACCAACTGGCCAGCACTCAGAAGAAACGAACCAATAAGTGCCAGCCCCCTGGGAAGTGAGGTCCATTCCCTGATCAGGGCTGTAACTGTCATCATCCATTATCTTGCTTAGCCCAAAATCTGTAATCTTAATCTCGCCACTGAACGAGCCACTGCCCAAGAGAACGTTGCCCGGTTTCAAGTCGTAGTGAATGATCGGCGGTTTGATTTCGTTCAGGTACTTCAGTGCATTCACCGTCTGAACGATGATCGACCTGCATTCCTTCTCTGAGATGAATTTGTTCTGCTTCAGATGAAAGTCAAGGTCGTTGCCCTCGCAGTACTCCAACACAGTGCAGAAGCTGGAGAGGGTGATGATGTGATGCAACGTAGTGTGGTGGGTGAGATAATTAAGGAAGACATAATCATCGGACATGTTGAGTGAAGAAGATATGGTAATGAAGGATTCAATAAAGGAAAGATTGAATGAATCATCATCAGCTTCACCATCATCATCATGAAGAAAAATTGAATGAAGGAAAGATTGGGGGAATGAATGATAATGAAAATGGATGATGATGAAGATGAATGATGATGATGATGAGGTCATGAACGAAAAACTGACGAGTTGTTATCAATTTCGAAGACATCAAACAATCGGACGATACGTGGGTGCTCCAGCTGCTTGTGGATGTTGTACTCTCGCAAGGCATGCCTGTTAGGGATGGTGGTGAAGATGATGACGACGGTTGAGGAAATGACGATGAAAACATGATGAGATGGATAGAAAGATAGGATGAAGAACGAACTTGATGTAATTAGCTTTCTTATCATCCTTCCAATCCTTGCTCAACTGATGTATCTTGCATGCTGTGTACCTCTGGTCTATGAGGTCGTAACCCTACAAGCACAATGCTCAGGTATTAAAACTCATCATCATTTTCGTAGTCATCTTCACCATCATCATCGCCATTATTATCATCACCATTATTATCATCACCATCAGCAACCCTAACCATTACCATCACCACAACTAACCCTGTGAACCTCACTGAAACCACCCCTGCCCAGCAGATTGAGCAGGAGGTACCTCTCATTTAATATTGGATGGTTGTTGAACCTGAGAGAGACAATTTTTTAAAACTATAAAACCTCGTCAATCGCAATCATCACTCCAGTCACCATGGTGTTTGATTTATTAACATCACAGACAGACAGAAACAGACAGACAGACAGACAGAAACCTGGATGAATCCTCACTGTGAATCCTCTTCATCTCCCTGATATGCAGGTTCCTCTCCAATTCCAGCTTCTCAAGTTCCAACTGAACATCGAGGTCTTCCTTTTTCAACGACGCTTGCCTCAGTTTCATTATCTCTTCTTGCTCATGGTACTCTAGAGCTGTTAGCCTGCCATCACCATCGTCATCATCAGCATTATCAAGATCAATGTTACACAACCATCATCAGCATCAGCATCAACATTGATTTAACTCATTTTAACCAAAAATATATATTAAAACAAATTCCAACGTTTTGTCATTTGGCTTAAGGAAGCAGTCCCCACTATCTTTGTTGGATTTGTTGAATTTATTGGAATTGGCAACATTGTTGTTGTTTGTAGGTTTCTTTTTCATCAGTTGTTTGCGTTGTTTTTCAATCTCCTCCCTCTCCTGAGTAATCCTCTCCTGCTGTCTGCACATCAGGAATATAAAATTCATTTAAAAGTGGAACGAGAATGAGGAAGTTAAGAAAGTAGGTCATGTACTTGATGAGGTCGTTGAAAGCGTATCCATCAACCCAGATCTCAACAAACGAGACTCCCTGCCTCTGCGTCACAAATTGACCCAGCCTCAACCTGTTCTCCATGCACTTCTGTCTCATCCTCTTCTTCTCCATGTCACTCTGCAATGTGCAATATTACAAATAAAAAATATTAAGCACACGTAATAATATTCAATATAATAACCACCAATGACACTCCTGCTGGTCTAGAGACGAGGAACAAACTCAACGAACCTTTTGGATAAGAAGATTCTTCGTTACCTCCAAGCACTTGTCAATGGTCTCCTTCTGTCTGTCGATTTGTTTCTGCTGGCTGGTCACTTGCTTTTTCAGTTCGTCTACCTCCTGAATATTCAACAAGTAGCATGACAAAAATTCATTCAGTGGCATATACTCATTAAATGATGACAAATTATTAGCAGAATCATTGATCACATGATTGCTAATTAAGACAGAGAAGTGGAATAATAATACTAAAGAACAATGATAACAACCAATTCGAGACTAGCAATGATGGAATCCTTCCTCGAGATGTCCAGGGCACATCTTGCTTCATACGATTTCATGTTCAAATTTGTTATGTCAGTCTGTTTATTTGTTGGTTTGTTTATTGTACTGACATGAAAACTTTTATCAAATTGATGATTTAAGTAAATTAATAGCCCATCTATCCATTCATCCGTCCACAAACTAATTTGACAACTCAACAAATGATCGACCTGTAAACATTTGTCAGCTTGGTTGAGGACATTGTTGTAGAGTTGTCGAGTGGATGAGGAGGATGACGAGGATGAAGATGATGACGACGCAGGGATGTATGGGATTTCTGAAAAATATGGCTTTTGTGATAGTTGAAAATTCTGCTGGTGAATAATTTTTTGCTGCATTTGTTGCTGCTGTTGTATGTGTTGCAAACTTTGCTGTTGCTGCTGCTGCTGAAGATGTTGTTGTTGCTGAAGATGTTGTTGTTGTTGCTGTAAATGTTGTTGTTGCTGTAAATGTTGTTGAGCCATGTTGAATGTGCAAATTGGATAACCATTATTAACATTTGTCTGTGAAGTTGTCAACTGGAAATGAAAAATCATGTTTAATAAATAAATATTGAAGCAAAATTTGTATTCATAATCATATATGTTGAATGAATAAAATCAGACAATAAAATGTATGAGTTGTTTAAAAGAAAAGAGACAAACATTGTTTAATTCATGCGGTGGTGATGCTTTTGTAACGGAATTTCCTCTGCTTTTTGTTGAGTTGATGTTATGGTTGATGTTGTTGATGATGTTGTTGCTACTGGTTGTTGAACTGTTATTTCTTTCAGAGGCCATTTTCCTTCTTCTCTTTCGCTCTACTCCAGCCGATGAAGATGATGTTGGTTCTTTTGATAATTTGTCACTGTCCGCGTCGTGTACAAGTTGTGGTAAGAGCTGTTGTTGCTGTTGCTGTTGTATATGATCATTTGGTATAACAACTACTCCAATGCTCTGTTGAGATGTTGCACTGTGGCTCGAATCTGATACAACTGTGTATTGCTGGATGTCTTGAACCTATCAAATATTTTTCAAATCAAGTAAATAGTTAAAATCTATATCTTTAATAAAACTTTAATAGGCCTCAAAAAGATTGATATATGTGCTGTTTTAGAAATGGTAATTACTTTATCACTGACAAATCTTCCTTCTAGAAGTTCTCTTTTCCTGGAGTCAACAACTAAACCAATCTGCTCGATGAACATTCCTGTGCCAATTAATTTTTCAATTATGTATGTATGATCATGATGACTTCAGTAGGTAAAGCTGCTATGGAAAGAAGTAAAAACAAAACCACAAAATTCAAAAAATAATGACCTGGTCTATTATTTCTGATAAGGGAAACATTGGAATTCATGGAAGAGGTGCTTCCTCCACTGCTACTACTGTGCATTTGTACATGTCCCCCAGACAAGTGTAATCCGGATGGATTGCCAGAATACAGGGCTACATTATTTTTGAAGCCTTGGGTGACTGCTGGCGGTTTCCAAGATGGCGGAATAAGAGTTTGTTGTAAAGGATGATGGTTCGGAGTGGCCGTCAATGACTTGAAGTGGCCCGAATCTTGCATATTCCGATGCAGTGCTGGGTGTTGTCAATCTGGGTGTCAGTTAATTAATTGGATATCAGACAAGACAAGAGCGAACAGCGAAATCTTGTGCCGATTAAAACCTCAAAAGCGATTTTTATTTTTGAATTATATTATTATTATTTTATTTATTATTTATTAATTTTAAAAATTTATAAATTAATCAACAATCAACTATTATTTGTTAAGTAAGGTACAACATTATTATTAGATTAGAAGTAGTGTTTGCATTAGTTGTTTTTTATAAAAAAAATGTAGAATATTTTTATTAAAATATTTATTTCTATTGAAAAATTTCGTTGAAAATCTTAATAAAAATCCTATTATAATGGCAATTAATGCCAATTTTCAATTTTTATTTCGTAAAATTATATTTATTTAATTATATAGAGCTTCACATTTGATACAGCATCTGTTGAAAAATATTACCGCACAAGGAACGGTTTCGTACGATTGAACACTGATGGCGCAAATTTTAATGAAGTTTAGTAGCTAGCAGAAATAAACTTTCAAAAGCGATATACATCAGACAGGACCAATCATTATGATGTCTAGGACAGATCATTAACAAGAAACACCACCTCAGCAAGGAATCTCACACACAAGCACATATATATGTATGTAAAAATATATATAATATATACATGTTGGAAAGAGACCACATTTGATAGTATTGAATGAATTCTACCGAATTGGTGGTATTAATCAATTTAAAGAGTTTGCCTTTTCAATTTTCCTAACTTGAATTTTAAATTTATTAATGCCAACAATCCTTTAGAATTCATACAATAGTTTATATATTTACACACACACACACACACACAATATATATATATATATAAAGATTACTGGACATGGTAATAATTTTTATACTGGTTTTTTATATATACACAACTAGGACGACAATGCGATACAAAATAATGTATTAAACTCGTAAAGTATTTGAAAAGAAATATAAATGTTTAAGCGAGATAAACATATTCATCGGCAGCATTTGGAGTCCTTTCTATGTACTGCTTGTCAATTAACGTTTCGATTGATTTCTTTATTAAACTTATGCTTGGCGTGAATTTAGATAATGACTGCGAGATAACCTGCAACATAGAATGTACGAAAAAAATATTAATAGATAATAACATCCCAATTATAATAAAAGTAATTTATGTAATTCACTTCTTTTACGAGAAGGTTGTGTTTGAAAACTTTTCTGGCCTTCATAATCCTGACAATGGCAGCTTGTAGGTAAATCTTTCTATCTTCGTTCACCGATGATCTGGTCTGTTCGACGATCTCCTAAAAATGTTGAGTCGTTCAATAAGGCCAAGGTATGGAGATAGTTGCAATTTGTTTTGAAAAAAATTGCAGAAAACTGATGCATTAACTTAGATATAAACTGACTTGGTTTGATTCTTTCTGGGCTGTCATAATTTTGAATTTCGTTTTTTTATTTGAATAATTTACGTTCAGTTTGAAAATTGTGTTTTCACATAGTCCATCTTTATCCTTTAGAAAGAATATAAAATTACAATTAATTACTAACGTGCTGAACTTAAAATGTAATGATATTGATCACAGTGAATGAGAGTAATGTCATAAATATAATCACATGATCAGCAATGAGAAACTTCACGTCAAGAAGGGCTTGAAGATTTTTCAGCAATTCCTTCTCAGGAATGCCAGTGTGCTCCTCGAGCTCCTTCCTGGTAATGCAATCAGCTGAGTTGAATGGCAGCAGTAGAGACATGAGATAAGTGGCCATGCTGATGAAGTAGGGACGGGCCAGGTAGCAAACCTTCACCTCACCTGCCAAGCATGTTAATTCACAGTTATAGCGAAACTACAATCAGTTATCGTATAGCAAGTGAATGTCTTACACTGCGAAAAGGCGTATACCCAGGTCAATTTTCTCCCCGTGAAGTTCTTTGCATAAAACTTCTCAAACTGAAATCGAAAAAGAGAATATGATATGATAGACCGGTGAAAAAAGTATTATAATGAATAACAGAAAAAGATCAATATCAATGAAAAATACTAAATAATATGGATTGTTGTAACCATGTGAACAGGCTTTTCAAGTTCCTGAGGAAGGCAAAATGTTGTGATATTTTGTTGACCGATAGGCCAAGCACCTGCCTGTGACGAAATAAAAAATTAAATTATCGACAAATTTATTTGGATTAGGTAACGTTATCAGTATGTAATAAAGTTGAGAAGATACCTGGAGGACGAGAATTGTGAAGCCAAGACCGAGATCAACATTTCTACTTTGGTTGAAGCTGGTGAACTTTGAAGCCAAGTCAGCACTGATGCTTATGTCCGTGAACATGCGATGCAATTTATTTGTGAACTCATAACCACAGACTTGCTGTATGTACATAAACATATATTGGTATAACGATAATGATAAGAACAGAAGAGAACAGAAGAAAGGATGAAAGAAACACAAAAAAGAAAGAACGAAAGAAAGAAAGATTGAAAGAAAGAAAGAACGAACCTTCAGTCGATTAATCATGCTCTCCTCCGCGTCCATGGACTGAGATTGGAAATATATCAACCTTTTGGCAAGCATTCTCGCATAGAACTGTTCAACGTTCAACGATAGAATACAATATAATAATTTTATGAAACTGTCAGCTCGTCAATAATAATTGTTTAAGGGATCGTCCAATTTGGCGACATTAATTTCAATAAAATGCTATCTTCAAAAGATGAATGACATTAACGTATGAATGAAAACATCCGACGAAGAAATAAAAAGCGATGAACACAGAGTTTCAAGCGGACATATTTGCGAATAAACTACGGAGAAGGAAAGAGACCTTATTGAAGACATCTTTATCATTGAGATACTTGAATATTGTAATGGAAGCCTGCAATTTCTCATCCAATTCGTATTCATTCACCGTTTTCCCTCCTCTCTTTAACAGGTTATCACAGTATTTGGCCAGCTGGGTGGGGTCATTAATGTTAGACACAAGTAAGTTGAGGAATTGAGTATAAGTATAACAATATCTTAAGTTTATATTTGAAAAAAGCTAGAAATAAAAATTTGATGATGACGACGACGAACCAATTCAGGCGACCTCATGGCGACGCAAGTTAAACGACCACTACTTTGTTGTGGTGATTGATTGACAGCTTTGTTAAATGCCTTATCGAGGGCAGTAATGAATTGTTGGTCTGATTTGAAGACTTCTTGTATCAGCTGTGTGTAGTCATTGTGCACTTCCAATAAAGATTCAACAAATTGTTGGGCCATCTGTCAGTGAAAATATTCAATTGAAAATTTTTTATTCTAATCAAGTGGGACAAACAAGCACCTAATAAGACAGTGCACTGCAAAGTGAAGGTCCGTAAACAATCAGCCGCCGGTCCGCGCCACCAGCCAGGAATGTTGAAATTTAATGAGAAAAATTCCAGCTTAAACACGACCAGCAAACAACGCAATAAAAAAATTAATTAAATGTTACTGATGAGATAAGTCAGCAACGCTCAGTCGTGTAAAACGTTAAAACGAAAGAACATTTTGTATTTTTATATAGATGTCCATAGATGAGTATATGTGTGAATGTGGTCAACTGTTTAAAAACACCCCATCAGTTCGCTAAATTAAAAATTTTTGTTAAGATGAGCGTAGTTGGTCGTTTAAATCTAGACACGCGGTTACGATACGCAAAACAGAATGCAGTGAAACCACAAAAAATTGTGAAATCTGTTAAATAGAATGCATTATCCTGTTCTATATTAGTTTAAAGGGAATAAATTGTTATGCAATTTATTAACATTTTTTATTATATAGATAATTTGGAATAAAAGTTAGATTAGATTTTTAATATTTTCATGCTACTTTTATCGTATTGAAACAGTTCGTCTTTTTGCCTAGAAATAAAAGTTCAACTTTTATCCTGCTGAAATGAAATTCTTTTGTTGGAATTAAAAATAATTTGACCGCTAGATCAGAAAATAATGTTCTGGAGATTGTCGCCGACCAGCAGCTGAAGATGCAGTTTGAAAAAAAATCTTCATTAGATGCTTTCTGAATTAACATTAGAAGAGAATACGCAAGACCTAAACATTTGCAGAGCACCGCAGTAAGGGATGATGATGAAAAAGAAGAAGAAGAGAGATTCTCACATTATCACCATCCAGTCTGCATATAACGTCAGTGCATAGGTGTCCAATCTCCATCTCAATCTGCTCTATCAGTTCATTCAGACCATCTTGTACAGAATGTAACAGATTGTACATGTTCGAAAGATCTTCATCAATGAAAAATTGATCAGTCATTAGAAAAAAATATCACAGTGATCAAATTCATCACCATCCTAACCAATTTTGTTGTGTGTCTTAACCATCAGCTTTGAACTTTGATGCATGAAACTCATGTGATCAGCAACAACTCGTTGCCTGAAGACTTCGAGAACTTTATCTTGTGAAGTGGCGTGGAAAAATTTCTTAGATCTCATAGTTTCCTCATCCAACATTTGCAGGGCTTTCGTCATGTACTCTGAGCAGGTGCATGTGTCCAGATGTTTGCGAGCCACAATTTGATAATGTTCACTTGTTTGCAACAACATCTCCTTCTCAAAGTTCTTCTGATAGTACTGCATTCACATAATTTTTCAATACAAAATTTAAAAAAATTACCAAATAAATAAGTTTGAAAAACATGAAAACATGCATGATGCACTGACATCAAGGGAATTCCTGCTAGCATGCTTCCTCACATGGACAAATGACAATATGGCTCCTTGAATAGTTGACTGGTTGATCAAACCCGACCCTATTCTATCTCTTTGAATGAAAATTATGAGAGACATTAGTCAGAGAGAATGAAATCGTATGATGTATTTAATGTTTTTACTATGAAGTTTAGTGTAGATAACCATGAAAAAGATGCTACATAATAAACTAACAAGTTAATGTCACGTAATATTAAGCTGGTGAGCTGGTGCTTACAGTTCTCCAATAAATGTGTCCTCCATATGTTGTATGATAACTTTACGTGTGTGAATATTTGCAAATTATTACATCTGCTTTTTAATCATATACTAACAGTTTTTACATCATTCTTTATTCATGATCATCATAAAACTGGCATTATCATCACAATTATAATTGACATCATCATCATCATCATAATCAGCATCATCTTTATGTACCTCTTCAATCTCTAACAATTTTTCATCAGATTCAGGCAACAATCCAGAGAAATTTTTCTCAATTTCAATTTTGAGCTTTGGGATATATTGTGTGTTCAAATAACTGCAATTAGTTTTATTAATAAATGAATGATCAAATATAACAAAATTATTATATTGTAGGAAGCATTACTTAGCTAGCAAGCAAATGTTGATGCGTTTTTTAAATACAATTGTCAATACATTTATGAATGGAAGAATAGAAAAATTGAAACAAGAAAAATGAAAATAACATGATAGAGAAATAAATGTAGAGCCAATAGAAAAACAGACCTACCCAAATAACTGATTGAGATAACCACAACCTCTGCTATACATCAGCCAGTGACTATTGTAAGTCTCCAGGAATACATCTTCACTGCATTCCTCTAAGGACTATTTGACATTAAACTCATCAAAGTTAAGAACAATATTACAGATATTTAAAACAATTTTTACATAAAATTAAAATCTTTGCAATCCTTAATTGTTTTATTATAAAAATTAAAAATAATAAATAAATGAATTAAGATGCACTAAACTAAAGACTAAACTAAAGTAAGATATTAAGTTAGTTACTATTAAGTTATTATTATGTGTTATATCATTAATTAATGATAATAACAGAACAAACTTTTGACAAGTTTAAGACATGGTTCTCGATGAACTCCTTTGTTTTGGCGTAAAGTCTTTCAGCCAGGGCCTCAGGAAATGAGACACAGAGGGCATATACATCTCTAAAATAATTTTTAGAATCAGATTAGCATTAGGTAGAATAAGCATAAGATAGAATAAAATAGAAAAGATAGATGTAATTATTCCATTTTTATCTAAGACACCACAGCATTAAAAAGATTAAACATTTTAAAATTAAAGTTAACTGTTAAATTAATTAAACTGACAGGACATATAGAATGAAATATATGTCAATGAACAAACTACAATCAACTCAATGACACTAAAGTAAAGAGTTAGTGAAAAAAATCATACGTAAATCTATCATTCCAAACAGATTTCTCCACTGTCCTGCCCGCTAAAACTTTCTCTACAACATCTAAAATCCGGGGCCAAAGATCTTCAAAGTCAACTTGTTTCGGTTTGAGACTCATAATAGCACAAAGATGAAAATAAAAATTTAAATTGAAATTTTGTCAATAAGTTTTGAAAAAATCGCTCATTTCTCTAAATTCTTTGTCTAGTCAGTAATGTTTTACTTTTAATTTTGGTGTCTAAATTAGCATGATGTTAAAGCATTCAACTGTTTATCTATGGAAAGTCAAAACATTTTCACAAATAATGCAAAGTAATAATTATTTATATATAAATATATATTTTAAAATTTTACTTTAAATTTTTTTTATATACTTAATTTATTTAATATTTACAGTTTTTTTCCGCTTTAACAATTTTTTAATTTGTTAAAAAAAAGTTAATTTAAGTTAAAATTAATATGAGCAATGGCGGTTTCTGTTTCGTCAAAAGTTTCTTTCTACCAGTTTTGTTTACTGCTTGAAAAACTTAGTAAATTGGCCGCAGGTGATAAAAAGAAAAAAATTTTAATCACATTTATTGCTGAATGGCGAAAATTCGGCTTGGAATTGAAGTTAAAAAACGTTAACAATGTGAGTAATGACTGAGATGGTGATGGTTGGTGAGTTTGGTGACTGAAGTGTTGAGTGTTTGTTATTATTACTAATTTTTATTTTTTAGTTTAAATTTGAAAACTTTGTTTTAAAGTTAAAAAAATTTAAAGTATGTTTCTAATCTTGAAGCTAAAGTAAGTGAGTCTGTGATCTGCAAGCCTATAGCTTTTAATTTTTAATATTTTATATATACTAGTATGTATATATATATATACTAGTATATTTATATATATATATATATCTAAAATTCATTATAGTACATGTATAGTTTTGTATAGTTACTATACTATACTACTATACTATAGTAATCTGTGTGGTATAGCTGTGGGGGCTTAAGTATTGTATATAATACTCTATATACTCTTATTTATATTTGAAATTAAATTGTTAATTAATACATACACCTACACAATAAAAATAGGACTGTATAAAATGTTGATTAAGCTTCACTTAGTTTTCCACCATTTGGCAAAAATATTTTTTAATCATTTTATTATTTTTCATTGAAATGAATATCTGTTAAAATTAAAAACATTTAATTTATGACTGATAAAATTTTACAGGATGATTCATTTTTTGATGCAATGAGGTTGTTGTTACCTCATTTGGACAGGGATAGAGCTGCTTATGGCATCAAAGAGGTTTGCTGTGTTACATTCCTTGAGTACATATTTTTCTATTAGTATTATTTTATCTGTACATATTTATGTGGTGTAGTATTTTATAATTGTTTATATAATAATTGTTGTGTCTTTATTTGGTTTTGTTTATTGCTGTTAATCACCATGAGAATGATTTTAGTCCCATTGGAGTTAATTGATGTAACATTAAAACACTTACAGTACAGGTTGGCTCAGCTCTTTGTTAATGTTTTTGCTTTAAATAAGAATAGCCTGGATGGCAAGAGTTTGATCAATTTTAAGACTACAAAACAGAACAAAGTATTTCAATTAATTATTTGCTTACATGTTAACTAATTTTATTTCTTACTCATTCCATCAAAGATTAATTATTGTTAATATTCAGGTGTGTTTGTTATCATCAATATAATTACATAATTAGAAATAATCAAATATAAATGTCTTGATCGCATGCAGGATGTAGCAGTACGAGATTTTGCCAGCCTATGTGGTATGGTTCTTAAGAACAGGTGCTCTGAAAAAGGCGTCCTTTCTATTGCAGAGGTCAACAAACAGTTGGATGCAATTGCAAGGGGTCATGTGATCAAAGATGAAGATGATGTTCAAAAGTCTTTGCTGCATTTGATGAAGAATGTTTCAAGTTGTGAGCTTGAGTGGTTGGTTAGGATTATTTTGAAGGAAGTGAAGTTAGGTTTGAGTCAGAAATTAATATTTAGTTCTTTCCACCCTGATGCAGAAGAGTTGTACAATGTTAAAATGAGTTTAGAGAAGGTTTGTCTGTCACACTATTTTTTCATTTTCATAAATTACTATTGTTGTATATTATAAATTATATTTGAAAGTTATTTTCAAATGACATTTACATTTATTTTTCTCATTTCTTTACTTGCTAATGATAAATTTTTAAAATTCTTATTATAATGTCTTTAACAAATTATAAAAATGTTTGTGTTGTAAAGGTTTGCAGAATGTTGACAGATGAGAATATACGTCTGCATGAAATTGAAGTCTCCATCTTCACTGCTTTCAAACCCATGCTGGCTGTCAGAGAGGAACCTTCAAATGTATTCCAAGCCATCCAATCATCCATCCATTCAATCATCCATCCATCCAATCATCCATCTATCCAATCATCCATCCATCCAATCATCCATCTCAGTACTTGGTACTTGTACTCCAGTAGTACTAGAGTACAAGAATACCAGTTTTAAGTACTTCTTCTCGTACTTTTAATTTTACATTGTTCTTGTAATTCACAATTTACGAGTACAACGTAAAAATATTTTACAAGGTTATAGTTTGAAATTTTAAAGAGGCAAACGTTATTATATGAAGATTTCAGTCTTTTTCCCAAATGCGGCAAGGCAAATATTGGGCCGTATTTCAGATTAGAGCCGCATTGTTATCACTTATGTTTTAATATACAATAATGTATGCAGCTATGTTCTTGTGTATATTCGTATACGCGTTTGTATGTTTTCGTTTGCACACTGTAAATTCATTTGTTTATATGTGAACATGTTAACGAATGTATATTAATCAATGAACGTATTGTATTAATATATCCATGGAATGATTTGAAGCGTGAAGAATTACGATTGTATCGCTTGGACCGTCTGATTGACGCGACTATCTCAATTATATCTTTATTACTTTAAATAACCAAACGTTAACACAAGCACTAAGATTGAGAAATTAATTTTCCTAATTGTGTTGGCGTTATATAATTATAATATATAATTACATTATATATAATGTTATCATACGTGCAAGTTTTAATGTGCGTTGGTTTCTAAGTATTGGCTTGCGGAAATCATTTAGGAGGTTAATTCAATTTTTATTAAATTTAAGTTTGTTTATTTATTAAGTTATTGGTTTGGGTGTAAAAAAAAATCAAATTTATTATCTGAAGTGGATAAGTGAACGGCCGCATCATGTACTTACATAATAAATGCTGCTATATAACTACGTTTGCGATGAATGTTGACAAGTCACTAGTTATGGTGTGCTATGTAACTGCACAAATCCGGCTTGACTACGGCTCCGCTTTTTGTGTTTGTAAAAAGTCAAATCCAGTACAGCTCTCGCAACAATATATCTTATTGAATATTTTATCATTTTGGAATGAAAGTTTTTTATTCACTTTGTTCTTTCACATTTGGGATAAAATGCTCGTACTTGAACTGTGGAACTTGTACTTAATTTTCAATACTTGAGTCCTCAGTACTTGAACTTGTTCTTGAGGAAAAGTACTTGAAATCATCTCATCCATTCATCCATCCTTCATTTTTTCTCTTCATTTTTTCATTTTTTTCAATTGGGAAAATTTTAATAAATTAAACAATTACACCGAAGCTTTCTCTTATGTTTTCATCAGATCGAGAAATTGATGCACGGTCGATCGTTCCTTATTGAGACGAAGTACGATGGCGAGAGAATGCAGATGCACAAAATGAACGATTCCTTCAAATATTTCTCCAGAGGGTGAGATAAAATTTCTATTCAGTCAAAAATTTCATTTCAATCACCTCGTTATCAGCGTGCAATAATAATTCATCCAACCATGCCATTGAATGAATGTCTTACTTCGTAACTGTGATGTTCCTGTTGGCACTCACAACAACAATAGAGGCATCGAATACAGCCATGTTTATGGTGAAGATAGTAATAAGGGCAACCTGACCAAATTTATAAGCAACCGATTAGAATCATCCGTTGTTTCGTGCATTCTCGATGGAGAGATGGTCGGTTATGATCCCGTCAACCGTCTCATTGGTCGGTTAATTTCGGATGGTAATAACGATGATGGAAATAATTGAGTTGAAAATTTATGTTGCAGGCACGAAAGGAGAGAATATTGACATAAAATCATTGCATCTAACAACGTACCAACCGATGTACGTCCTCTTTGATGTCCTGCTCCTCAATGGGAGGGTTCTTACTAATGAACCTTTGAAGAGTAGGAGGCAGGTTTTAAACAACATCATCCAGCCATTGCCTGGCAGAATCATGCTTTCAAAAGCTTTTGAAAAATCTACCAAGTTTGAAATTATTTCTCGTTCAATTACTTGTCTCTGCTTGAAATACCTTATAGGCCTGAGCTGAGCTACATTCAGGGGCTTATGCTAGGGTTAGGATTTTGTTACGTAGGTAGGGATAAGATCAGTTTATTAAATAGGTAGGTAGGGTTTTTTATTCTTTCACTCTGCTTGGTGGCGTGTTTCTTGGTCTTATTGTTGTATTGTTTCATCTTACATTTTGCAGGTTTGCTATGTTGCTTGTTGTTAGAGGTGAGCGGGAACTGAAATTTGTTATACAGTTATATGGGGTTATATAGGTATAGTTATATAGAGTTATATAGACTGTTGATTGTTGTCTAATTTAAAAAAGAAATCTATTTTACCCAACGCTGACGTTTATATCGTTCATCTTTTCGTATTATGAGTTGCTGACTACTAAGTTCACACACGCGCCAACACACGATCACAGTTTGGATTGTATAGAAGCCTTGAATGAAGCCATCGAATATGGCGAAGAAGGAATCATGTTGAAGGATGTTGAAAGCATCTACAAACCGAACTGCAGACAGAAGGGTGGTTGGTTTAAAATCAAGCCTGATTACATTGATGGTCTGATGAATGACCTCGACCTTGTCATCATTGGTGCATATTTTGGGAACAAGTCAAACCTATTGACTCACTTTTTAATGGGATGTGTCAGTCTGCATGGCGAGAAAAAGAATGATGGTGGTGGTGATGATGATGGCGAGTCTGATTTTGAAATTCATACGTTTTGTAAGGTCGGTGTGTGTTTACAAATCAATTGAATCGGTGCATCTTATTTGAAAATTGATTTTTTCGATGGCAGGTTGGAACTGGTTTGACTAACATCCAACTTGTTGAATTGAATTTTAAACTATCAAAAGAATGGATCACTTTCAGCAAAAATAATTTTCCATCTTGGTTGAAACTTCCGTCCACATTTAAACAGAAACCAGACGTTGTTATCAAAGATCCTAAAAAATCGATAGTCTTGCAGGTTTTCAATCATTTTTTTGAAAGTTGATAACTCAAATGAAACTTTAACGTAAATTTCCATAGATAAAAGCTACAGACCTGATAAAATCAGACCAATACCAAAGCAAATACACCTTAAGGTTCCCAAGGGTTGAAAGAATAAGATATGACAAAAATTGCTTGCAGTGCCTCTCCTTGCATCAACTCAATGAACTCATAAGGGTTTCTTCAGTTTAATTTCATATGTGATTATGTAAACTCATCATTCTATATTATATCAAATAATGATTTAATTATATAATAATTATGATGAGCGCTGGCCATGTCCATACGCTCTTGTCTATAAATAACCCGTATAATAGTAAATATACACATTTAATATCAGCACCAATAAAAATAAAATTATTATAAATAAATAATAAAAATTGCAACATAAATTTCAATAAAATGAAGCGAGCCCATATTAAACCCAACTAATCACAGTACAACATTAAAACTGCGATCACATTTCAAATCTGCTTCCCTTTCACACAATAATAATGAATCGCCCAATTTATTTTAAAACTCCTTTACACTAAACGCATCAGGCGGCAAGTAAAAGTGTGAGTGACAGAGTAATTACTGATCGTTGTTTTTGTTGTTGCAGTTTTTTATTAACAGAAATCGAAATCAATGTTGGTCGATGGACTGGTTAGCGTTACGTACGACGTCAACTGCAAATCTTCGAACAGAGCTTCTGGCGAGGGGTTGAAAAAACAACGGATAAGGAAGAACAGCAGGGAAGCAGTTGTCAGTGCAACAGTTCGTAAGAGGCCGACCCTCCATGCCAACTTCAAGGCTTCCTCTTCTAATAACTCCACCAAGGTGGTCACTATTGTTACGATAAGGTTGCTGACAAATATGTACAGAAGCATTAACATTCTTGTTTTACTTTTTTGTTTCTTGTTTTACTGTTACGATATGACAATGAGAATGCTGGTGATGACATTGTTGATAAATATATATGGAAACGATGTATTCAGAAATTTTGAATTTCAAGAAAAAATTTAAACTGCAGGGGTCGTCATCAACCTTGCTGGATGGAAAAGAAATTTGTGTAATGATGAATGACGGCGGCTGGCACAATAAAGAAATGAGCAAATCTGGCATTGAGAAGTTGCTCATTGAACACGGGGCCCAAGTTGTTCAGAACCCCGATAAACGAACAACTGATTTCATTATAGCCAACGACGAATCGATCTTGAAAGTTAAAAATGTAGTTAAACTAGGTCACACGGATGTTGTTAAACTTGATTGGTTGCTTGGTTCCATCTCTCAAAATGAGTTGTTACCTTGGTAATAAAAATCTTTTTTTTAAATTGTTTATTATAGTGGACAGATATTGAATTTGAACCAGTCTCTCGCTCCATTATATTCCTGACAAATTCTTTTATAATAATAATATTAATTGTTATATTTTTTGTTTAGAAATGTTAATTTAACAGGAAACCTTTTGATTTAATTCATTGTTGTGCAAAGACAAGACAAAAGTTTGCAGATGATTATGATGGTTATGGGGATGAATATTTTTGTCCAACCTCTCCTCAACAGCTTAAGTGTTTATTCGACGGCATTCAACTGAAAGACCAAGTAAGCTAAAAGCAAGAAAATTGTTTAAACATTAGCAATTATATTATGCGTAACTAATGATTATACTGTAGCATTAATAGAATTACCGTCAATCATTTGCATGTCAATCAACGCAGCATTTACTCGATAACCGGGGTATAGCTGATTTGGAGTTTAAATATTTTCTACCGAACAATTCCTTATTTCGTCTTTTTAGGTTTGGTTTCGTTATAATTATAGATTTTTTATATACTTTTTGTAATTTATTTAAATGAATATGCTATATTGGTGCACTGAATGTGATGATCTTTACTTCAGGGCCGCATATTACCATCCAACGTCAGAATCATTTTCTTCTCAACTGTCTTTTGCATCCTTGCTATTTCGTTATAACGGTGGCGTGATGGTGGATGGTTTAGATAAGCAAGTTACTCATGTTTTCATTCAGGACAAGTAAATGAGAAGTTATACATTTAAAATGGTTACGTAGCATGTTCTGTTTTTTCAGGTCACCAGTTAGTAAGTGTATAATGGATAAGATGCACAGTTCGCATCTTTCTCTTGTCAACGAAGATGATAATGTCACAAAGATGGGTAGGCTGCACATACTTTCAGATGCGTGGATCATCCAGTGCCTTCATGTCGGCAAGGTGGTAGACGAAAGACATTTTGCTCCTATCTTAACTTTTTAACATGATAATTTTTAAGTCTCATTAATGTGTTTATATTTTTTTTTGCTCGTTACTAATTAAATCCACAAATGTCGGCCAGACCGATACGTTTTTATGATGTTCAGAAATTCAGGATCATTGTGTTAACATATCAATATATGAAGTGTAGTGAGGCGTTTAATCTAAACGTTTGTCCGGAGGTAATTCGTTTGTCAGGAGGTGGTTGCGCCGTACACTGCTTCTACAATGTAAACGAGAATACAAGTCTGTTAATCGTTTGTAGTGGCAGATATTTTATTAACCCTAACCCCTTGGTACCATCAGCATAAGGGTGTTCGTGTGCTCACTTCGTTATGTGTGTAAAAATATATACATATATGTTAGATCTTTGAAAATACCTTGCTAACTTTTCTTATGTAATTATTTCGTAATCAGATGTCTCTTTGTATTAGTTGGGGTTTTTAGGAAGTTTTTATTGCGGAGAGCGTTCGTTGTTGCTGTGTTTACTTGTTTCAATCATTCGGAGTGTTCTGTTCAAATTTTTCAAATGGATTTGAGGTTTGCCATCATTTGTTCCAGCAATCAAAATCGGAGCATGGAAGCCCACAATTTTTTAAAGTTCGCTTTTTTATAAATAAATTATAAATATTTATTAAATAATTTTTTTTTAATTAAAACTTTGTATTAAACTTTTATTTCTAATTTATTAAATATAAGTTTTATTAGTATCGAAATTGAATGTTGTCTAACAACGAAAAAATTGAATTCTGAATGACACATAACAATCAACAACAACACACGTTTAGACGGCATTTTCCCCGAGATCGGGGGTTGCCGTTTGGCTACCTATGATGAAACCGAAATATAACAATCATAACATGAAAAAGAAGTGCAAGAGACCACACCATATTTAATATTTATAATTAATACAGTATTTAATATAAATTAAACATAATTCTTAGCATTAATAATTTGCTTTCAGTTTTTTCTTGTTTTTTCTCATTAAGACTTTGAAAGTTTAGTTATTTGATTTATTATTGAAACATGAAAGAAAATCATAATTGTTTATATTTTATAATATATAAGGACTTATTTTGTTTTTTATAAATGTAAATCAGATTAAAAAATTTTTTCATAAAAATGGAAAAAGTCAGATTTTTTTATTACAAATGCTAAATACGGTTTTTTAAACAGTCGAGGAAAAATAAAAGAAATCTAATTGGCTTTAAAAACAACAAAGTAAAAAAATGAATTTGATAAAACTTGTATAGTACTAAATTATTTTTCTATGATTTAGTTAAGAAAATGAAATTTTTTAAATTAACTATCGAGTAATCAATGTAAAATAATGACTTGAAATTGATCATCAAACTAATTACAGTAAAAAGGGCTTAAACGTTCGTTCATTTGGAAGTGGAACACACGTGAAATTGCCAGGCTTAACACCCGATAGACCCAACATTTACGACTTTAACACGACTTACGACGATATGTACAGAGACCTCATGAACAAAGACAAACAAATGTACACGCAAAATGGTTTGTTGCACATGCTAGATAGAAACAGGAGAATCAAACCAAAGCCTGAAAGATTTCAAACCTCTAAGGAAAAGTTTGATGTGATCATCTGCTGTGAAGAAAGAGTCTACGATCAAATTCTTGAAGGTTTCCACATTTTGAAACAGTTTTTGATCAATTATTTTATTCATTATTAATTTTAAATAATACGTGCCCTGTAATAAACTTGCTTTTAAGTTTGACCAAGTTTTGCAACAAATAATTTATATGAATAAATATTGTTGTGCTAACCACACTGAACAATTTTATAGATATTGAAAATCGAGAAAAACTGGACATATCTCCAGTGCACATAATCAACATAGACATTCAAGACAACCATGAAGAGGCCACAGTAGGCGCCATCATGATTTGTGAACTTTGTACTCTAGTAGGTTTTTTATTCTTTTCTGTGGGTCATTTTTCTTTCTTACTTGTTTTTTTGTTTATTTATTTTTTGTTTTGTTTTACCTTTCATTTAAATGTTTCTTCGTTTGTTTCTTTTTTATTATTTGTTTGTTTGTTTCTGTCTTCCTTGTTTTCATATTTCTCTCGTTTTTTTTTTCTTTCTTCCTCTTGTTTGTTCGACTAACCAACTCGAGTCTGACCAATTAATATTTTTGATATAAAATAACTGCCGGCAGTTGAACCAATGTGAAGACTTGGACAACGAAATAGATGAACTATTACAGGAGTTTGAGCACCAATGCAGAAGAACTTTGCTACATACCATTGCTTTCTATTGAAACGTGTTTAAATGTTTTATTAATTTTAAATTGTACTGCCTGATGTTATTGATTGATTGGATTTAGTAATTGTAATGAAACTTGTGTTGCAGTCATTTTTTCATCTGTATATAAAATTATTTGTTACTTTTTTTACTCTTAAATAATTTCTACGAATATGCATGATTCGACTTTTACTCTTACTCTTTTTCTTCCTCTTGACTTTTCTTCTGTTATTGATACTGTTGATCATACTATTCTTTTGAAACTGCTAGACCATTCTTTTAATGTCACCGAACCTTTTCTCTCTACTGTTGTTACTTATAATCCTACTAACTCCTCTCCAGTTACTTTTGGGGTACCTCAAGGATGAATTAAGCTTGATTCAATATATAAATATATATTTTATACAACTGATCGGCGCCACATTTTAAAAAAACTAGCTCGAGTCCTTTTCAGTAATGCATAATAACTTCGGTCGATTTAAGATACTGTAAATCAAAAACGTTGGAATTTCGATTATCAAACATACGTTTTCATGCTCGAGAGTACTGCAGGAATCTGGTAAAAATCTGCCAGGTTAATTTCCTTTTAGCACCACATTCTAAAAAATCGAACTATAGTGCTGCTTCGGTAATACAAAATATATTAACGCCACATGAGTTTTACTGACTTAATAACAACGCGGCCCCTCGCTCTAGATCCGCCTCTGGACATAGCGACGTCCTTTTAGATTTTTTGTCTGAGTTGGCTAGCTATATTGCAGTTGAATGAACGATATCGCACTTTTTTCGTCCCGCCTAGTTTTCTAGATTTTAATTTTACATTGCAAATTTTTCTAGATTTTATTATTTTACGTTTCAAATTTTTTGGCTAAAATGCCGTTACCAGCAGCTAACGATTGCAGCAGTTCAGAAATTTACACGAAAGTTGACGTAGAAAATTTATCAGAAACTTTGGAGGTTTCACTTTTTTCATATATAAATTTGAGTCTTTGAGGCGAAATCCTAGAACGGTGCCTGCAATGCGAGAGATAAGAATGAATGAGTGAGTGCACATGATTAAAAAACAATCAAAAAACAATTAAAAACAACAAACGTGAAAATACTTTTAGAAATATAACCCTAACCCCTAACCTAGCCCTATCTATCACATCTTTTATATAAAAATTAAATTACTACTAATTTTTGTGTAAAATTTACACTGTAAAATGTAAATATTGTCAAATGTGTTTTCAAATGAATTGCAGGCACTGTCAGATTAAGCATAAGTTTGAAATGATATTTAAATAAATTTTGTGTTGGTTTGTGTTAGTTAAGTTAGTTATGGTCAGGGTACATTAGTTAAACAATGTTTGTTGACTTCTTAAGTCTTAAGACAATTAATATTAAGTTGAATTTGTTAATGTTAATATTATTATTAATAATGACAGAAATTTAGTTAATTTTTAGCATCTCTGTTAAGGTATAAAATATTCATACATTGAGTTAAGTGTGGTGTTTTGTTTCATTTATTTAATAATTATTTTTTCTTGAAATATAGCTTTTTTTATTTTAGCCAAATAATCCAATTATAAGAAATTTTAAAAACCAAGCCATTTTAAAATGTAAATTTAGTATTAAGTTACACATTACACATTAAATAAAAAACAGAATGAGAAGATTGTTATCATTCATCCTGGCAGTTGTTACCTGCGAATGAGTCTGTCGACATCGTGTCACATCATAAAGATTCCTCACTGCATTGCTAGGAAGATCAGACATAATCTCCATGATGATGGTCAATTACTCTCCACTATTGATGATAAGAAATCCTCATCAAGCTACAACATCAGATATGAAGATAATTATTTTAATAGAACAAATTTAGAAGTACAATTTTATTTCATTATTGAACTTTTTGACTTGTAGTCACTAGTTGTTATTTCTTGCTTATTATGTTAATTTTGTCTAATAAATTTACAGTAATGTTTGAGGGCATTCTAAATTAAAACAAATTAGAAAGAAATTGATTAGCTATTGTTAAATTTATTACAATTTATTGAAAAAAAGCACCCAAATTCAAGATATCAGCGAAGTGAAGGCCTTAACAGTGCAGCCAGTTGTTTAATGATGAGGTGGAAAGAATTGAAGTTAAACCGTAAGATCATGAAATTAGATAAGGTTATTTTTATTTCAATAAATCATTATTTAAACAAAAATTTCAAACTTTAAATTTGTTTTAATTTAATTCTGTTTCATCATTTTGATCTTATAGGTACTGCCTTTTAATAGCAATTCAGTTTTCACCTTAGATGAACCACCAGTGCCTTACAAATCTGAAATGGACAAAAATGTTCTTGACAACAATAAAGTTTTTCCTAAATATTTAGTTGGAGAAGAAGTAAATATGCATGTTTTTTTATTCAAGTTTTTTCAATGTCATTGGTCTGAAAACTGTGTTTTTATGTTTATGAACGTTTCAAGGCCCTGTTAACTTTACCATCTATGTACAATTTTCATCAACCATGGAAATGTGCTGAATTAAATGTTCATTCTTTTGTTGGGGGTTCCATATTTTCAGTAGTTCAAGATCTCTATGACATATGGATGCATACATTAAGTTCATATCTTGCTATCAACCAGAGCAACATTAAGGTCTTATAAATTTTGAATTCCACTTTTTTGAGATTATGAATTTATATTGGTTAGTGAAATACCATGGTTGTTAACACTACTTATAAAAAGTAGTGCTGCTACTGCAAGTGAAATGTAGCGCCGCCACTGCTTCCTCCTCTCAAATAAAAAAGTAGAGCCAAAATGGCTACCGCTACTTTTTTCAAACTATTTTAGAAAAAGTGTTGTGAGATATTTTTCACTCATTCTATTTTTATTGAAATCTAGTTAATTATTAGTGCAATGAGAATTAAATCGATTTTCTGAAATGTACACATTTTCACAAAATACTATTAATGACATTAATATTCTAAATTAAAATTTTTTGTTTTGTACCGAAAGAAGCAGTTTTTTACATTCAAGTCTGTGTTAGTCTGAATTGGTTTATCACCCGTTAAGACGTGATGCAACCACATGTTAAAACCACATGCAAAAGTTAGATTAAGCCAAGTGTTAAAGTCAAAACCAAATGTAAAATCTTTTTAAAATACTTGCTAAAGCCTAATAAAACTATGTGTTTGAGTTAAACAGATTTTGCTGAATTGAATAAAACGATGGTTAAAAACGCGGATTTTTATCCCCATACAATGAATAACTGACCACTTACGTTACAATGCATGGATATAATGTAATATATGGATATAATATTATATACATGTTACAATGTAACAAAAAGATCAAAACAAAGTAATAAACATATATAGAAACAAACAATGCCATTTAATCTAGGTTTCACAAATTAGAAAATTATTATTTTGCACGATCTAACGGAAAAGTTGACGCCTCAAAAGTTTCGGTTACGATCTTTAATATTAACTTTCAAAGTAACGCCTCCGCCAGTAGAGCTGCTACTGCTCGGTACATGTGGAGGTGCTACCGCTTCTCAGCCATTAACAACCTTGTAAAATACTTTATAAATTCGAATATTTCAATTCTCAGAAAATTTATTTTGTGATATTATCAATTATAATAATTTAACTGGACGTTGGTAGATGTTTAAAGCAGTTTTAATAATCCCTGACTCATACAAAAGATCAAATGTGAAAGAATTAGTTGATATGATGATGAATAAGATGGGCTTCTCACAAATGTTTGTCGTTCAGGTCTTTCTCTTTCTTATTTCCTTTCTGACTTTTGTTTATCAATTGTTTTATTTCTTTCAACTCAATTGTCATTCAGATTTTTAGAATTGTAAATCCTATAATACTTTGAAATAAATGAAGGAATCTGTCTGCTGTTCATTTGGTGATGGCAGTCAGACGTGCTGCGTCGTAGATGTTGGTCACTGCAAGACATCCGTCTGCTGTATTGAGGATGGACTCATCAAGAAGAATACTCTCTTCACTGCTCGCCTGGGAGGCTCTGATGTCACAAAATGTTACCTTTGGTTACTCAATAAGTATGGATTGACAAATAAGAACGTGAATTTGGTAGAAAACTCACGAAGGTGCAGTCTGTTTATACAGCATCTGAAGGAACGATACTGTCATCTCATGGATGTTAATATTTTTGACTGTTTTGTTCTAAATGAGAATCTTATTAATTATAAACGGCAATTGAATTGTGAAAGAAGTATTGCTTAGTTTCATTGAAAGATTAATTGGTTGATTCTGAATTTAAAATTAAAGTTTATAAATTTTGATATTTGAAGGATAAGTCCCCTGTTGAAAATGTTGAAACCTCTTTTTCTATTGACTCTTTTTTATCATCATCAACAACTGCTCCATTAGTATCAGCCATGTTCAAGTTTCACATGAGCGATGAGCGAATGTTAACACCGCTGTGTTTATTTTTCCCGGACATGTTGGGCTTGAAAGCAACTCCTGGAATTCACAAATCTATGATTTTTGGTGTCGAAAAATCGGTAAGTGATGCTAGTGACTATTTAGATGACGAATACATCCAGCAGACCACCACTAAACACGAACAAGCTGCTCGACTTAGGAAGAAAGAAGTATATGAAAATCACACAAACACCTTATTACAAGATGCAATTTGTCCTGATGAAACGATGGCATCCAATGATTATGAGGCTCTGGATCAACCAGATTCAGCGCTGAAGGGAAATAAAAACGATGATGATATTGATTGGTTAAATGTTTATGAAAGCACTTTAGTTGGTCTCCATCAGCTTGCTATTAAAAGTATTGATAGTTGTGGTTGGTATTGAATGTGAGAGAAATTATCAATATCTGAATGTTCGATTATTTTAAATTGCTTACGCAGAAAGTGAAGACACGAAGCAAAAAATGTTTTCAAACATTTTGCTGACCGGAGGGGGATCAAAATTTATGGGTATCCATTTATATTTTGAATATTTGCTGAGTTGTCATATGCAGTCAATTAAAAACCGTAACGTTTATGACATCAATATTAAAATCAAAGTGAGCCTCCTTTATTACCTTAAATCAATTTTATAGAATTTTTTATTTGCGTTTTCAATTATCTTGTTGTAATTACATAAAGTCTTAAGCTACACAGTTAAATAAAATTCAGGATGATGATCAAGGTATCAGAGGTGCCTGCATAATGTCTTGCCTTGATACTGTACAGGAGCTGTGGTTTGACAAGTATCAGTAGGTGTCACCATTTCTTTCATCTTGAATATGATGTGATTATCTCTCATGTTTTCATAGGTGGTGCAAGTATTCTGTACGGATACTCAGAGAGAAATGTCCTTTTGTTTGGTGATGTCCGCGTTTTGTTGGTGGTAGGCCGTGAAGTGCAGGGATCTAAATTTTTTTAAACCAAAAATGACAACGTCAAAGTTATTTTCACTTGTAACCATCGTCACTAACTTGTACTATGGCGTTTCTAGTTGAAATAAAATTTTTGTTACAGCGTTTTCATTATAGAATGAAATCAAAAACGCAAATATGTTAGAATTAACTTTAAAAAAAAGAACTTTATTTTTTGTTTTAATATTTATCGGGGCTAGTGTGATATTTCTGTTGATGACTTTACCGGCTCCTATTTTAAATGAATTTGTTCATGAAACACACCTAAAGCTAAACAAACTCAATAAAGGTGTTTCCTACAAGAAAAAAGAGAGCATGCGTCATCGTTTGGATGAAAGCGAATTAGACAAAACGTATTTAGAGCTTTTAGGTTTTGTTCCGAAACCTACTCTTTACCCAAATTTTACATTCAAAAATACTAAGTCCCCTGTAATTGTGACAGCTGCAACATCTGAAAATTTCGAAAATTCTTTTTTGCTGTTGTCTACAATTCAAAAGTATATGTTGAATTATACTTTGGTCATTTATGATTTGGGTTTGGAATCATATGAAACTTTAAAAGTTGGTTGTTTTTTTATTGTAGTGGATTTACTTATTATAGTTTTACTGTCTTGTTTTATAGTGTTTATTTATAATTTATATTTATTGATTAATCAACTCTTTAGCCATAATGGTGGCTAAACTACTAATCACACTCTTAACCAATAAAATGCTGCAAATCAGATGAAAGAAAACTGCATATCTGCATCAAATTGCTTGCTGCGACATTTTGATTTTGACAAGTTTCCATCGCATTTGAAACATTATTTGTATACTCAGTCTTATTTACCTGTCTTACTACAAGTAAATCAATTTCATTTGATTCATTTAAATTTGTTATTTTTTTAAATTTTCAAGTAAAATATTAAAAATCTAGCAAGCTCTGATAGATTATGGTGGTTTGATATGGGTTGGCATGGAGACAGATGAGCACTTTACTTCTGGAGATGTTTATCCTTATTTAAATGAGGCTGTTCAAACAGGTGCTTATTTCAGTTAGCTTTATATAACAAAGATTCACAATTTTGGCAATCTTTTTTTTATTAACCACCACAAATAATAAATTGAAATATGTACTTAATTAAAATAATCAGGTGGGCTACTGGGCTGGTCATTGGAATCACAAGAGCCGACATCTGTTTACACACACCCATCCATGTTTACAAAATTTGACACGACTCCAACCAAGTATATCTTTTGATATTCCATAACTCATCATTCACGACATTTGTTTTGTCCAAAGATTCAGATATTATTTAATTGTTTCAATATAAATCGCTTTACTTCCAGGTACTACTTCCATCGTATGCTTGAAACCACACACCTCATCCTCATTAATACTAAATTCATACACCAAAAAATTATGTTACCATGGGTACAATGCTGTCTCTCACAATCTTGCCTATCTCCAACTGGAGCTGAACCAGGTCTGCAGACAATGCTTAATGAATTAATTAACTTGTTAATTAAAGTTAAATAGTGCTAACCTTCTTCAATGTTTAAAACATTCTTTCTCCCACATCTATTTTCTGGTCATTTTTTGAGTAGTTGTTGCTGGTTATGTGATTGCAGGCAAATCATGTAAACAGAGAAAGCCGAGGTACTTATACTCAGGCTGTCACAGATATGCCATGTCCGTACTGAATGTTATACTGGGTAAGCACACACAGGATAATATTCAATCTTATCTTAGAACTAACAAATCAGAACTTTTTGGCCGTGAAGTATTCAGCCAATCTTCATTTCAAGTAACATCACAAATAGCACATGTTCCAGAAGATGGCACAAAAAATTTTGATTAGTCAATTCATTTCCAAGTCATTCCCATCCTTTCCAAAACCCAATTTGTTTTTTAAATTTTCCCTCTCAATTAGTTTGTACATATTAACGTTACGGCTTTGTACTTTTGTAGTTTGTTTAAATACTAATTATGGTCGAATAAAAAATATTTTTATTGGAATTTTTTAAATATTGGATCACAGGAGATTTGTTTGATCTGCTTTAAATAACTGACATAACTTTGTTATATAGAATTGTAAATGCATGTAATAAACATTATATGCACTGCTTATGTATTTATACAGAAACTTGAATCGTTGACATAATGGATTAAAATTTAACGCAATTAAATTTAGTAGTCATCTAAATCAAAATCAACTCCTAAATCATCAAGAGCCTCAAGTCCCTGGAAGTCCACTTGGTACCTTAGGATACCTGCATCGGCGAAAGAAAATTGATTAATGTACAAAGTGAATGAGATGTTTAAAATACATGTCTACACATGAAATTTGTTGGTGAACATAATGAATGTAGTGATGCTAGGTGCGTAGGAAGGTAAGAACGATAAAAGTAGCTAATGTTAAGTGTATAAGAAAAATGTAATTAATTACAAGAGGTTGAGAATAAATTTTACCTCCGATCCCTCCAAATCCTTTAACAAATTGTGCACCTTCTTGAGACTTGTCTGTGATAATTTCCAACGTAGCACCAAAACCTTTGTAGTTGTTTGCAAACCATTCAAGCAGAGAGACGCTGTCAACCAGTTCCAACTCAACTCCCGTCTTCAATGTTCAGAAGATAACATTTAAGTTAGTTTGGTGCACAATAAAACATTTTAGACCATTGAGCAGTGTAAAATTAATGCTTTGAGGTTATTAAGTGTGCTGGAAATAAACGGTGTGTGGATAGATTAATACACATGATTGAATGAATAAATAGAAGAATAAATAAATGAAAGGGCTAACCTCAGCATCTGTGAAATATGTTTTATCTTTTTCTTGCTCTGGTTTCAAGTGTAGCACTTTCTCTTCTGCGTGATGATGTAGATTTTAGAGTGAATGTTTAAGCAATGTGATTCAATGATCAAGCAAATTCAAATTGACACAAGCATCATGTACTGATAATAAGTTCACATTAAATGATATGACTGAACGATGAGGAAACAGTGTACTGATAAATGAGCTCACCATTCGTGGCATTGTTCTTGAGAACATAACGAATAATGTCCAGGTTTTCCCAGACAATCAATATTTCAACAGCTCCCATTTCCAAGGCCTTCAGCGTGTCTGCAACACCGAAACAATACTTGCCAGAGTCTTGAGATATTTCATCAAAATATCTTCCTATGGGGTATGTGATCATTTAAGTAACTCAATTTAATTCAAAAATAAAATAAGATATAAGCTCGAAACCAAAACAGAAGCAAACAGCTCAATTTTTGACGATGTGAAAAGCACTCAAAAGAAAACTCAGGCAGGAAACAACAGCAGACCTATGAGCTTTTTCTCTTGAATGAATTTAACATTTCCAAGTGCTTCGGCTGCAAGTTCAATTGCCTGGTTGAATCCATTCTCTCCACCATATGAGACGTCAACAATCTTGATAATCTTTGCCTGCAATCTCTGTTTTTTGCAATGTAAAAATTTAGTACGTAAGAAAACATTGAGAAATAAAATTCATTTAATTGTAGCATAGTTTAAAAAGTATTGTGAAATGAAATGATTGAGTCACCTGATCAAACATGTCTGACTGGCTAAGCTCAGTTTTGAAGTCAGCAGATCCAGCCATAACGAGACCAGCAATGTTTGGTCTGTCATTTACGATGAACAGTTGAACTGCCACTTCAGCTACCTTCCTCACATAATTGTGCCTCTTCTCCATCCTCAACCGAGCAAATCTCAGAGCTGACTGCCCACCTCTGCCTAGACAGAAAAAAATTCGCTGCAGTATTAACAATCAAACATACAAAAGTTAATATATGCATATCTCTGTACATGTGCAAGTGATCTTACCATGCTTCTTAGGGAGATCAACAGAAAATTTGTGAAGTACTTCTCTTGTGTTGCCAGACAAAGTGCCGAAGAGTGCACAGTTTCCATCCATCACAATGAAACCAAATTTACTGTCATCGGCTAGTAGTGCAGTCAGTGCCTGTGTTAAAGTTAAGAAAGAAAATCAGCATGATTATTTCCATTACCTACTTTATATACAGAAACTATGCTAGGAAATGAGGCTACAAAAAAATATATATAAGAGCAAACTGAAACAAACTTCTGTGTGAAATTTGTTGTCGCATAGATAGAGAGATGTGTTGATTGGTCGAAATGGCTCAAAGTCAATGTTAACTTTTTTTTCTTTGCCTTCATCCGTTACTATGGTACCACAATATGAAACCAGACCATTTGGAGGAACTGTTAACATTCAGTCAAACATATAATCTCATCACTCAAAAAACACATTTTAATTAATCATTTGTGTATTAGCATTAACAATTCTCTTGCTAGTGCTTGATTTTTAATTATTTGAAAGCCAAAAAAGTCAATTTTCTCAACTGATACATAAAAGGCATTCATATACAGAACAGATTATGACAACTCAAAGTTTAGAAAACTTACAGAAGATATCAATTTACAGCACTTATATACTGAAATATATATAAAATGCTGGTTATTAAAATTATGTTTTGTTAAAATTATGCCTGGAAAGGTAAATAATAAAAAATATAAATATCATAAATTTTTTGCATTTAACAATCATGACCTTTAGTATAAAGTTTCAATCTCTGTTGTACTGATGTGATTGCGCCTAAAACAGATAATCTGTTCACTCGGCTTTTTATATTAGAAGCTGTTCCAAATTCATCAGCCAACATTTTAGTTACCCTTGATATTTGATCTTTTGGTGGTATAATTAGAGAAATCATGCTAGTGCCATTGCTGTTGGGTTGATATTAAATTTATTTTTACAATCAGAAAGGATATTTACTTTTCCAATTATTAATGAAATTATAGTAAAATTAACCCATTATATAAGCATTCAGGATTAAAATTATTTTTAAGTTTAATTGAAATGATTGAAGAACAATTAAAATTTAATGCGTTTGTATTATTAAATAAACAAAACTAAACAAAAAATCATATAAATGAGTGAATGAATGTATGAATGGCTGGTGAACAAATAAATGAAATAAAATAAAAGTAAATAAGCTTGACAGTTGCAACACAACACACCCTCGAGCTGCCTCCAAACTTTTGATCAACTTTTTGATCTTCCATATTTCAACATTCCTGTCAGCACTTGTTTCTCCTTCAGCAGCAGCGGACATAATGTTGAAGCTGATGGATGATCTATCAAAATATCAAGTCGACTCACTGAGATAATGGCTTGAGACTTTGAGAGTTATCGAGTTCTGCTAAAAATTGGTTGCATTATTAATTTTAATTTATTAAATCTTGAATTTAATTTCATTTAATTAAATTTTAACATTTTAATTAAACTTTAATTATTAAAGAGAACAGCTGTCTATATATTTATCTTAATTAAATAAATTTAATATCAGCCAATTACTCAACCCACTGCCTCTTCACTCACACTCATCATTTATATATTTTTAAATCAATTATAATTATGATAATTATAATTGATAATAATATTATCAATTCAATTTCAATATAAAATGCATGCAGAAATGATTTCAAAATGACTTACTTCTGAAATTGTTGCAAGAGAGAGGAAATATTGAACTGAATATGAAAAGAATAAAAAATAATAAAATGATCAATTGATAATTTTTATATATATTTATACATCATCTAACAAATTAGAAATTTTATTGTAACATAAGCAAAATGCAGATAGATTTCCGCACGTGAGAGCGATTGACGTAAAAACTTCAAAATGGCTATCAGCGCTGTTACATTCGATAAATAAATTTCTCCTACGAACAAAGTTATATAGCGCTTTCCGGATATACTAATTAAGATTTTTAGAATACACAATAAAAAATATGTAATGAACATGTTGGTAGAATAATATTACCTATTCAACGAGATCTTACATTAACACATACTTGCACTACTTACACGCACATACACGGCAAAGTAGTGTAGTTGCAATAGTATTATAGTAACTATGCTTGCTTTTTTATTTTTTGTTTTTTCTTAATTTTATATATGTTTGACGATGTCAGATTTTTTTGAGGGGCCGAGGTCAGACTGACTCCGACACTCTGTTTGCAACCATGAATTTAAAAAAAGCTTTTCCAATACCATCAAGCAAAATTATTCAGTTCAATGTTTCAAATTGGTAAAAAAGTTTCTTAGATTATAAAATTTCTTCTTAATGTTGAGGACCAAAAATAAATTTTTCGTTGATGTACATTACTTCAATAGTAAAACTAGAATAAAAATGAAAAATTAATGACATCTTTGCGAGTGATTAAATAACGTCGCCGAACATCGGATGAACATCTACACTAAGCACTGTGCAATCAAAATCAAGTTGTATATTAGAAAAATTAAATGGGGTAAAATAATTTTAATGTGTCTAAAAAAGTGTCAACACATCGTTACCATATTATCACAATAACATATAGGAATAATAATTTAAATATTAAAGTCGTGAGTCAATGTTAGCCTCTGGATCATTAGGATCAACAATCGAAAGTTGAGCAAAGCCAATCAAAGCTTTGTCGTCAGGTACTTCATGAGCTGAGCACGTATAGTTCTAAACGTCAAAAATTGAACCAAATAACGTTGTTTCATTAAATTTGAATATCTAAACAATATTATAAAAACTGATTTCATCAACATTCCAATCGAAAATTCTATAAGGAAACGAAGAATATAATTTGTGTAGATACGGAGAATAAAATTAAAAGAGTTTGTTTTAATTGAATTAACATTTGGCTCTAACAATAAAAGGATTAAAAATGATGACAATTGGAAAACATGAGATTTGTTAAAACTTAATCCCAGTATAAATAAGAAATTGATAAACCTATAATGCTCTGACTACAAGAGTGTCAAAAGATTGTATATAAAAAAAACTAACCAAAGCAAACACAATTCCTCTCATTTCTGGGTTGTCCAATATTTTTTGTAGATTCGCAGCGACTTTTATAGTTAAAATATTTGTAACATTACTACTTCATCTTTTGTACAGTGTTAATGACGTAATATGATACTGTTGTTAGTTAATAATCCTGTCAATCATACCGATACTGACCAACAATAAGGTCTTTTCCATCCACCAAACCAGCTTCTACCATTTCTCTAGCAACACTTTGAGCAGTGTCTGTAAACATTTGCATCGTAATAATTAGACCTTCAGTTTTAATGAATTTACAAATTCACATTTATTCCACACCCATTTTAAAAAGCTGTTACAAAAAAAAGAATGAATGCGTGCGTTGCGTCAAAACTTTAGAATAACTAACAAATATTACCGTCATATTAGTTTAAAATAAATTAAATTAATAGTAAAAAATGAACCCTCCCCAGCGGTGAATTCAAATTTAATGTCGTTAAGTTCTTTGTTTTCATTTCTCAATCTGAGAACGAGATATATACATTGCCCCTGTCCTGCCTGCTCCTGTTGAATTAAAGAGCTCGTCAAAACTAATAATTTTTTAAATTAAATTGCAATTTGATGGGAATGATTATAAACGACCTCTGCATGAATGATTTCATGTTGTTGTTGCTGCTGCTGTTGAGGAGATGACATCACCGCAGCTACCGCTGATGATGCTGCTGCTGTGGTGGCCTGTTTGCAGACAATAACAAAATGAAACAAATATAAATAAATAATAACAAAAGAGGAAGCAAAAAAGTTGCCTTGTTAGCAGTTGCATCTTCTTCTTCATCCGACCATTCCCATTCACCTTCTTCATTTTTGTGCATGCGACCACTCATACCTGGAACTCTTTTAACTTTCTGCAAGTTTACCGTTGCACCTTCAGACAATAGTGTCTTCACTAAATACTGCTTATCCTGTTTATTGTGCATGAATATGCAGTATTTGAAAATTTGACTGTGTCGAAAGCAGAGTTGTTATTGCATTTATATAGTACATTTATATTGTTCGATTGAACGTGTATTGAAAGATAAAAATAAAAAACAAAAAATAAAAGTTAATAAAAATGTTAAAAAGCAAAATTTACATGGAATAATTAGAAAAACTGATACATATAAGATTTTCTATAGTTTACGCGACCTTGGCTTTTTTGAAAAATTCATTTTTTAGAAGCTGTTTGGCAGTTGGTCTCTTATCAGGTTCCCTTTTTAGACATTCGCTGATCAATTTTCGAAAAGATTTACTATAAGCTTTATATTGATCTTTATCATCTGTGCCCGTTTCAAGTGTTGGTGGGTCATTCTGTAACGTCAGCATCAACACCTGTAAGCGCACAAATTATTCAGACATGAAGTAAAAAAATTTGACAACAAAGTAAATAAAACCATATGGATCGATATTAGTCTGCAAAGTGACGGTTCACGTAGAAACAAAATACTAGCTCGGATTTAACCAGCAAAGTGAAGAAAGCATGATTTGATAATCTCGGTGAGGTAAATATCATAAGATAAGTATCAGATGTTTAAAAGCAGCTGATGCAAGATGAGTATGGTATGGAAAGGAAAACGAAAACGTTGGTAATTAAAATACTTAGGAATGGCATGAAATCATAAAATAGCGAAAATTTTTTAAAATAATATAAAATATATATATTTCACGAACGCTGCTACTCGTGGCACTGCCCACACACAACAGTGCTTCGAGGAAATGACAAAAAAGAAGCTAGCTCATTTGTTGCACATAACAACTTTCATTTTAAATACTGAAACATATTTCATTTTATTTTTAATAAAAATTACAACATGTGTGTGTGTGTTTGTGTGTTTCCTCCACATAGCGTCTGGTGGCGGTCCAAACCATGTCTATAAACTTCAATACTGTCCTTCGGGAACAAAAGGTTTGTGAAGTACCCATACCCATATAGAACATCAACTAAGAGAACAAATTAAAATGAAATAACTTTCATTGGCGGATATTTGTGGTACGGAGCCGTTCCTGTTGCCAGTTCAATGGCAGTTATGCCCAAGCTCCATATATCAGCCTTGTAATCATATCCTGATATCTGGTAGAAAAACGGAAATGAGATTGTAAAAACAAAGTTAATTCAACACCACCTACTACCAGCATAAAGTTTATGAGAAATAAAATTCATTTGTACTTTTCTAGAACGTCAATTACTGATAAGATATTAGCAATTAAAATAATTAAATTTGAAATTTAATGATGAACTAAATTATAGACAGACAGCAAGATGATATTAACTTGCTCCATGACTTCCGGAGCCATCCAGCATGGAGTGCCTACAAATGTATGCCGAACATTTTCTCTGTTGTTATCCTTCCCTGCGGCCAGCCATGCGCTCACTCCAAAATCAGCAATCATCACACTTCCATCATCCCCAAGAAGAATGTTCCCTGCCTTAATGTCCCTGATAAATATATACTTTTAAAATATATAGTAAAAAGAAGTGTATTTTAATATTATGTTAATATGATTGAGAATTAATAAACTATAGTAGATATGCAAACCTGTGTATTTGTCCATTATTGTGAAAGTAATCCAACCCCTTCAGAACTTCTTTAAGAACGGTTGCAATAGTAACTTCATCCAACACTCCAGATTTTGATTCAGCAGTCCTCATCCGATATTTTATGATATCCAATAAAGATCCTTGATGGATATTTATTGAAAATGTATACCTTATGAGCCTTATTCAACAAAAAATGTATTCCGAAAGTATGCAAACATGCAAGCTTATATATGATATATTTACATTTTTTGACATTGTATTAGTTATTTAATACAATAAACAATAAAACAATGAAAGGTGGAAACAAAAATTGAAATATCTAAAACTAATTTGACCTCCTCCACACAACTTCATAACAACCCAGAGTTCTTCTTTAACAACAAACGACGTGTAATAACTTACAACATTCTCATGATTACACTGACTCATTGCTTGGATTTCTTTCTAATAAATTTTAATAGTAAAACTTAATTTAATGATTTCAGAACAATTATCATACTATGTTTTTTAAACATATTTCTAAACAAAAGTAAATTGTCACCAGCAGCTCTTCAACAGTAGTGTTACACTTTTCAAGGTTAATTCTTTTGATTGCACATTTTTCATTTCTTGATTTGCACAATGCCATTTGAACAACTGCAGTCGCTCCAGAACCTAGACACAGATAACATTTGAATTTTGTTCATTATTTTAAAAATTGACCGATAAAAAAACTCAACCATCCTTTATTCTTTTGTAGAAAGAAACATTTTTAGCACATTTGAAATAACTAAATAATATTATCATAGTTAGGCAAAATATGTAACCAGACATATTGAAGATGAAAATAAAAACATGCCATTTTGAACATATAATAAAAAAATAGTTTGTTAACTTTCAAAAGTTGGAACTTTTATAATAACTAATTATTAATTAATAACTAATTAAAAACTAATTATTATGTTTATGTCATGTTACCTGATTATCATGTTAATATTTTAAAACATAACTCTTTTTTACTTGAAAATTTTATTTTTATTAATCTTTTATACTACCATAGATTAGATTAGTAGTTAATTAATGATTAATAATCATTAATAAGTGGTGATGCCTAAAAATTGGAAAGAAGTTTTTGAGGAAGAAGCCCTTCAATCCACCCATTATTTATTTGCTAAAGTTTTTTATTATGATTATAATTATTTAATGATTAGTTTAATAATCTAATTCTGTATTTCAAGGACAAAATTCAAAATGAAACTACAACACCAACAAAAGGTACAGTAAATGGTAGAAGTACATACAAAAAACAAACAAAAATAAAAAGCCTTTCTTCTTTTTCAATTTCTATTTCTACAACACTGATTTGAAAAACTAATAAAATTAAACGTAATTAGATTTGAAATCAACCTATAACTTCTTTTAGTTCATATTCATCTTTAATGTTCGGCCAGCCAGAACCTATTTGCAGCGACGCCATTTTTCAATATATTTACAAATTTAAAAGTGGACTTGAAGAATTAGAATAGACAATTTTTATCACATTTTATTTTTACCAAGGGTAGGCCTATTTACAACACTTTCACCCTCCAACTCCCCCCCAGAAGTAAGCTCCTTTGTTCGACCGTTATATTTATTTTAGTTATATGTATCAAACGGTATCTTATTGAACAAAGTAGTATAATAAAATGAATAAAGATACTTTTTTTAAAAATTTTAAAAATTCTCAATTTAATTTCATTGCGATATCGATGATGATGATTGTGACTTGACTAATTAAAAAACATCAAATAACATTTATTAAATAGGATGAGTACTACGTTGCAAAATCGTTGGAAGTGATGACGTCATGTTAACAATAGTTATTTCACTGCATGGTAGTTAATCAGCCGGTATAAATGTTGTATTCAATTCCTATCGAATAAATTTGACCAAATATCATACGCAGTCAGAACAGAACTAAATAAAGAAGTAGATAGATATATAGTAGAAATATAAAGAAGTAGATAGATAGATAGTAGATATATATGCATAGTTATGATGCATTTATAATGTTGTATTTACACATTCAAATTGTACAATTGTGTTATGGTGTAGTCTCAAATTATTTTGAATTATCTCAGAATAATTTAAACCTTTTACTATATACTAGTTACATTTATCAACAACTTTAAAAAAATTTCAATTTGATTTCATCGCGACATCGATAATGATTTTTGTGACCTGACTGATTATAAAGCATCAAAGAAAATTTTTAAAATAGGATGGAGAATTTGTTATATTAGGATATTCGTTTATAAAGCTAGCAAAATTTTAATATAAAAGCGCTTATAAATCTACGAATATTGGCTCAGCTTGGCTTGGCGCAGGTGTGTTCTCAAACTATTTGGAATTCTCCCAGAAAATTTTGAACTGCGTGCGCACATATGTAGCACTGATTACTGTTGCGTTTATAATGAATTGATATACTATACATATAAAGCGAGCCAAATTTTAATATAATAGCGCTTTCCAATGTACGCATCAGCTTGGCTTGGCTCGACTTGGAATTGCATGTTAAGCTAGGTGTGGTTCAAACTATTTTGAATTCTCCCCTCAAAATTTGAACTGCGTACGTACATATGTAGTACTGGTTAATGTTGCTTTTATAATAAATTTATATTATATATATATATATATATATATATATATATATATGTGTGTGTGTGTGTGTGTATATATATATATATGTATATGTATATGTATGATTTTGTTGGAGATTTCAATGTCGATATCCTAAATTTAGACTCGACACACGCAATGTCATTTCAGAATTTGTTGTCATACGGCTTCGTTCCATTAATTTTTTCACCAACAAGAGTAACCCCAAATTCTAGTTCTTTAATAGATAATATTTTTACAAATTCCTCTGAAACGTATAATAGTGGCATAATTATATCTGATTTGTCCGACCATTATCCAATTTTCTCGATTTCACACTGCTCTAGTTTATCGACAGATAAATTTATCCCCCCATTCCAACGTTGTTTAACAATCAGCAACATTAACAAGATTAACGCCTATCTAGCTACTGTTAACTGGACTCCTATCACAAGCGAAAACAATATTGAAATAGCCTGTTTACTTCTGTACAAAATAATAAATACTGTCTCCTTTGCGATCTTGTAAACGCAGAAATAAAAAGTCATGGGTTAATAAGGAAGTGTTATGTATGTCACGTCTGCAAAATAAGTTGTTTAAAAATTACATAGTTAACCCTACTTCAGAAAATTATAATACGTATACAAAATTTAGAAATAAATTCACTAATCATAAAAGACATTTAGAAAATCAATATTTCAATAATAAATTTCTCGAATATAAAAATGACGCGAAAAGTAAATGGAATAACGCAATAAATAACATGCTAAATAAAAAACCAGACAAACAAATTATCAATAAAATAGTAACTAATGATATAATAATCGAAAATAGAACTGAAATATGTAACACTTTTAATAACTATTTTGTCAATATCACTAAATCATTATTAGATAATACAAATGATAACGCACAGAATCAGAATAGTATTAATTTAATTAAGCCAATATGCAAATCTTTTTATCTTGAATTAACTAACGAATTAGAAATAATAGGATTAGTTGGGAGTATGAAAAACAAAAAAAGCACATCCGATGATGAACTAAGTAATTATTTAGTTAAGCAAATAATAAATAATATAATTGTCCCATTAACCCACATATGCAATCTTTCACTGTCACAAGGAATCTTTCCTCAGTGCTTTAAAACTGCGAAAATTCTACCAATATTTAAAAAAGGTGACAGACTGGAAGTATCTAATTATCGACCCATTTCTCTCCTCTCGCCACTCTCAAAAATTCTAGAAAGACTAATGCACTCTAGATTAAACTCATTCTTAAGTGCTAACAACATTATTACAGATAGGCAATACGGCTTTCGACCAAACCATTCAACAGAGCTTGCTGTGTTGGAGTTTACACAAAGGCTTTCGACCAAACCATTCAACAGAGCTTGCTGTGTTGGAGTTTACACAAAGGGTGATGTATAATCTAAACGAAAAATTCTTAACTGTCGGAATCTTTATAGACCTGTCAAAAGCCTTTGACCTTATAAACCATGAATTACTTTTACAGAAACTGCAATTATATGGAATCAGAGGAGTAGCTCTTAATTGGTTTTCCACTTACCTAAAAAATAGAAAACAATATGTCTCGATAAATGGACACAATTCGGAGAAGTTAATTATAAACTCCGGTGTTCCGCAGGGATCAATACTGGGACTATTGCTTTTTTCGGTGTTTATTAACGACCTCTGTCTGGTTCCTACTACAGCTAAATTCTTACTTTTTGCTGACGATACCACTATCTTTTTTCATACCAAAAATCCTCAAGAAGATCAGATAATAATTAATTATAACTTAAAATATATAGCAAACTGGTTTTTATTAAATAAATTAATAATAAATTATTCAAAATGTACTTATTTAATATTCGGTCCGAAAATAATTACAAATGGCATCAATGACTTGACAATATCAATAAATGACAAAATAATATCTCGTTCCACTGAAACAAAATTTTTAGGTGTAGTAATCAGAGATAACCTGTCATGGGATTTGCACATTAATTCAATATCACAAAAATCATATAGAATCATAGGTATGCTACATAAAATTAAACATAAAATTAATAAAAATATATTAGTAAATCTTTATTATGCGTTAATTCATCCTTATTTGGTCTATTGTAATCTTCTTTGGGGTAATAGTCCAGATTCACACATTAATCCAATTGTCGTAACACAAAATCGATTTATTCGATTGCTCCTTGGCCTTCATCCACGTTGCCACATAACTGGTTATTATACGGAGGCAAACATTCTTAGCGTTAAAAATTTGCATCTTTACTTTCTGGCGATCTTCGTGTTTAAATACTTACAACAAAAGTTACCAAAATTTTTTCTAGATTTCTTTACCCTAGCGTCAAATGTCAAAACAAAAGTCTTGAGAAGCGTGCATACATTTTATTTTGTACCGCAGAGAATTAAATTAGTGAATTCAAGTTTAAAAATAACAGGACCTAGAGTCTGGGACGAGCTAATTTCGCTAGAAATAAAAGAAATTACTTTGATCCATTTATTTAAAAATAAGCTCAAAAATTATTTAATTAATAAAAATACTTATTTTTTATAACAATAATTATAGTATCAATAACAAGAAAGACGGCCACTTTGATATGGAGCACGAATATGTTATGAATGTGTATGAAAGGATATGAATGTGTATGAGTGGACATGAATGTGTATGTGTATGGATTGTTATGAATGTGTATGAGTGGGTACGAATGTGTATGGATTGTTATGAATGTGTGGACATGAGTGTGCGTGCATGAGTGAATTATGGATCTAACGTACTTGAGGGAATATGCTTCGAACGGTAAACTTTTTACGGTAAACTTTCAAAATGAAAATGAATGTGTGTGATAGTTCTTTTACGGTAAACATTTTATAAAAATAGAATTTGTTTTGTAATAGACTTTCTACGATAAATTTTTCATAATGAGTTAATAACATCATGATTCTCGCATTTGCCTATGTAATGATCCTTTAACGATAAACTTTTAAAATATGCCAAAATTGATATTTGAATTTGTTTCTGTAATGAACCTCTACTGTGAATTTGTCATGTCGATTCAATCTTTATTTATTTAATTGTCAATATTATGGGAGGCGAACATTATTTAATTTTGAGATGCAAATGTATAAATTTTTGTGACGTATGTTCGCGTGCACGAATTGCCATCATTTTTAATTTCTTCATTTTCAATTAACTTTGTTGAATTTTTTGTTGAACTTGGTTGAAAGGACAACTTTAGTTAAGGCACTATCACAAGTATTATGTTTACTTTTTTGTGCTTCTTCCAATAAATAAATAAATGTATGTATATATATTCAATTCAAATAATCTTTTATTCAGTAAAGTATCATTAAATACATAATACTAGGAGACCCGAAGTTTGCACTTGTTGGGCCACCGAAACAGAAATTTGATTAAAAGATTAAAATTCGAACAAAGATAAACAATAAGTGATAAAAAGAAAGAATATATATATATATATATATATATATATATATATATAGTGACTAGAATCCATGTATACAAATAATTATTAGGATTATATGTTTATATAAAAAGCAATATAGCAGATTCAACCAGCCAATCAGAAAGTTTCGAAGGCGTTCGTTCGTTCGTTCGATTTCTTTTCAACCGTGCTAAATTTGTCGATTTAGTACGGTTAGCATTGTGGTTAAGATTGTATAATAGTGTAGTACATTCATTAAATAAGTTTTTTACTGATGTGAATGATTGAAATGATGTAAATGTATAGTTGAAACGAGTATAAATAGGAGCTGAATTTTTTTATTTGATTGAAAATTGCTTCAATACATACAAATAGAGCACATACACGTAGAGTATATATATATATTAGTGCACATACGTGGCGAGACATGCGATATTAATATAGACCGCATTCTTTTAGATTGTTTTTAATGATTACATCTGTAATAGCATCGAAAACAAATTGCACGTTGTTCGTGTCAGTTGCACAAGTAAAATGACAATAGATTTCTTTCGTCCCCTTACGTTTGTTCAGATCTTCAAATTTGCCCCGAATGAACATTGATGTTTCGTATAATCGTTGTTTCCTGTGTTAAATTTGAAGATCTTAGTAATAATTCGTATGCCTATAATAATTATTTTAGGCCCTACCTAAAAAATCAGAAAAACAAATGGTGATAGGACATTTTGTGATTTTTTCTGCAAATAAATCTTTTTTGTTGAGGAACAATATTATGGACGTTTCCGTAAACCATTTGTTGTTACAAATTGAGTCAAACAGCTGCATACTTTCTATCATACGGTTCTAAAAACGTATATTTTTAGTTTAGTTTTTTCAATAAAAATAACCTGGTAAGAATTGAACTTGCCGTTTCTTTATCTTCAGCTAGCGTCAGATCATATTCACTCATTGCCACTATGAAAATTATGGCTGTGACTCCTTCGAAACAGTGAATCCACTTCTTGCGTTCAGATCTTTGACCTCCAACATCAAACATTCTGTATTTTTATTCGATCGTTTCTTTATTTACGTTCATAAAATTCTAAAATATTTTAAAAAATTGTTTATTTTTTATTATATACATATTTAATTAATTATAATAGAATTAAGTCTATTTCAGAAACATTCGATAAACAAATGAAACACTGTACTTGAAGTGCAACTCTTTAAATGAAAAGTTTGTTTCCACAATGCCAGTTGTTTTAACTCTGGTCCTCAATATATCTTGCTCGGTTGGAATGTATGTATCACTCGAAATTCTCTCCAAACTATTTAGATAACTACATTGTCAACATGGTAATTATTTTATAGATAAAGATATTGCATTTATAAAAATTATCTACCAATGAGTTTAAAACATACTATGATGCCGAATCATTCAATTGGTACTCGCTGGCTCTTGAATAACATTCCAGCACACCGGCATCACTCCACAAACTTCTGATCATTCGACATAAATCACTAGACAATTCACCATCGTCAGCGTTTAATTGCAAAATTACTTTGGCATTACTCTAGAGGTATTTAAAAATTAATTCACATATAGACAGCACAGCGATACAATCATCGACGGCGTAACATTCGTATAGGTAGTAAAGGCGCAAATTGTTGCCATCGCCAACCACGCCGTATTATTGTTAAATTAATTGGTAGTTTACTTGGCTATCAGGAAGATGGAAGGCGATATTCAACTTGCTCATCTCCTTGATTATGGTCATGATGCTGCTTTTAATGTTGCTGTAAATGATCGGTTTATAAGATAGACATTCAGCCTCTGAATAACCTTTTTCATGAATGATCCTATTTTGAAAGTTCGTTTAAATTTATTTTCGATTAAATTTGTAACAACAATTTTTTTCATATCAGTAAATACATTCATAGCAAGTGCAGCAACAGTAAATAAATCAGAACATATACTTATAGCAGTATCATCATTATGACTGCCTTTAAACCATCTAATTAAAATAATTAAGAGCAAGCGAGAGGTGCATGCATGGTTCTCATGACAACAAGATAATGACAGGCACACATCCCATTGTTCATAAAGTCTCATTAATTTTTCCTGTTTTTTTATCAGTCATCAATATATGGTTTATTTTTAGTAAACATAATAAATATTTCGACAACAAGATACACAATGATTAAACATTAAACTTAAAACATGTAAACGTCACATTGAAGGAAACCGACTTCATCTGCTTCACAATGGTACTCTTCCCTGACTCCCCACCGCCTGTCGATAAAAACGCATTTTATTATTTGTTGGAACTCAATTATTTGATGAAATCTAACCAAGAAGTAACAATTTGACTTCTCTCGACGCCTTCTCTCCATCCATTTTCAACTGTTTTTCAATTTTTCTTGAACGTTCTAACGCATCTTTATCGATTGCGCCATTTGTCGATCCGACCACGCATCCCATTGTAAAACTTTCTACTAGTTTAACAATGTTATATATTTTTAGTAATAATGCAATTATTACAATAAAAAAAAGATCATAAATTAACAATTCAAACTGCAGTAAGCATACTAAAAATGAATAACTATTGAACTTGTGTTGAAACGAGATAATTTGAAAAGTACAATTCGAGTACATGGAATGATCTATGTATGCTGTTTTGCTTTCGTCAAGACTGCCGTTCTAAAACGTTAGATGCATACTCTTATATGTTACAGGCGCATAATATACAAGCGCCTCTATAACATTTCCTGATATATAGACATTGTAATAATTATTGAATAGATTAGGGATATACACATATATAATTGTCTCTACTCTTTATGCTCAATTACTTAATGCGGCGTTGATGTCAGAGCATAGAAAATGTATACTTTAGTACAAATACGTAAAAAATGCATACTCAAGTACAAGTGTACTCAACAAAAAAAGTACCCAAGTATTAAGTATCAAAACCATTTGAGAACTTAGTGCTTATAAATAAATATTAAATACAAATACTATTAATCTAAAAAAGAAATTCATTTGTCAACAACCCAATCAGTTTTGTCTCAAAATATCCAGCCGTAGCAGTCTTCTCGGGTCGGGTTCTCTGCTCAACGAAAGGCAGTCATCCAGACATTCCATCAGAGTTGACCTTTTCTCGCTAGCTATATACATTATACAACGGTATAGCGACAACAAAATTATCAATCAAGTCAGCTAGCTCCCGTCTGATACACATAATAAGTCAAATTTGGATTGTTTTTTGAAATTGTGACTAGCTCCGTAGTCATCGATCTATCATTGGGCATCTTTAAAATTTAAATAAATATTGTTTAAGATAGTGCTTGTCCAAAAACTTTTTGGTCCTGCGGATCGGTATTGAGTTTAATAGACAATACACCAAAACACATGTATGTTACGATTTTATTCAAAATAAAATAATAATAAAAAGTGTTTCAGTCTTTTAAAATGAAAATTGGTCTGCTTGCCTCTAGTTTATAACTTCCTTGCGCGGTTGAAATGAGGACAGTACCACACGTACATATTTATCTAATTCGATTGGTTGCAGGTCATACTTTCTTCCGCACGCCGTAATACTTTTTAACAAATATTTCATTGCGTTACTGGTCAAGACCGCGGCCCGGCACCGGTCCATGGAGCACCAACTTTCAGAACACTGGTGTAGAACTTAGAAACAGAAAAGCATAATAGAAATAAAACAATGAAACGATAAATTTTACTCAATCTTTACGATGTTGACCACCGGGCGAATTGCGCAAGAGCTAGTGTACTCACACCAACAGACAAACTTGTCACTTCAAACGTTTCAGACATTCGTAACACAAATAATTGACCTTATAAAGCGCATCATGTATTTATTACAATTAAAAAACGCCTCAAATATTGGTGCAATTAATAGTTATTACAAAATAATATTCAATTACATCATTAAGCTGGAATTAAACTAACAAAGGTTTTTGCTGTTACTTATTAATTTAATAACAACTATTTTAACAATTACTAGCTTATTTTTAATCCCATTACCGTTATCAAAAATTTTATATGTATTCTCCATGTTCCAAGAACTGTTGATTCGTAAATACAGAATGCTCGTTTGGTGGTAAGATACTTTCTGTAGATGCTTCTTCATGAAATTTGTTCATTTTGCTCTTCAGCATTTCAAAATTCGGCCTTTTCGTGGGATAATAAACCCAACAATCTTGCATTGTTTCAAATCTAAAAATGGTAAATTGAGCGTCTTATTGTATGCCATTATATGTATTTCTACAATCGCGGGTTACTTTATTTATAATGTATACTGCATTTTAACATGGGTTGGATATTACTAACATGTCAGAAGAGCACAAAGATGGTTTGTTGAGTCTTCCACCTCTTTGAACAAATTCAACTACTTCTCTGTCATTCAGATCAGAATACGGTCTCCCTCCTACATATGTACATATACAAAAATATACGACAGACCTACGGACAAAACATAGTATAATTAAAATCTCATGCACAGCATAAAATTTTACCCTTTTCCAATGTTCTAACACGAATAACACAGAAATATACAAACATAACACACAGTGAAACGATGTGTGACACGTAACCTAAAGTAAAACATTCCCACATTAAAACACCATAGGACCAAACATTTGATTTCATGGACCGCTCGAGTACAAATAACGATTCAGGAGGCAACCATCGAATAGGAGTGTTGACGCTCTAAAAAAAATTTATTTCGCATCTACAATTAACTTTTTTATCAAAAAATTAATTTTGCATGTACATTGAATATTAATCTTTAATATTAATCAATTAAACAATTCAACTGATTACTTTCTCTGAATTTCTAGACTGAAAATGTTCACACAGGTCAAAATCTCCCAGCTTGCAAATTAAATCGCTTGTTACAAAAATCTTTTGACAGCATAAGCACCTATGTATACACTGTTATTTTATGTAGTGTTGACTTTCTACGCCGTGTCAAAGTTATTTTATTATTACAATTGTTAAAAAATATAAGAATTGCAAAAAAATTTAGAATATTAAATAATTTTAGTTTAAAATGATTTTAAACAATTTCAAAACCTGCAAAGAGCAAGCATACTGCATAGCGGATGCAATTTGAAGTAGAAATGATAGAATCACTTTTGTAGTGAGCCACATATTTGCGGGATTTTGGCTCTGTTTTTGAAGAACGTGCAGTAGAGTGCGAGGACCGCCATCCACATATTCCACTATCGAGCTGGTCGGGTCTGATTGATGGTTTGTTGAACATTTTTGTTATCAACAATTTTACCAACGAACTGAATAAACCTACACATACTAATGTCCAAAACATAAAGGCACTAAGTGCAATAACAATTAATCGTTCTAATCCAATTAACCTAATTATAATATAATGTCAATTCAAAAATATAATAAAACAATCAAATAAATTAATTTAGGTATGAAGATATCTTGATGTAAGCGAAATAACATGAAGTGGTGCAACAGCCAATAAGCTGAATAATGTTCTCATGAAACTTAAACTTCATCATGACTTTGAGATCATCCAGAAATCTTTGTGCATCATCATCTGTACCATTGTCTGCCATATGTTTAAAATAGAATTTATTCATTATTATATAAATAAAATAATAATAATTCAAATAGTAGTGCGTAGTGTGACAATTAATGTGAAATTGATACTTAAATGCGAATTGACACCTTTTAAAACTTTCACGGCAACATATTTGAGATGTTTCTTTTCTTTGCCTGTTATAGCTGCCAGCCATGTTTTGCAGTAGTTACTTTCTCCAATTTGCTTCAACATTGTCAAACGCTCTCTCGGGAACTCCCATTTTTGTCTCAAATTTTCAAACGAGTTTACGGAGGAAAAAATATTTTCTTGATGATTTTGTAAGCGTAGAACATTAAGATTTAGAGGCAGAGCGTTTTTGCTGTAGTTTCTGTCTGTTGGATGGTTTCCATCATATAATTCATTGCCATCACTATAAAAATATCGTTCTGCGGATTGTTTGGATGGTTTGAAAAATTTTTTAGAGGTATTAATATTTATTGGTTGCAGTGCCCCATATCCTATTAAATTTGATAACCCACAATCCATATATTGCTTTTGTGCATCATCCAAGTTGTTTTGCGAGATTGTAGTTGCTGTTTTAATGTTTTCCTCAATGCAGCAAGCCTGTTGTGATGGGACACAAGATGGAGAGGATGATGATGATAAATGTTGGTGAGGAAGACACTCCTGACTGGAGGGATTATAATGCTCATTTGAAAGACAATCTTTGCCTGTTAATTCTAACTGCAAACAGTTACAATTTTTTCAATGGTTTTAAAATACACATATATTTGATTTCATTAGAATAGTGTAAGTTTTTATTGAACAATATCATCAGAGACATTTGAAAAACTGACATTTTGATCAACATCAGAATCTAAGTGGGTACTGCAATACTTAAACACAGCAATAGTAGTAGCAGTTATAACAATGGCCAAGAGAGGAAGACTGACTGACAAGGCTATAATTTTGTTTGTGTCCATCTGTCCAGAGTTTAAAACAACTGCTCCAGAAACTGTTCATTAATTTAATAAATCCTTTTCATATAACATTAACTATAAACAACTGAACTAATATCAACATTTTAATGATAAAACAGTTGAAATGGACTTACGAGTTGATGCATATAAGGACAATGACTCAGCACTTTTTCCATAATCATTTACAACAAATAAATCAATGACATAATTCTCATTTGCTTGCATTTCATTTATTATTAAATGGTCTGTTGCCTGATTTTTTATAATTGGGCTTAATAATCTGTCATTCAGTTGTTTTGAAGAACTTGATATCTTTTCAATTTATAATATTTGTCAGTGATTGTAAAATAATACAAAAATAGTGCTAATTAATGTTTAAGTTGTAACCTTAACACTGTATTTAACAGAAGATGTTCCACCTTTGAAACCAGGTATGCATTCTATATCAATTTGACTTTCTGTTGTATTACTTACATCACATCTTTGTGGACCATCTGGAATTCCTAGAATAAAATTTCTTTTTGAAATAAGTTGAATTACAAAAAAAACTAAATAAAACCTGTAAAATAAAAGTACAAAATAGTAACCTGGTAACAAAAGTTGTATTTGGTAAGCACTTGATGCCATCTTATTATTTGCCTTACACGTATAAACACCATAATCAATCTGCTTTAGAGATTTTATTAACAAAACACTCGATGACATTGAGAAGAATGTTGTTGTTGTTGAAAATGATGGATCAATTTCTACATTTAGTGGATTAAACCAGGAAAACGTTGATGAAGGATTAGAATGAACAGCACACTCCATGCTAACTTCACTTTCTAATGTAGCACTATATTTCTTGAGTGCATAAGGTCTCCATAATGGAGCATCTATTGAACATTAAATGAAGCAATTACAAAATTAATGAATCTATAGTACTAAAATTTATAATGATTAATACTTAATAGTTGATAACCCACAAAGAACTGAGATATTAACTGAAGCGTTGAAAGAGAGTGAATGAACTATGGCGAAACATGTGTACAATCCTGATTGCGTTGATGCTATATGCGACATGGTCAAGATTTGAACAGGAATGATTAGTGCAGAATCTTTCATCCAATAAAATTTAATATCGTTTGAATAACCGTCAGTAACATTGCAAGAAACCCTAACGTCGTCATATTCAAAAACTTCTAACGTCTTGGGTACATTTAAAATAATTGACGACGATACAGCTGCCATGAATAATAAATTAAATTTATACATGTTAATATTAGCAAATCTATGTATTGAAAAGTTCATTTTTGTGTAATCTGATTGTTCAAAAATTAAATAAAAATTAAAGTTTAACAATAAAGTGACAAATTGATCGCGGCAAACAACCTTATCATTAGAAATTTCAAATCAAATACTATTGTTAATTAATTCAGGTAAGACGAGGTGCAAATTTAATAGCAAGGGTTATAAAATTTTATTTTAAAATCTGTTTTAACTGTTTAATAAATAAACTCTTTATACCTATTTTTATAGACATCAATTGCAATACTTTTTATTTTGTGTAAATAGAAACATTATTAACAAAACGTGTCCGCCTCCGCCACGTTTTTCCGGTTCGTGATTGTCGGTATTTGTTTCAAAATTAGCCGAAAATGACGTGCGTGCTTGCGATAAGTTTGTTTTCATTTGTTTTATGCGCTGTTCATGGCGCCTCATATTCTGTCAATCAGGATATTAAGAACGTTAATGTGGTCAGGAAGGTTGATCTAACTAGCCATTTAGTGAAAACAAGCGCACAAGTCACATTCGTCAATAATGGTAAATCTCCAGTTAACTCTTATCTTGTTTCCGTGGAACCGAAATATAATTCAAAATTGGCTTTTATCGGAGCATCGGTAGTTTTTTAAAATGGGATTTAAATATTTGCATTGATTAAAACCACAAATTTTAATTAAATCTTCATCATATTATTATTTCAGATTTCTAAATCAAAGGATGACTTTGAAAAGTTGAGTGTTACTGAAGTTTCAGTAGAAAAACAGAGGTGTGTTGTACATTAAAAATTTAATATTTTATGTTACTTTAGTATTTAGTTAGATTTAAAACTGTATTTTAGATGCAACTGCCAGCATTATCTCTTACGTTGTTCTGATAAATTTTAGGTTTTGCATATTAATTATAATTCTATTATTATTAATTATTTTATTTATTTTATATTGTAGCAACAGTTATTATTTGGTTCACCTGAACAAGAATGTTGTTGAACCTGGATTTGAACTGACGATCATCATTGAGACAATTTTTATTCATGCTCTGCTTCCGTACCCATCCCACATTACTCAGTCTGAGAAGCAATTTGTGAAATACATGGGAAACCTATACTTTTTTACTTCTTATGTAACCACCACTCAAACCACTATTGTTACTTGTTCTTCATCCAACATTGATTCTTACACTAAAGAAAAACCTTACAACATCAATGACAGAGTATTAAATTATGGTCCTTATGAAAATATAGAACCTTATAGTCAGGTAAATTTATTATTTCTACTTTAAACTACTTAAAATAGTCATTTACTTGTAATTATTTTTAGATTGCTTTATCTGTCCATTTTGAAAATAACACGCCATTCCTTACTGTGACTAAAATGACTCGAGTGATTGAAGTGTCACATTGGGGAAACATTGCAGTAGAAGAGACTTTTGATATTAGTCATACAGGAGCCATTTTAAAAGGCTCATTTTCAAGACATGATTATCAAAGAAATCAAGATGGAGTATCTTCTGTTAAATCATTCAAAGTATTTAGCTTCAATTTTACTTTTTTTTCACTAAACTGTTTTTTTAATTAAATATACTGTTTACAGACTTTATTACCAGCTTCAGCGAGAGATGTATACTATAGAGATGAAATTGGAAATATATCAACAAGTAGTTTGAGAGAAAGTGAAGATGGACTTGAATTAGAATTAAAACCCAGATTCCCTCTTTTTGGTGGATGGAAGACCCAGCATTACATTGGCTACAATGTTCCTAGCTACCAATATCTTTACAACAAGGGTCAATTTAATATAGTTTCTTATGAATGTATCTTTTAAACACATGAAGTATCCTATTAACAGGAGATAAGTTTGCATTGGTCATGAAATTGGTGGACCATATATTTGATGATCAGGTCGTTGATGATTTCACTCTCAAGATTATTTTGCCTGAAGGAGTGAAGTATGTAAATGACAAAAGCCTCAAACATTTTAATTTGTTGATGTCAATACAAGACAATACTTTTTTTAAATAGGGACATAGTGTTACAGACACCATATGAAGTGAACAGAGAGTCAGATGAACTACACGCAACTTACCTGGATACTACAGGTAGACCTGTCATAATTGTTACCAAAGGACAGCTTGTCGAACAGCACATTCAAGATTTTCAAGTAATTTAAATATTTTGGGTCATTTGCATTTAAATAATTGTACATATGTAAATTATAAGTGAATTATTTACAGTTGCACTACACCTTTTCCAAATACCTTTTATTGAGGGAACCTTTGCTTGTCTTTGCTGCATTCTTCATATTGTTCCTCACTGTCATTGTTTATGTTAGATTGGACTTTTCAATCACAAAAGTGGGTAGAATTTAATAAATTTATTGATAATTTGTCAACATTTATTCAATTTCTTGTGGTGAAAATTGTTAGTATTATTTTTTTCTTGAATTAGGATGAAGCCAGTGAATTAAAACTAAGAATGGCAAGTTTGGTGAAGCAAACAGTAGATAGCCATGAAAGAAGAAGTTCATTGTACCAGAGTTATGAAGATGCAATCAACAAATACAAGGCAAGTAAGGAAGCTGGAACATTCAAGAACAATCAAAAGAAGATTGATGGCGACCACAAACAATTGACTCAACAGATTGCCGCTTTCCAACTAAAGCTTAAAGCAGAGGGTTCTGATGCTGCTGAAAAAGTATAAATCGCTCAACATTTCTTTTGTTTATTGCATAATTAATTGGCCTATCTAGACCGATATATTTGTATATGTAGATTGAAAAAATTCAACTGATTGAACATAGGTGCTGGAGCTGCAACGTTTGGATGTTCAAGTGCGAGATCAGATCAGTCTGCTGATAACCAATGCAGAGAAACTTATCAATGGTCGCCTACAGAAGCAGCAATACAGCGAAATTGATAAGGGAATCCACGAGAAAAAAGATGATCTCTGTCGTAAAATGGATGCCATCATTGCATCTCTCTAATCTTCATCCTAGCCATTACTTGCTGTTAAACAAAATGTTAATGATAAATTTACGCACTTATCGCACAATTGCTACGATTCTTATTTCTTGTTTGATTTGAAGTTGCAAGGACCCCATAACTGTATTTAATGTTAAATTCGAAAAACAGATTCTATTTCAAATTGTAATCTTTTTGTAATTTTTCAGTTGGGATCGGCATGCGCTAGCTTCGTTTTTAAGTAATACAGCTCATAATTTGTTTAAATCTGAAGAGGTGTTTTCTTCAGTTTTGTTAATGATAGTTAAAGACAATTGTCCGTGGTAGAGATATCATAACTTTATTAAACAATTATAGAAAATGTAAAAATCTGCCTAGAGAATGTTGTGCCAATGTGTCTGATAACATTAGGTTTTGAATTTAAAGAATATGAAAGTATATTTCTTGGATGAACAAATTATAGCTTGAAACTGAATATTGCATATATAAAAATCTCAAGTAGCATGCATGTTGAGAACCAGACTGGCACCCGCTAGGATTTACTTGGATCATCTGTCACAGACGAAGTTTGCGAAATTTGTTGATTGGGTGCTTGCTAGCTCGCTAGGATTACCAACTTCGATTATCTGGCCACCTGACATCACTACCACGACGTCCGAGTCCATTATGGTGGAGATACGGTGCTGTTTAATATATTTTTACTTAATATTAATAAATGAAAATAAACGTTTTCTCATGTGTAAATGTAAAGATGGTTAAGATTATTTAAAAATACTTATAAGAAGTAAGTAAGTTACAGCAATGGTGATGACAGTTTTGTCTTTGAATTGGTCTGCGATGATATTTTGAATGACTCGGTCAGTGTGCTTGTCAACGGATGCCGTTGCTTCATCCATCACTAGAATACTACTGTTTCTTACCAGGGCTCGGGCCAAGCACAACAGCTGTTGGGTATCATTCACTATATCGTATTTAATATGGTACAAACTGATATAATAGAATAACTTTAGTTGCAGTTAATATAAAACAAGCACCAAATCTCTATAGAGATGCAACTAATCAAACCTGTTTTTCTCCAATACTTAAGCTGCTTCCGCCATCTGTAAGCATTGTGTCTGTAAATAATTTTTTAGTGGTGTTCAACAAACGATAAATTAATTAATTCACTAATTGCAGTGAGAGACAAGCAACAAATCAGTTTAATCATTATTCATTACCTAGTTGGTGTGGCAAATTGCTAATTAATTTTCTCAGCTGAGAAACTTCAAGCACTCTCCAAAGTTCATGATCACTTTTAAAATGGTAAGGATCTAAATTGAACCTCACTGACCCAGTAAATACGACAGGATCTTGGGGAATTATCGACAATCTAGATCTCAATATATCGAGTGGAATGTTTTTAGAATTTAAATCATCTAAAAGTATGTCTCCTTCTACAATTTCAACCAATCTGAAGATGCCAAGTGTTAATGTTGATTTTCCACTGCCTGTTCTGCCACATATACCGACCTGTGTTTTCATTTACTTAGTTATTTTGTTGTTTCTTCTTTTCCGATTTTAGTTAAAATATTGATGAAAAATAGCTTTACATTAACGATTAAAAACGAAGTATAAGGCTTAGCTTAATAAATACCTTTTGTCCCGCCTTGATATTGAGATCAACATTGGTTACAACTGGATCTAAACTTCTATCATACGACAGACTGACCTGTTGAAACATCACGTTACCTCGAGATGGCCAATCTGACGCCACCGACACTATATAAAGAATGAAGTTTGACAAACGAATTCAAATAAATAGTGAGACATAAAATATAGGAGGAAACATAAACGAACATAGGTTGTGATTTAGAGGTGTTAATGATGTAACCTGGATCATTGCAATCATGTTCAGGTGTCAAGTTGCAATACTGAACCAGTCTCTGCACGTTTCCGCCGAACATCTCAATATCAGACATGTACTTTAGTGCCCATTGCACAAAGAAACAACTCTAATTTTCAAGAAATTATAATTAAGAGCACCATAAATGCACAAAGTTTCAAATAAATTTTTTTTATTACTTACAGTGCATGCATATAGCATCACAAAACCAGCTGAATTAACATCCAAGTAGCCATAGTAACATGAAAATAATGCGCACAGACATGAGCAGAGAACCATAAGGGCACCTAACAAATCCTTTTTAACAGATGTTAACAATTAATAACGATAATTGCAGTTGTTACATTTAAGAATAAAGTGGCGATTTGATCAGGTGAATATTAAAGGCGACGTATGTGCTGATGAGGGACGATCATTAACTAACATGTCCAACTAACCAATCTTATGCCAACCCAAACGTGTGTGGCATGGTAGAAGTAGAGTGGAAGATTGTTTTCATTGATCAGCTCCTTATTCTCAATTTCAAATCTCTTTTGCTGTCTAGTGATTGCAAACTTAAATATAAGAAATTACTTTTGATCTTGAAGATAACTTCAACTTATATATATATATATATATATATATATATATATATATATATATATATATATATATATATATATTTACAATATTCTATAAATATATATATATATATATATATATATATATATATTTACAATTTTCTATAAATTCTACCGAATGTTTGGCGTTAATATGTTAGTAGTTCGTTTTTTTTCGATTTAAATCGAAAATCATACCAAAGTCATACAAATATGACTGTATCGAAAAGCATTACAATTGCTAGAACTTAAAACCTGCTTGTCCTAATAACAGGTCCGCCAGCAAGCACTTGGGTAAAATGTGACAAAATTTTTGATTTGCTGATGCATTCAAGTCTCTGTAGCTCCCTAAATAGAAAATATTTAATTAACATTAGTGTCGGTTAAACACTTGCAATAGTGTGTAATGAACACATCAAATAAAAAGCTTATGTGTGTTACGCAAAAATGTGCACTGTAAATTTATAAGCACGGTGTCAATAAAGAACTTGAGAATTTTTTAAGAAGTGACAAATAGATAGATGATGTTCACGTATTTTGAATGAATGTACATTGACATTTCCATATTTTTAGACAAGCAGGTTTATAGAAAGTTAGCCTCGTCGGTAGGGTTAGGGTTGAAAACTTGAAAAATTTCACACGCCATCCGTCGGTCACTGAGTTAGCTCAGTCGGTAGAAGGCCACGTTTATATATATGTATTTATATATATGTATTTGCTATTACGCGATGACATGATTCGAAAACTATATGTACGAAGCTCATGGACTATCATACGCGAGTTAAGTGGTGCTTGCAAGTGTATGTATAGCATACATGACGTGCGGTACAGATAGTACAACATTTAGTATAAGGAGAAGTATAGAACAACATGTAAGCATATTTGCGATTGACAGAGTTGTAAAAAAAATAAAAAGAGTGTGTGTATGATGCGGTGCTTGCACGTGCATACAAATTGTGGATGCTACAGCTTTCGTAACATAAAGGATCAACTATAATAAATTAATAATATGATAGAAATGTAAACAATTATGCGCAATAACAAAAAAAAAAACAAACAATGTAAACCTGCACGATGCAATGTAGAATCTCTGTACAACAACAGCTACTATGATGATAGGTAAAATGGGCAGAAGGAATGCTGGATTGAAACAACCGTTTATCAATATGCCACCCAAGACAAACATTATTAGGAATAAGAAGCAGTCCAAATGAGAGTTCATTACCTTTAAAGAATGGATTCGCTGTAACAACACTTATAATACAGATTTCGTTGTATAAATACTTATAATGGTGAAAATAATGGCACTTTAAAGATTATAGCAACAATGGTGATGATGATGACAATGAAAACAACATACCAGGTCAATAACGTGCAGATCGGCTGACAGTCTGTTCAATATTCTTCCAAGTGGAGTTGTGTCAAAAAATCTTAATTAACATTTTCTTTTATTAAAATAATTAATAAATTGAAATTTAAAAAAAAATTCAACTGCTAGTTTTCTTCATTTAAATCATCAATCTAGCAGTAAAACCGGAGATCCATTCTAAGTGTGAGATACATATGCCCTGCTCTGCCCCAACCTTCGCATCATTGTAATGAGTGAAGTGTTTCAATGAAATGGTCGAAAAAATGTTCTTTGTTGTAACTTTAAAAAAACTACAACAAACCTTACAACTAAGATGGATCTCCGGTTTTTTACCAGTTTTATAATATTTTAATTATTTTAATCTGTAAATAATAAAGTAAAAAATATATCACGTTCAAATATATTTATATAGGGCAGTTTCCAAAACTGCGAGTTCACAAAACTAGCTTGGCAAATTAAAACGGTTATTTTATATTGTTATAATAATAACAACAGTATTAACACTAGCAGCAGCAATGCTAAATGAATATCAACAAGAATATTAAATAGAGATTTACAAATGAAATTAGATAAACATAAATAGAGGAAATTGCTAAGCATTCATAAAAGCAAAAATGATTTCTTTTTAGACGAATTTTGAGATGTGCAGCGTAGTTTACCAAGAAAGAGAAATGAACAGAGTGAGTAAATACCTCATAGTGGCGCTTGAAAGCGACAGCAGAATCTGGTTGTGGATATTTCTTGAGGCAGATAAGCATAGCAACTCAATAACGATCACGGATACAGGAATTAAAATAACAGAGAGCAAGGATATCGAGCAATATATCAATGTTTTGTGGAGATCTATATGACCCACCTAAGAAAAAAATTACCTCAATCCAACATAAATTTGGCAAAGTGATGATAAATAACTATCTAAATGCCAACTGTAATGGCAACAGAAATAATGAAAAATGACACCACTGACAACCAGCTACAACGATATCAACATAAATCAAACAAATAACGAACATATGAATGTTCTATGAGTAAACCGAGGTAATAATCGGCCGCCATTCTAACGGCTTGTTTAACAGCATAGAGGAGTACAACAAAAACAACGAGACTGATATTGGCGTATTTGAGGTACTGGAGGAGGAATCGAAGTGGGGTGGCGCCTATCTGCCTCTCTTCTTCAGTCATTAGTTGCGTGACTTCATCTACCAACTCGTTCTCACCTATAAATAAATAACAGAGATATCGTGGGCGTTATATTCATTAATGTCAAATTGAGATCATTATAAAGACACTGCACTTTTATAATTCTGAGTTTGATATCCTAAGCAACTGCATTAAAATACCAGGAAAATAATGAAGAAGACCGTTGCGTGGTGCACTCACTTGATCTATACGAATCATCAATGACATTTGTTTCTTGCTGCGTGTACATGTTCAAAGAATTGAGACTCATCAGTGACAGGACTGATTCGTGCGGTTTCGACAACGATCTCCGCAAGTGATGGCTCACCTATCACAGATGAATAAAAATTGATAACAATGAAAAATTCTTCATTACAATTACTTATTTGATGCAAACGATAAATAACTTTCAACAAATAAAATGAAAATACATGAAAATGATAATGACAAAAATGAAAGAGTAAAAAGAATTCCATATTATAAAATAATGCAAAAAGTGGATAAGGGTTATATAAAGAGCATAATAAATTGATTACAACAGTTATTCATTAAATTATTGCACAATTTAATGAATATGATAAAGTTAATAAATTTGTAAATGCTCATATGTTAAATAGAGTCAATTATAAAGTTGAAAAATAGCATCGTAAGACCTTCTCATTTGGCTGAGAATCGTGTCGCCGACGCGCCTCTTCATTCAACATGTCCACATTCAACCTAGCATTATAAGGAAAGCTATTCAAGGATATGCCATTATTTCAACAAAGAGAAAAATTGCGTGTAAAATACAGAAAAATATAAATAATGCATTAGCATTGCACCAAAATAAATGAGCATGAAATTAAATATTAACTACAGTTCTAAAGCCTCCTTCGAACAACTTTCAAATCTACCCTGGTAAAAAATTCTTCCCATTGATAACACAACGACCTGATGGTTAAAATATTTTTAAAGTTTAGTAAAATTTAAATGAAAATTAAAATTTAGATACAAATTTTAAACTCTATCGGTAATTTAATTACAACAATTACTTGAAAGACATAATCCCAATTCCTTCTTGTGAAAATTTACACAAAAATTAACTTGAATTAAAACATGTAACGTAAATGCATTAAAATATAGATGATTTTAATGCACCTTATGAGAATGGTTCAGCAGATTTGTATTATGTGAAACGAATACAACAGTTTTATTCCTATTGATGAGCTGTTTTAGAATGGCCTCCCTAAAAACAAATGATGAAACATGTGGATCCAATGCTGACAGTGAATCATCCTGAAATACGATAAGCATAACAATAAAGCAAAAATTGAACCGCATTCAAAAGTTACATAACATCTCATCCTATAAAAATTAATTTTCTATAAAAATGATTTATTTTTTCATTTTATAATGTTGTCTTTTCGCATGTTTCAGCAGTTTCTGAGTTTGTCAGTTTAATCTTTTAAAGAGTATTTAAAAGCGATTGATAGAATATGTATATAATTTGAAATGAATAATGAGTTATGCAAAAGAGATTACCAGCAAATATACATCAGCATCTTGGTACAGAGCGCGAGCCAACGCAATTCTTTGCTTCTGACCTCCACTTAAATTTGCCCCCTACCACATGAAAATAAAAAAAATCGTCATCCTCAACAGCAATGAGATATTAATGAACGAGCGGACCTTCTCTCCAATTTCGGTGCTATCTCCATTGACGAACGTATTGAAATCAGTCTGCAGAGAACAGGCATTGATGATACTTTCGTATCGTTCCTTGTCCCACGACAGACCAAATAGAATGTTTTTCCTTATTGATTCATTCAACAGCCAGGCTTTTTGTGGCACATAGGCGATTTTTTCGGAACTGCATTTTTATTCATCATCACAGGACAAAATTATTACGAAAATGGTAATAATTAGAGTTCAAAATCTCTAACAAAACAAATTACATTTCACCAACAGAAAAATAAACATCGCAGACCTCGTTGCAACAAAATTGAAAACCAAACAAATTAAGGGAGCAATAATACAATCACTAAACAGTGCCTAATAAACGGCGCATTGACACCGACTGATGGCACGATAGAACAAAACATCACTTGAAAATGACTCTTCCTTCAGATATCAACATTTCTCCAATAATAGCTGACAACAGAGAACTTTTTCCACTACCCACACGGCCCACAACCATTGTTAATTTACCTATTCATTCATTTATAATTAATGAATGTTATAATAAACTCACTAAAATGAAAGAGAAGTAGAAGCAAATAAAGATAAGCACAACCTTTTTCAATCCTCAGTAAAATATTCCATAGTATTGTATCATGAATCCACTTAAATGACGCCTTCTCAATTATTATTTCATCCTCGCGATCATGATCATCATCACCATCTTGATCTTCAGTGTTTGGTGACTTCAAGACCTCCTTCCTTCCATCCTTCTGTAGCAGCAAAGGAGACATGTGATTATGAAGAGAGTCACCAGCAATTGTTGTCACGTTCTCCCTCAATAACATCTCTTTATTAGCGTTCATTGAAGTAGATGATGACAAATTTGACACTCCACAATCCAGTGCCTTCATGTCAACGGATAAGTTATCAATATACCGCAAATTAGCACTAAAATAACAAAATACAATGAAAACCCGTGAATGACAAGCACATATAAGTATAATCGAACAATGAACTCAAATCTGATTTTTATTTCAATTCCAAAATTATATGAACATGGCAATGATACTTTTATAAAATCATATCTCAAATAAATAGAACTAATTTTCAACTGCAACCACCAACACTGCAATGAATTTCGGATTGCAGGAAGAATAATCTTAATCTATCAAACGAAATCTTGGCTTGTACAGTAACGTGGATAACATATGCAATGAAAAAAAGCTGATTTGCCAAGATGACAAAGATGATGATTGATGAAAAAACTTTGCTCAGAGACAGGTGTTCATCTTCCAGTTTATAGTACATCACAAATGTCTGTAAAAAAAGGTGATATGTACAAAATAAAAATAAATTCCAATAACAAATAAAATAAATGGATAAGCTGATGGACGACGAATGATAAATGAATAGAGAACTCAATGTCTAAATGATTAAGATGTGTAAGTGAAAAGAACATAAATGAATGACTGACCAACATGCAAGCAAACAATGGAATACCATCTGTTACTGTGGCTGCGTTAATTAAAAGAGTGTTGCTATACTTTCAAATGGTCATTTGAATTACACATTTTAATAAATTTAGAAATCAAAAAATTGCAAAAAACTTGAAATTGTATCAACGAGTTATGCATTACAATTTACTGACAGATTATATCACATGCATTTGTGCATGCATTCACAGATACACATACTCATACATTCACGGACATACTAACCAACAAGGACACGAGCTTTTGAAGCCTTCCACATATTATGCAATTCCTTATTTCTAGCTTGATCAACAGATTTCCTGAAGATATGATGCCATGCATAGAGTTTCAATAATTTGATGTTCTCCAGCAACTCTGACGTACGAGATAACCTTTCGTCTGACGTTTTCTGAAATTTTTTTTGTAGAGTAAATTAACTTACACGAACTTAAGTAAAGAGAATTGGAAAATTTCTTTGAAATAAAAAATAAAACCAAAGTGATAGAGTTGGCATTTGACAACAATTATTATTTTAGATAAAATGTTGCTCAACTAGTGAGAAAAAGTTTAATTAGATGAGGAAGCAATTGGTAACCCAGCAATCCAATTTTTACAGATTCACAAATTAATAAAAAAAAATAATAAAAACTAATAATTGAATACAATGAATAACAGAAGCATACCAAAAAATCAAAACAAAAGAAAGAAAAAAACCATGATGAGATCTTGCTTCATGCCTAGATATCTACCGACAAAATATTGTGCAGGCACAACTAACAATATCACCAGGCATCCAACTAATGATGACTTTCCTAACTGAATGTACAACATTAAGAAACCAAGGGCGACCTGCACAGTCGAGAATACAAGTTACATTACACCAATTTTATTACAGTGTATTGTAAGATCATACCTAATAAATTAATAAACAATATTTTCTGATTTTAATGAATCAGTCACAGTTGTAACAGCCATAAACAAAATTAAGTGTTGCAGTCAAGGCATCCATAATGAACCGAGCTACAAAAACATATAGATAAACTCACCACAAGAGGAATGCTCCAAACGTAGTGGAGGAAGAATGAAAATTCTATGATGGAACAAGCGTCAGTGGTCATGTGATTCGTCAACTGCCCACTCTTCACTGACATGTGTCTCATCTTCAGACTCTTGTGGAATGTGTATGCCTTTTGTTCCACCAATTAGTCGGTCGGGTTTATGTTTGGTTGAGTGATTGTTTGTTAGCTCACGTTTACAGAAACAATAAACAACAAAAGAACCTGCAGTGCTGATTTTATCCTGACTCCCTCCCTCGAAACAATAAACATGTGATAATCTTTGAAGAGGATTTGAACAATAAAGAGCACAAACATCAAAAGTATCAAATACAATGAATATAACATGTTGTCTCCTGTGAATGATTCGTATGACTGTGACGACGGTAATGACAATTGCGTTGACGAAGGTGCCAATGTTGAATAGTTCACCTGATGGCAATTAAATTCTCGACAATCAACACTTTTTCTATCTACATTTAAGCATCATTACAGTTGTGCAATAATCAAGAAACAAATAAATAAATGACAAATCGATTTATAAATGAATAAATATATCTACAAATGAGCATTGAAAATTTCTTACATCTGGAATGTTCAAGATGCTCCCTTCAGCATTTGTTGCATTGATTGGAGGTTTTGAGTAATCATGTTTCATGCATTCCAGAATGCCATCAAGTAATATTGGAGATGCAAAATGGAGGACCTCTCCGATGAATTGAAGAAATCCCGAAAATATTACTGCAGGGTACGAAACATTCCAAACACACCTCCATAATGAAAAAGATTTATTTAAATTCCACGATCTAACCTGAAAAGTATATATTATTCAAAATACCAAACATTCATCTTTCATCCTTGACTCTAAAAATATTTATGAAAAAGAAAACTATTGAAACGACAAAATATAAAAGTTTTGAGATGTTAAAAAAGTGTAAAGTTGAAACACTACTTTTTCCTTTGATATTTGTTCTTTTAGTTTAACAAAGTAAAGATTACAAGCTTCATTCTGAAAATATAAAATAATAAATCATTAAATTAGATAGATAGTTTAAATTATAAAAAGGAATTCAGACCGTAAAAGAATGATAAATAAATAAATTTTCAAAAAATCATTGATCATTTATAAACCAGTGAAAAATAAAATGAAGAGGCTGGCTACCTTATGCGTGCTTCCGAGATGGGACATGTGGAGAGGCTGCCTGAAGCCGAATATCATCATCCTGTTGAGCCAATGCAAAGTGACTCTTGAGGCCACACAACTATCATCATGCTTATTTCTACTTTTTCCCTCAC